ACAAGGAAGAGGTTGCGCATCGGTGGAGAGAAGGTGGTGGGGACAGGGCCCTGGGGCGGGCACTAACCCAGAACGTGTCCCTTGTCCCACCCAAGGTCATCCACTCTCCCTAGCGCGATACCACTGTTGTTAGGATGGCCCTCCCCCCAAAGACAAAGATCCCCCGTGTAGTCTTAACAAACTGCTGGGGCAAGTGCTGTTCACGAGTAGCACCTATGAAGTCCGGCACGGCATACAATGAGGTTGGTGGCCAACACCACGCCCGGACGCCTTTGTCTCCCCGGTGACGATGTTTATACACCGCACCGAGTACTCATTTGAGGCTGAATCCACCTAGGCGGAGGCCCAGGACCGATTCAGATAATCGTCACTGGCATTGTTGGCCGTGAGCGGGAATCGAATTCAGATTTGGGGGGGGGGGGGGGGGGGACAGCTCTACTCGGCCCATCGCAATCTGAGTAGCACTTGAGGTGGTCGAGGCGCCAGGCCCCGTAGTGGGACACAGGGGGCTGGGTCACAGCAGACCGCCCCAGGGGTGCTGGTCACGCGCTGGGTCACAGCGGGTCGCCCCAGCGGTGCTGGCCACGCGCTGGGTCACAGCGGACCGCCCCAGTGGTGCTGGTCACACGCTGGGTCACAGCAGACCGGCCCAGCGGTGCTGGTCACGCGCTGGGTCACAGCGGACCGCCCCAGTAGTGCTGGTCACATGCTGGGTCACAGCGGACTGCCCCAGTGGTGCTGGTCACATGCTGGGTCACAGCAGACCGGCCCAGCGGTGCTGGTCACGCGCTGGGTCACAGCGGACCGCCCCAGTAGTGCTGGTCACACGCTGGGTCACAGCGGACTGCCCCAGTGGTGCTGGTCACATGCTGGGTCACAGCAGACCGGCCCAGCGGTGCTGGTCACGCGCTGGGTCACAGCGGACCGCCCCAGTAGTGCTGGTCACATGCTGGGTCACAGCGGACTGCCCCAGTGGTGCTGGTCACATGCTGGGTCACAGCAGACCGGCCCAGCGGTGCTGGTCACACGCTGGGTCACAGCGGACCGGCCCAGCGGTGCTGGTCACACGCTGGGTCACAGCGGACCGGCCCAGCGGTGCTGGTCACACGCTGGGGAGAGAGCAGCCCCAGAAATGGAGGAGGCAGCTGACGAAGCGAGCCGCTCTTCTTGGCGTGTGCGCCGTGTGGCCATCGAGTGCTCCACGCTGTCCGCAGTGCAATCAAGTATCTTAATTTAATCCGTTTAACACGTTGTAGGCTTTCGCGACCGATATTATCCACAATGAAGTTGTTGTTGTTGGGTTAGATCGTGTAAATATAAATGTGTCGTTAACCCACCACCGCCCGAAACAGCCAATTAGTAAGACTCGTCACGTAAACAAAACGTGCCAATTATTTACTACTCCAGCACACCGGTGTATTGGAGAGTAAACTTCGAACATTTACAATTTGAGTACCGTGATGTTTGCTCTGGTGATTACAACCACCTTCATCGGGCGATTTTCCAGAATTGTGTAGAAGTCTTCATGTTTCTGTCCTTAATTGAATCCGCTTTGTCACAAGCACACGTGTGTTGTGTCTGGTATTTTCCACGACGCTTGGCGTGTTTTAAGTTCTGCCTGACGTCCTCTGTCCTGTCTCCTTTCGTAATGTCCGTCATGTCTTTCATAGTTGACCGTGTTATCATTCGTTCCGGCTTGTCTGTTCAGTCGCGTTTGTTCTCTAGCTTGGACCATCGTCCCAAAATGTGACATAAACATTATTTTGTATATCATTAGATGAACATTTTTTTAAGTTGATTCCTGCACACACGATTCAGGGTATGTATCGTGAGCATGATAGTCAATCGCGATCAGTTAATCGTTACGAGCTTGGAAGTTAGGCTGCGTCGCAGACTGCCCCACGCGAATTAGAAGTTTTTGCAAATAAGGAAACAGGACTTTAACATTGCAGTCAATGCACCTCTTACAGCACTGGAGTGATGTCACTGTATCGTTGATGTGTTGTAAGTTTGATGTCACAGTGACATCACGAGAGTACAAAATGACATAACCTGTCCACAATGTCACAGTCCGTGTGCCCCTCGTGAACGAAGCTTTGACCCATCAGACAGCCGAGGAGGGGAACGTAGTCTATTTGTGAATGAAGCAGACACCACATTTGGCGTTTGGGTTCAGCCCTCCTTTGAAGATGAGAACTTTATACGTCTTCATTCAACCAAACCAGCCGCCCGCTGCAGGACGCGAGGCGCAGATGCGTGCCTGCATGCGGCAGAGTCTGCCACGTCTCTGAAAATGAGACCTGTGGAATGATGCACTTTTAACTCCAAGGTCTGTTGGGTGTATTATCTGCCATTTGTCTAAATGTGTCAAGGGAAGGACGATGGTAAGGAATGCAACTGATCATCCTGCCCGTGATGCACGTTTACAAAGTGTGCATCATAATTCATATCAAGAATAAATCCCTTTTAATGCCTCGCCTCCATTGTTTATTGCAGTTCAGTTGCATTCAGTAGCTAGACAATGCTATGTAATGCATTCGCATGTTAATACAAATAACCATTATGTACGTATATATAGCAAAGATTTGCAAGTGATGCCTGGTAAATGGCAAATATGCAACCATTAGTTTGAACAATGTCCCTTGTGTAGACGAGGAAGGCAACCTCCAATGCCATTGCAGTTCACGAGGGAGTGTTTACTAACTTCCACGCGGTTGGGTTCTTTTTTTAAACACCTGCGATCATTGTACATGTGGCCGCCCTCCTCGCATGCATATACAATATATCAAAAGATCAAGTAGTGGGAATTCAACTTCCCCATGGCAAGGGGTCAGTATCCCCATAGGACGAACATCGATACGGCACAGCGTGTTAAAGTGGATTGACGTGACAATAATGGGAATGTTGACGCATACCAGGCTGCGTATTGACACGCGAGGCATGTTAACGGACAACTTGAAAGCACAAGACATTTACCGATGTTTGTGGCATTGTTGCCTTATCTTAACTAGTGGGGACCCGCGTGCCCTGCGGTGCTTTTGCCACTGCCGCTGATGTTAATGTCCCTGTGATTGAAGTGCTCGGAAAGCACGGAGCGAGACCTTGTCTCATCACAAGCATCTCTTGCCTCATCATCACAAGCAGCCGCAGGCCGTAGCGTCGGGAGGTTTCGTTTGTAAATGAATACCGGGGTGTATCCTCTCACTTCATCACCCGAATGTCAGTCAAGCGGGCTTTTGAAATTACCGTGTTTGCGTGTGCGTGCGTGTGCGTGCAGTGGTACAGTCCGTTTCAGCTATACAGGGGGGATCCTTGGGTTTTGTTGGGGAGCGGTAGCGTGATGGTTAGCGCACTGCACTACAAACCTGGCGCTTCGAGTTTGATATCCACTCGCGACCAATAACAGTGGCGATGATTTAAACTGTTCCTCGGCCTCTACAAGGTCAACCCAGCTTTAAATGAGCAGCATCTGGTCCGATGTGTAAACATCGGCATTGGAGAGGCGAAGGCAGCCTGACGTGGCTTTGGTCACCCACTCCCTTCGTATGCCTTCTTGGGCACTGCTGAATCACTGGGCCAGACTAAAGTCAGATATCCCCAGGCAATCTCCCATCCACGTGCTTTGGCAAACTTAGCTTCGCTTCGTTTCCGATATCTGACGGGATCGGGCCGATCTAGTGTGCTTTGGGCCACAGGCGTACCAGCCTGCACTGCCGTCAGCTGTGCAGCGCCGTTAGAGATCCGTTGACATTGCCGGCGTCCCGTCCTAACCAAACGTCTCGCACGGGAAAGCCAGTTGCAGTCCAAGAGGTAAACAGGCAAACGTAGTCCTTTTTTAGCCAAGGTGCTCTGGGCCTCCCTAACCACAGAGATGCTGGTGCTTGCTGTGCTCAGCTCTGATCTTAAAAAGGACGTTCAAAGTGAAGGTGAGCTAAGCAGGGCTGAGCCTGGATGTTGCTGGACCAGGTCGCCACCATTGTGCTAACCCAGTTCCCATCAGCCCATGGGCCTTCGTTGTGGGCTGTAGACGGAAGTGCAGGAAAAAAGCCGTTGTAGTACTTTACTTCTCCGCGTCCACATCCACGCTCCTGGCTATCTCCAACCCGCAAATGGCTGAAGTGGTAAAGCATGGTCAAATAACCCCCCGGCTCGTAGACGAGTGAGGGTGCCCCCCTCGCCCGGCAGTGGACCGACGGACGGGGCTGCGCCCTGCTGCGTGTGTTCACGCTGCAGGAGGAAGTTATTGAATAACAACACATAGGGGGGAGGGTTTGATTTTTTTTACGAATCAGCCTAAGAAGGACTTGTAAGCAATGCCAGGCGACTGAACAGAACTCTTGACAGAGTGGTGCTCTGGCTCTGGAGAGAATGTAACGGCCGAGGGGTCGCAAGCGCTGGCAACCTGTCGCACGATGGAACCAGAGGTCAGGCAGCTCTGGCAACTCAGAGCGAGGCCTCCATCGCGGCCGTGTGTGGACATTGGCGATGGCGTTGAGGGCCCTTAGAGGGCACCGTGCACTGCGGGTGAAGTCAGAGAAGGCTCACCTGTCGACTGGTGTAAAAATACCACCTTGGTATTTGCGTGCTGCCAATTAGCAGTCATCCCCTGTGGTCAGTGCCCCTCTTTCTGTTTCTCAATTTCACTCTCACTGTCCTTCTCTGAGGTGATTACCGCTTTCATTATTGCCATGAGGGATTTCTTAACGGCCGGGGGTGTACTTAGCCCCATGGCATGCGATCATTTAATCTCTACTCCAATCCATGTGCTGCTGCGCTGCTTTTGATCCTTGTACTTTGCACCGTCGCTGTGCGACCTCTTCTGATCCATCTGCCGACCTCGGCGCTGGGATACCCCGCACCGTTGTCTGCGCCGTGCGGCCTTTGATCTGCGTCGATTAGCACGCCCCATCACACGCGCGCACGTTGCGGGCTGGCACGGGCGCGGGCCGATCCCCCTTCCACGCCGCGCCGACGTTTGACCTCCGCCCGTGACGCCGCAGTTGCTGCGGAGAGGCCCAGAGTGGAGCCGACGACGCCGGCGGGGGGCGAGACGGCGGCAGCGGGGCCGGGAGACGACGAGGAGCGGCCCCCTGTCAAGACCGAAGCAGCGCGGGTGGAGGGCGCGGTGAGTGAGGCTCCCGCCAGTGGCGTGCGCGGCGCCGAGGACGCGACTGGCTGGTGCACCGCCCGCTGCCTCGCGACGGAGGGCCGTGCGTCACTGCCCGGAATGCTTTTCCGCCGCTGAGGCCCCACGCCGTTTTCAGCCCTTTCCACGCAAACGACCCTCAGGGTCGTGCGCACCTCCGCCTCTGCTGTTTGTGTTTCGCATTCCAGTTCTGACTTTAATTGCTCACAAGGGGGGCTTGAGAGTTTAACGGTGTTTCCAACAAGCGCGGTAAATAGCAGTCGGTCGTGTTGATTCCCAGGTGCATCAATGAGATTTATTCATCCACAAAACCGCGACTCTTTTGACCAAATTTAAGGAGTGCGTTGCATGTGTGAGGATACTGGATGGGATTAACACTCAAGAGTCCACACACAGTTGGGCGAGGAACCCACTTGCTGTACTGCCATATCAGCCCACCTCGCCGCGCAGCAGGCCCGGGAATTTCACAAATCGGTGTCATCGATCAACCGCGGCATGCTACACCCACTCTTGGCTCGTGAAGAGAGAAAATATGTAACCATGTTACTGATATGGGCCGCAGGGTAGTGGCATAGTGGTAACAATCGTGCCTCACAACAAGAAGGGCCTGGGCTCTATTCCCAATGTGGGCCTCTTTCTGTGTGGAGTCTGTACGCTCTCCTCCTGTTCTGCATGGGTTTCCTCTGGACTCTGTTTTCCTCACATAGCCAAAAATGTACAATGGTGCTGATATTGGCCAAATATCCAATTGGTGAAAAATTGTCTAAAAATTACTCAATTCAGGTTACACTTAACAACATGGCCTCTTCTAGCAACAACTTGGCAGGACCCTCCGAATAAGAGTCTTAAGACTTTTCTGGTTAAATAAGTGAAATAAATAATAATATAAAACTAGATAAGCGTTCCCATAGTGTTCATTTTGCCAGTCTTGGAAGAATTCTCCATTGCGAGAGCAGAGAGGGTCTCCCTCTGTCAGCGCTACTCATCACTCGGCCCTTGTGTCAGGCTGTAAGTTTAAGCCTGCTCCGCTCTCCCTCCCCCCCAACGTGTGCTGCAGAGCGACGGGCGAGTGGGCCTCACCGGCCCGAAGGGGGACAAGGGAGATCCAGGGCCTCCTGGACCCCGCGGGCCCCCTGGCCCGCCAGGCCCTCCCAGCCCCACCGCGAGTGTACGCGTCGACGCAGCGGCCGCCAAACCCGGGCTGCCGGGACCTGTTGGACCCGTGGGACCGCCCGGCCTGCCCGGGCCCGTCGGCAAGCCCGTGAGCGGCGCACGTCCGTGCAGCGCACGCAGCCTCCCACCGTGTTTTTCATTTTTTATACACAGGCGTTGCGCGGCCACGGCAACAATACAAAGATCCCACCAGTTCACCCCGTTCACTGTAGGGGCAAGGTGCTGTTCACGAGTCCACGTTCGGCCTGGCACGGCGTGCGAGAGGGCCTTGTGGCCAGCACCCGCATTGGCCCACATTTGTCTCGCCGGTTGTGATGTTTACACACCAGATCGGCTAGGCCGAGCTGACCTCGAGGAGGCCCGGTACAGGTTCAGATGTCACTTACCACTGGTGTGCATGACCTGGAAATGGAGCGACGTTTATGGGATTGTAGCACTCTGTGCAAAGCACTACAACTTGATTGCATGCCTATACACACGACAACACACATCCACACACATCACAATAACGCACACAGAGTAGAACACGCACAAGCAACATGAACACACGTGCATACCAATCCACACGCTAACCCGTGCACCACGTCACAGCAGTGCACATAGAGCAAAACACATTCACCAAAATGTACACACTGCTCTGATCCAAATACACATACACACACGGCTCTCTTCTGAGTTCTGTTTTCCTCCCACAGCCAAACGCACACAAATCGTAACTGATGTTGGCCAAACATCCTGACGGTGAAAACATACTTGCAAATTACTCAATTTAGATTACACCGCCTCATCCAGCGAAGACTCGACAGGAGCCTCCTGAACAAGTGTCTTGAGACTCGGAGTGAGGCTTCCCTGGTTAAACACGTGTAATACATAATCATATACAAATATGTACGTGCCCTCCTAACGTTCGCTCTGGCAGATTGTAGAGAAGTCGAATACACACACCAATGAATGTACAGTTTATGGTTGAATACATAATACTAGCGCACACTCCACGAACACGTACGCACCAGTCAATAAACGATATTGAACCTCTGCGTACGGGCAGGTGTAATTAACGAGGAGCAGGAATTCCCTTACTGTGTGCGTCACGGTGATGATGATGACGACGTCGACGACGATGATGATGATGATGATGTAATTACCTCGTTTGATTTTTCTCTTCCATTCAGGGCATTGCGGGGAAAGGTGGCGCTAAAGTGAGTATGGGACATCCGCGTGCGTCGGCCTTCCCTCAAACAGCACCGTGGCAAAAGGGGTTCTATTAGAGTAGCAGTGGACCACCCTTGCGCGTTCGCATCTGCTCCATTCCGCACCTCCGGGGGAGCGAGAAGCAGGGAAGGTGTTTTGTTGGGTCGCTGGTGAGGTGAACAGCTATAGTACTAAACTGTTTAAAAACTATTTTTGTATTCTACCAGGTAAGGCCCGCTGAGCTATGTAGCTCTTTTTTCAGAAGCGACCTTGCCACAAATGAAAGCTCAACGAAGTGGCTTATCACGTGCAAATGTACAGCAGCCAAATCATCTTAACGCTTGCTGATTGTAAATGTGGACGTAAAAACCGGAGGACCCGGAGAAAGATCCACGCGGCCACGAGGAGAACATGCAAACTACAAATAATTCAGCAGGCTTCAGGGTCGAGAGCGAACTCACGGCCTCCTGTATGCCAGGCAAGGGAGTTAACATCTCGCCACTGTGGTATGTCCAGAGAAAACCATTTAAAAGGAGATCTTTATGACCATGTAAAAGCCCATTGAGACAAAGCAGAATTATTTTATAATGGAGGCCGATACGTATGAACTGTAACAGAAAATATATCACGACCTCAGGTGATTAACAGACAAGCACAGAGAGCAACGGCAAGGCCGTGAGGGCAAGGCCATGGCATGAAGATAGCACATACCCGCACCTCCGATTTGCATGGTTGGCTACATACGGTACGAAAGAAGTTCAACCCACATCATCATCACCACACCGTGCCTCTGATTAGCACGGTTGGCGACATACAGTGTGAAAGAAGTTGAAACATAGATACATTTCCCAACACCTGCGTCATCCTTCCCATGCAGTCACGGCTACATCTCTGCTCCCTCAATGCCTGGGATACACAAGGCCCACTCGTCAGTGATTCGACACCTAGAATTGTTTTAATCACTTATTGTTTTTTGTTGTTGCGATTATTATTTTTACTCGCAAGGCCAAAGCTTGTTGACCCAGAAAAAACCTGACTGAGTCTCAGGACTCTGTTTTTTGGAGAGTCTGTGAGTTTTAGAGATGTAAAGAGTGAAACGTACGGATTATTGCAAGGGGTAGAGCTGTTCCACATTGACACAGCAGCAGCACACAGTGACCAACCTCACATCATGCAGAGATAAATGAGAGGTTAATAGTATTATTATTTAAAAAATGGGTTTCATATTCAAATATACATATTTATCTCTTTTGCAAGCAGAGGAACAATGTGAGAAATGCCATCGTAAGGAACCGCTGATCGGTTTCTTCTGATCCGGGACAACAGTGGCTACGGCGCTGCTGCTGCTGCTGTTGGCGTTGTTAATGGTGCCGGTGGCTGTTGGTTGCAGGGAGACCGAGGGTCACGAGGATTCCCCGGGGTGCAGGGAGAGTTGGGAGCGAAGGGGGACAAGGTGAGCCCCAGCACGTGCGCACGCCGGGGGTCATCCACCCGGGTCCAGGGGTCACCCGGCAAACGGGGGGGGCGGGGCCGGGGTGGAGGTCAATCAGCTCAGCCTGGGATCACAGCCCAGGCTTTGAGTTTCACGGCTCGTGCTCCGCGTTGCGATCCGGTCGAACCCTGCCATAGGTGCTGCTCTGCTCGTGACTTCACTCGCCGTGTGAGGCTTTGCGATTGAAAATGAAGCCTTCGAGGTGGCCGGGTGAGACCGCCTCTGTTCGACAGCGCGCCGAGTGTCCAACGCCAACAGCCTCCCGAGAGGTCTCTGGGCACGCGCGTTGTGGTAAAACACGCCGAGGGGATTCTCGACACGGGCGCGCTACTCATCACAACGCGCGCAATGCTGAAGCAGAGTCAACGGCAATGACTCTCACCACCGGCCAGTGGAGATGAGCGCTGCCTCTGCGTGTCGTTGTGTTTGACTTTTGGCACCAGCTATAGCAGTGGAGAGTGTACGTGAAGCAAAACTTTCAAGGGGAATTCAACGAGGAGTTTATTAAGAAGCTGGTATAACAAACGTGTTTTCTTGAGCCGTACGATGGTGTCTAATCGGAGATTGTTTTTAAAAAATGTTCTGAGACACATGAGTGCTTCACTGCAATTCGTGGGGCTTGCTAAACCTGCAGTGCTGACAGGGAGTGATCACTCCCCATGCCCTGTAATTACTCAGCACCCTACAGGGGAGTATCAGGTGAGTGTTAGGAATGGTTTTCATTTTGAAAATTCCCCAGCAGCGTCGGCGCTAATTCCACTCATACATTCACAATCCTGTTCTTAACAGGAAGAGAGAAGCCTCGCTCGTGCAATCTGCTGTCGTGGAACCTCGTGATGGTGACGCGCAGCTCCAGCGCGGCAGGCTCCCGAGCCTGCCGCTTCTCCCCCGGCTGACTCTCCCTGCACCTGTTTGTCTTGTCACTAGGGCGACGCTGCTGTGGGCCTTCCGGGACCGCCAGGTCCACCCGGACCGCCTGGGCCCCCCTCATCGAGGCACAGCGAAAAGGTGACGGGGCCCTCGCTCGGTCGTCGCACGCCACAGAACACGGATGATGCGCTCGCAGCTGGCAACGTGTTTCCCGTTTGCGGTGCGCCGCGGAACACGTGGGCCACTGCAGACGTGGGGGGGATTTGTGTCTTTGTCTAGGGCTGAGACTCGCCTGTTCCTCTAGCCGCAGGCCTCCAGGGACGCGTGGTGAAAGCACAGATTTTCCCAACAAAAGCGAAACGCGCTTTGATGGGTTCGCGTAGAGTGCTCCACTTCAATGGGCTGCTTCCTGCTGTGTTTGTGGACACTGCCAAGCCTGCTGTGGTCATGTTTCGTACAGCTTCATGCAAACACTGGCCTGTCCAGGGGAAAACACGCATTCCCACTGCCCCTGCAAGACGTTTTGCATGCCAGGTATTTGATGTTTACCGAAGAAAGCTGTCGTGACCGCAAAGCTAAGCACGCGTGTGCGCGCTTACGCGTCCTTACGTTGCATTGCCGTAGAGTGCACCTCTCCCGGTGCACATATCGTGGTGAAGTCCCTGCTGCTTGGTGGTGAATGGTTGCTGTTGTTGCTGTGTATGCGTGTGTGGGGAGTGGTAGTGCAACGGTTATCACGATGCGCTACGAACCCGGTGGCCCCGAGTTAGATTCCCGCTCACGGCCAACGCCAGTGATGATTATCTGAATCGGTCCCGGGCCTCTCCTAGGTCGACTCAGCCTCAGATGAGTACTTGGTGCGGTGTGTAAACATTGCCACTGGGGAGACAAAGGCGGTCGGGCGTGGTGCTGGCCACCCACCCCCTCGTGTACCGTTACCGGCCTTCATTGGTGCTCGCTAACAGCACTTCCTCCTGCAATCTCTTCATGGTTATACGGGGGATCATTGTCTTTATATGGGAAGTAGTAGACTATACTGGGGATCTTTATCTTGGTTAGTATTGGAAGCAGTAGAAGTTCAATGCATTGAGATTGATGGTTCCCTCGGTCTTATTTCTGCGAATCTTCAACATCCTTGACAAATTGGTATTTAAATCTGTCATGGACCTTTGCTTGACTCAGCTTTAAATTAATTTCTTCCGTGTAATTATTTGTTTTTAAAATCATACAACTTAACTGGGATTTGCAAAACGTCCCAAAACTGAAAATTACCTGCAAATTACTCAATTGGGATCGCACAGCAGCAGCAGCAGCAAAATCACCCCCCACCCCCTACTGCGGAAGCCTGGCAGGACCCTCCTGTACAAAGAGTCTCGAGACTCAGTGGGAATTTGCTCGGTCAATAAAAAGACGCGTGTGGGCCCTGGGCCTGGAGAGGCTGAGAATCCCGACTCCTTCATATTTACCAATTACCGTCCACTCTCCCCTCACCGCCACAGAAGAGGTTTCCACTGTTTCAAACGAAGAGCGGTTATTGCTTCTAGGTTCTTCCTCGCCTTGCCGGGTCCAGCTGCGGTCTCGGCAAGCGACTCCGCGTTGTGTTGCCAGCCACGCGGAGCGGGTTCCAGAGCTCTCGGGGAAATTATTATTATTATTCTTTGGTCATTAAAAACAGCGGAGCAAGTTCCCACTGAAGAGGGAGGATTTAATCAGCGGATCGTATCGCTTGCTTTGACACATCCTCACAGCGCCTTCTGGCTGGCCATCGAACGACATCGGTCACTCCACCGCGCGCTTTCACACGGCGTGCGTCTGCAGCCGTCTGGATATTCGGGAGCCACTGGAGCTATGCGCGCTTTAAAATCTGGATTGAAAGCGAATTTATTCCGAACCGCTTTTTGTGTTTTAGTCTGTTGCCCTTCCCCCGCACCTCCAAATTAGCACAGCTGGTTGGGCCGCGTACGGTGTGAAAGAAGTGCAGCGTACGTACGTAGGCATCTGGTGTAAACGTGCAGACGAACAAAGCAATTAGAACAGCACCTGAAGGGTACGCGAGCGTGGAGAGATGCATGCTGGGAATTACATTGACGGACAGAAAGAAAGCGGAACACATGGCTCGGAGAACAAATTCGCTCGAGACATCGCAATGACGGTTTAGGAAGTGAGCGGGCTTGGGCAGTACGCGTCGATGGTTGATGACCGATGGACAAGACTTGTGACGGGAATGGCAATCGGAGTTCGGGATCGCGTCTGAGAGAACGATCGCCGCTGAGAAGGAGCGATGAGATGAGGGAGTGAGGCAGTGAGAAGGGGTGGTGACTTACGTGGGGAGGATATCATCCAGCAGAGGATAGAACTTGGCTGATGATGATGATGATGCCGGCGCCACCACCCACTTACGTGATAGCGCTGGCCCTAATGGGCGCTCGCGAGCAGCAGCAGAAGCCAGCCCAGCTGTCTATTTGAAGCTAAAGCATCTGTGTGTACACATTAGGTGTACCCACAGTAGATGTGGGCACAGGTGTGTGGTGTTTAAGTGTTTGGCTGTGTGCGTGTGTGTGCAGCGTGTGGCCACCCACCCCTCTCGTGCGCCGTTCCGGCCTTCATAGGTGCTCGCTAACAGCACCCGCCCCAACAGTATGTTAAGCGCTATATGAGGGATCTTTGTCTTTGCATGCTTGCTCGTGTGCGTTGCGCGTACAGGCGGAAGGCTCTGGAGATGACGAGAATGATGATGAAGATGACATTGCTGACGGCACCACCAGCGTGAGCAGCAACCCACACAGCTATGCAGTACACTCAGGGTTTACAGTTTACAGAGATAACAGATATGACTCCTGATGCGTCTTAAGTTACACAATGGGGCAGAGGCAATTGGTGGTAGGGGTAGACAGTAGGCGGTGTACAGAGGACGATCGTGAAGTCTTTTGTTTGGACTTAAACAGAAAGATGGAGTCAACAGGGTTCAATTGGAGGACTCTGAAGACGATAGATCTTATTATTTGTGTTCGTGGTTCTTTCGGTAAAGTCACGTTGATAGAAAATAAAAATAATAAAAATAAAATAATAAAATTCAATTTATTCTTTTTACTTTTAATATTAAATTTGATTTTATTATTTTAATTTCCCATCTACGTGACTTTACCGAAAGAAGCAAGAATATGAATTCCTGCAGTCACGAAAGTTTTAAGTCAAAATCTTATTAGTTACACACAATGTAACGGGTATTGGGGCCAAACATCCCAATTTGAAAAATATCCCTGCAAATTACACAATTTGGTTCAGACAGCAGCAGCAGCATCGCTCAACTACTGCGAAAACTTGGGGGGGGGCTGATTCGGTGAGGCTTGTCAAGGGCATGAAGGCAAATAAAACAAATAACTTAAATGACGATGTGAAAGGGAGTAGCGATATCAACTCTCTGACGAAGAGCACACCAGTGCAAAGGGCGCAGACTTTAAGCGTTTGCGATCAGCATTGCCACGGGAAACCCCAAAAGGTTTTCTCCGTGTGGCAAAGCTCGGTCGTGAATCGCGAAGAAGAGCTCTGAAACGCGTGCTCCTCTGGGGCAGTTTTGACAGGTCCCGTGAGTTATCTCACTGGTCCGTGACCTCGTGTCTCACTCGCGAGCGCTGTGCCGGAGCTGGTAATCCTCACCAGCTGGCCTGTGATTTTTGTTAAAAGGCAGCTTAGCCTTCGTGTGTAGGTGTTGTTGCTGTCAAGTACTGCTGCAAGAGCGGAACTGTGAACAAATCTATCTCATGTATTTTTTTATGACTTTTGTTGACTTCCGCCTTTGCTCTCTGGAGCAATCTAATGGCTTAATTTGGTTGTGAGAATTGTTCTTCAGCTCCACCAGTGAGTGGATGACGATATTATGGGTGCCACGGTGGTGAGATGTTCACTACCTCGCCCGGCATACAGGTGGTCGTGGGTTCGATTCCGAAACTGACACCTGTTGTATATTTGGAGTTTGCATGTACTCTCCGTGGTCACGTGGATTTTTCTCCAGGTCCTCCGGTTTTTCCCTCCACATTTAAAAACACGCATTTAAGAGTACTTGGCTGCGATAATTTTCCACGCGATAAGCCACTTTGTTGAGCAATAATTTTGTGTGGCCATGTCGCTTCTGAAACAGAGCTACATAGCTCAGTTGGCCTTACCTGCTCAACTTAAAATTTGTTTAGTTTACAGTGAGCTGAAACGCTAACCATTGGCGTGTTGCTAAACCGCTCGCGCACTGCGTTACAATTAAATTTGTTCGGCTGTGCTGGGTGGTGGGAAGCCTACATGCTACGTGACCTGTGGGGAGTCACTGGGACGGGTGCGCCACCATGTACTCTGAATAGAGTTTCTAACCATTCTCTTGAGATGCGCAAGGTATTTGGCTTCAGTTTCTCGCAGCTCCAAATCAAATTGCGCCTGTAGAGTCTGCCTACGGCTCTGGGCCGCCAACAGTTGTGACCACCTCGCGATTGCCCATGTGACCGACAGAGGACACCTCTGGCTACGGTCCCGGCTCGAGAGGCGTCAGCTGGTTGGCACAAGGGGTCAGGGCACCGAGCCGGCAGCGATGAGTTGCCTGGGGTTGAACCCAGGTGGCCGCCCTCTCATTGATCATCTCAACCGGGTCACCAATGACCGCACAAGAAGCCATCACGTGAAATCTGCTTTTAAAACAATTGGTTTTTACTGCCATATGACAAGTATTTCGACAGCAGAGCGCATGGGGAAACTGCAGCGCCATCCACGTGTGGATAGCAAGTCACTTGAAGGGAGCTCGGATGTAGTTCTGTGACATCTATCCCCACAGACTCCGTCTAACATGGGGTGGATCATGGCTCTGCGACGGTCCCCAGGGACACTTTGTGCCGGGTGACGTGATGCTGAGAGCACAGTTGTAACAGAATTGGGAGATACACATATATTAGTTTTTTTGAATGAAAAAAAAATAAAGTCCCCGTCGCAAGGATTGCTCGCGCTGTCGCGTGTTCCGTTTCCCAGGGCCGCTCGCGTGTGCCTGGGCCCCCGGGCCCCCCCGGTCCTCCTGGGCCCCCAGGCCTCCCAGGGATTCCCGGGCAGCCAGGAAGCGCGGGAGAGGGAGGCCAAGCACAGGGAGGCAGCGGCGAGGCGGTGAGCTGCCCGGCCTGCGCCCCGCCTGACGGTCACTTCCCAACGCTGCGCTCGTTAACATGACTAGACACCCGCTGTCGTTTGGTAACCATGTGCAAAATATAGTCAGGCCCTGCAATGTTCATATCGGGCCTCTACAACACATTCAACCACTATTGAGTCGTGGCATAGCCAACACGGTAGCGTGTAGCATAGTATCGGCGAGGCTCGATTATTGCAACTCCCTACTCTACGGGACGTCTGGCGAAAAACCACTACCAAGCTGCAGCGCGTGCAAAATTCTCTGGCACGTGTCGTGACGAGTACTGCAAGATCACGACCATGTCCATCCAGTGCGAGCCGAGCTGCATTGGCTTCCAGTTGTCAAACGAAATACATTGAGGTCGCGCTCATTACACACAAAGTGCCTGCCACAGATGAACACCAGTTCCTTGCTGATTCCGCAAGGAGCATAAACCATCACGAAAACTCCAGTCATCCTCGCAGCAGCTTTTGGTTAGCCATCGAACAAAGACGATCACTGCGTCGCGCGCTTTAAAATTCAAGTTTGCAGCCGAATGCTCTTCCTTCCGATATTGAAAGCCACTGCACTTTCAAACGTAGATTGAAAATTTCATTTATTTTGAATTGCTTTCCGTGTTTAGTTCGTCCTTCTCCCACACCCCCGATTAGTACAGTTGAGCCAAGTGCTGTTAGCGAGCACCTATAACGGCAAGAATGGTACACATGGGGGTGGGTGGCCAGCACCACGCTCGACCATCTTTGTCTCCCCAGTGGCGATGTTTACACACCGCACCAGGTGCTCATTTGAGGCTGAGTTGACCTAGGGAAGGTTCAAGACCGGTTAAGATATTTGTCACCGATGTTGGCCGTGAGCAGGAATCGAACTCGGGATCGCCGGGTTCGTAGCGCAGCGTAGCGCTAACCGCCGCACCACCGCTCCCCACATACAGGACGCACACTTACTCACATGGCACACCTTACATTCACTCTCATATGCAAAACAGCCTTACACGTGACATGTGTGGCAATCGCCTTGTGTGTAATGAGTGCGAATCAATAAGCAATGTCAAATATGAGAGTGATCGCGTGCTCTGTATTGTCCCATGCGTTGTAGGGTTCTTCAGGCATCCCAGGCCGAATGGGCCTCCCAGGATCCGATGGGCCTCCTGGTCAGAAGGTCGGTTTTGGGTTGGGCGGTCACTCGATGTAAATGAGATCCGAGGCTCCGGGTCAGTGCAGCTTCCCAGCGCACTTCACCATGGCTCTGACGTCCGTCTGGCTGCACGGCTCCCTGCGCCCCCCCCCCTCTTTCCCCTCCCCCCACCCCCCGTGATGGATACTCACCACAGCAGAGCGATCCCCACCCTGACCGGCCGGGGTTAGAGGACACGGCCGCCCCTCGGATAAAGACATTCTCCGAGCATGACAACGGGTCACCTCGTTCGTCTGCTCCACACACATTAGACTTTGCATGCAAAGAACATCACGTCGTATCATAATAACCGCGATATTTGTTATGTGTTTATATGCACGAGAGTAAAATGTTTAGGAGCAGTCTGGCGTCATGAAAACAACTACAATACCTTGCGAGCCACGTCACAACACATGCGTTGTCTGCTTGATTTAGACATCCACGTAAACATCGAGAAGTGTGGCGTTTTAAACTCCACAGGGTTAAAGAAACACAGCCAATGTGCCCTGGTTTCACCCATGTCAGGAAGCATCGGTACAATGTAATAATGCAGCTTTGTTGACGACCATACTGCTTGAATAAACTAAACTAAAAACGATGTTTATTTCACCAGGTAAGGCCCACTGAGCTATGTAGCTCTCTTTCAGAAGCGGCCTGTCCACAAATGATAGCTCAAAGAAGTGGTTTATCGCATGGAAATCTCTAGCGGGCAAATACTATAAACGCGTGATGTTGATTCTAAATGTGGAGGGAAAAACTGGAGCATCCAGAAAATAATCCACGCGACCACGGGGAGAGAGACACGCAAACTCCAAGTATACAGGCGTCAGGGTCGAGATCGAACCCACGACCTCCTGTATACCAGGCGAGGTAGTTAACATCTTGCCACCATGGGGAGATGAAGCGCATCTTTTGGTACAAGCTGGTGTGTGTGTGTCCCACTTGATCTGAGTTCTTACACACCGGTCTAGACATTGCCCTCTTGAGCCTCACCCAGTGGAAATTGTCATGGGTTTAGGCTGAAAGCTCATCTTAAAACAGTCTTGCAGATGTGAGTCATCATTTCACCCCTGTTTTAAAACACATCAGAATGCAGAAATGAAGAGCTATTGTGATTTCAAGCAGACATTTAACTGGGATGTGGTTTAGTTGGGAGTAACATGGGCTCTTTATCCCTCCAGCACGGTACCAGCTAGTAGCATATAAATAGGCTGCTCCTTGCCATAGGAATGGGGAATTTTCACAGTTGAGTGCAGTCAAATAGAATTTGGTCGTGAAGAAACTTTTTACTAACAAAAAATTGTGATGTAAAAATCTATTTAGTGGCTGTGCCCATTTGTTTGGAAGACTTGAGTCAAACATATGTTTTGTGATAAGGCCATGAGTAGAATTGTTTTAATCCATTTCTGAAACGCTGGTATTTTCCACCAAAAATATTCAGACACGGCCACACTGGCAATGCGTAACACCAAGCCCTTTGACTTCAAAGGTGACCTGGAGAAGCATTTGAAAACTGTTTATTTTTTTCTATTAAAAAAATATTTCCCATTCTTGCAACGCTCACAGGCACTGGGACGGCTATGAGACTGCATCACTGTTTAGTCTCGAGGGGGGGTTTTATCTTTCAACTGTTTCCCCCCTGCAAGACGAGAGTAGCGCAGTGTGCACCAGCCAGCCAGCCTTGTCCAGCACACACTCGCGTAGCCTTGGTGGCCCTGCAGGTGCTGTGGTGTCACGTGGGTCGGGGTGCCCTCTGCCCAGCGCTCTGGATTGCACGTCCAACCGCACCGCGTGACGGGACACCCGAGCCAGAGGGCAGGCTTCCTCCTGGGCCCCAACTCTAGGACTCACTTGGTGGGCGAATTCCCAGGGGCCAGGTGGCCCAGTCCAACCCTACCAGCGGCTGAGAACATCCTGACGTTGCCAATAGGTTCGCAGAGACTTGCTCCGTCGATTTGTGTCCCTGGTTTGTTTACGTGTTATTCCGTGGGTGTTTTTTTTTTGTCTGGCTGTGCAGGGTGACAGGGGACAGATGGGCGTGTATGGACTCCCTGGGTTGCAGGTAAAAAAAAAACGAGCGTTGCCCTCCAGGGTATGCACTGAGAGAGTGCGACCAACGTTACCCACGCACACCACCGTGTCCAGTGATGCACTTGGGTGTAGCCTGGTCAGTGACTTGCCATGATGTGACCTCGCTGAGAAACTCTGCGAATTATGTATTGAATTATTCGCTCCCAGCGACTGTGGAAATGGCCCTTGTAGCCACGTATTTCCTTGTTGCATCTGCTCACTTGTCTGCTTGCACCCTAATTCTCACTTTGCCCAAAGTGATCCCTTCGTCTCTGTCTATGATGCTGTCTCTGCCACTGTCTGTCTTTATGTCTCCTACCCCTGACTTGATCTCTGTGTCTCCATCATTGTCTATCCCTCTCTCGCTGTCTTCATCTGTTTCTGTCCGCCTGTGTACCTGGGATTTCTGTGTGTGCGAATGTCTGTGTGGATTTGTTGCGGTCCTGCATGTACGAGTGTGAGTGCATGCATACGTACGTATGTGTGCGTGTGCATGTATTTGAGCATTTGTGCATGTCTCGGTGCACACATGTTTGCGTGTGCATGCATCTGCGTGCGTCTGCGTGCATGCTGTGTGAGTCCGTGCGTGTGTGCACGCCGTGTGAGTCTGTGTGTGTGCACGCTGCGTGTGCACGCGTGCGCATGCATGCTGTCTGTGTGCACGTGTGTGTGCATGATGTGTGTGTGCATGATGTGTGTGTGCATGCTGTGTGTGTGCATGCTGTGTGTGTGCGCGTGCTGTGTGCGGTGTGCGCGTGCTGTGTGTGCGGGTGCTGTGTGTGCGCGCTGTCTGTGTGCGCGTGTATGTGTGTGTGCGTGCTGTCTGTGTGTGCGCGCTGTGTGTGTGCGTGCGCTCGGACTTTGTTCTTCATTTCCCAGCCTGATTTCTCCACTTCCTTTTCCCCGTGGTCCCTGTCGCAGCATCCGTCGGCACCACAGGTACCACCACGCACCGCCCCCTTCCCCACCCTCTCCTCGCTGTGCCTTCGTGTCTCACGGAAATCCCCATTCCACTCTTGCCGCAAAACTTTCGCCATGTGGATTTCAAATGAGCAAAATGGGCGGGTGACAATGAGAGAAGAGATAATGTAAACACATTTTCAGGGGCATTGTTTTGCATTCATAGAGTACTTTGGGGTTAGCTTCTAAAGGCAAACTGGTTATAAAGGTTTGAAATGGGCGTAGCCCAAATGTCAGCAGCCAATGAGAATGTAAGTGGTGGGCAGCGACCACGACGGTGGTGGGTTTTCCACCAATCAACGGGCTGCCAGGTAAAAATTAGCATGTTAATGAGAGAGATTAGCATGTTAATGTGAGAGAGTAGCGCGTTAATGTGAGAGATTAGCATGTTAATGTGAGAGAGTAGCATGTTAATGTGAGAGAGTAGGGTGTTAATGTGAGAGATTAACGTGTTAATGTGAGAGATTAGCGTGTTAATGTGAGAGATTAGCGTGTTAATGTGAGAGAACAGCGTGTTCATGGGAGAGATTAGCGTGTTAATGGGAGAGATTAGCGTGTTAATGGGAGAGATTAGCGTGTTAATGGGAGAGATCAGCGTGTTCATGGGAGAGATTGGCGTGTTAATGGGAGAGATTAGCGTGTTAATAGGAGAGATTAGCGTGTTAATGGGAGAGATCAGCGTGTTCATGGGAGAGATTAGCGTGTTAATTTGAGAGATCAGCGTGTTAATGTGAGAGATCAGCGTGTTCATGGGAGAGATTAGCGTGTTAATGGGAGAGATTAGCGTGTTAATGTGAGATTAGCGTGTTAATGTGAGAGAGTAGCATGTTAATGTTAGAGAGTAGCGTGTTAATGGAAAATCTCAGAGCAGCAACCTCGAGATCGGCGTGCGAGGTGGCTGTGTTAGTGTGAGAAATTTAACCTGTTAATGTAAAATCAGAGAGCCTAAACATTTTTTATATCGGAAGGTAGTAGGATGGGAACATCACAACCAGTTATGACTTAAAATGGTGAAAAAGTCCGTCCAATGATTGCTCAGTTTGTACCCGTCTTCTCGATTGACGTTGTGTCTGTTTATGTGGATGGCTTCATGAACTAATCTTTGTTGATAGCCAGTGGGTTTGCAAAGTACCTTCGTCTTAGAGAAATACATTTCGTGTTAGCCCACCGCATTAAACAATGAGCAGCCACGGCCGAGGTATTGGTCCTATCGTGTTTCAGATCTGCCTTATATTCACGAACACGGTCCGAGACATGTCGCTTAGTTTCCCCAATTTAACTACTACTGCAGACTTAACTTTATTTGTAGACACCGGGGTATTGCATGTCAGGGATCACATCCTTCACAGATGGGATCAGATCACGAATTTTATGTACTGTGTTAAATCGAACCTGGATCATGTGTTTGCTCATGATTTTAGAAATATTTTTTGGTGATCCCTGCTTTGTATGGCAAGGTGATGGTTTTGATTGGGTCTTCAGATGATTCTTTCCCAACGGTTGGGGTGATAGCTTTTCGGATTGTGTAGTCTGAATATCCACTCATCTTGAAAGCTTGGTGTACGTGTTCCAGTTCACTGGCTAGGTGATGATGGTCGGAAATACATCGAGCTCTATGGTGTAGAGTTCTAATGAGGGAATTCTTCTGGTCTGGATGGTGGTGGGAGTCAGGTTTTAAATATGCATCCGTATGGTTGGCTTTCCTGTAGACAGAGTGTACCATTGAGCCATCTGGTCTCTTTTCGATGAAAACATCCAAGAATAGTAACTTGCCATCCTTTTCCACCTCAATGATGAATTTGATGGCTGGGTGTATGGAATTGATGTGGTTGAAGAATTGGTTCAGAGCTGGTAGGCCATGTGGCCAGATGACGTGTCATCTACGTACCTCTTCCACAAGGACGGACGTAGAGTGGATGCCTGGATGGCATCCGTCTCAAAATTTGCCATGAAAGCATTGGCTACAACTGGAGATAAGGGAGAACCCATTGGGGTACCTTTAACTTGTTTGTACAATGTTCCATTCCAGGTGAAGTAAGTGTTGGTGAGGCAGTGTCTAACCAGGGCCGGTACATCAGCATTCAGTCATTGTTGGACCAAATCTTCAATGATTGCAATGGTGTCAGGCACAGGAACTTTAGTAAACAAAGAGACTACATCGAAACTGACGAGAGAATCACCTGGAGATAGTGAGTAGAGACCCAGGGAAACGTGAGCCAACAGAGACATACACGGGTAGAAGACGTATGAGGGGCTGTGATGTGATTGGGCAAAAAGGAAGTGATGTTATTAGGGGGAAATATGCGCGTTAAAGGGGGTGAGATGGAATGAGAGGGTCAGTGAGCAGGGAAAAAATACATCTAAAATTTAGCTGAGGTGATCATGAAAGCATGGTCATAGAGAAGCAGCCATGGCCAGAGGCCTTGAGCAAGAGAATGGAGTTGGGCATTGCGGATGGCCATGGGAAGGGAGTTCCATACACCAAGCGCTGCGGAAGAGAAGAGACGACCTTCCTGCGAGTGGAAGTTGTCTGGGTGATGACTGTAGGCCTGCAGCAGGCTGCACATGGACGAGAGAGGCAGGCAGGGGCGAGTCCAATAAATAACTTAAAGGCGATGAGGGTGATTTTGTAGTTTGTGAGAGGTTGGATTTGGATACCAGAGGATGTATCTGAGGTTTGGATTGATGTCACATTTACAGATACGTGTGAAAGTCTTTGCAGCAACGTTGTGCCTGACGTAAGCCATGGCTGAGTCACAGGGGAGCTTTTCGATTGTCCTGGCACAACTCTATTGCAGCGCAGATATTTCGTGTTGTTTTTCATTCAGCACGGCTTCTTGTTCTAGAAATGTGGGGAGGGCATTGGGAAGGAATGTGCTGCAGGGTTCCGGTTTGTACCTGTTTGAGATTTTTCCTGGCGCGCCGTGTGGATGCTGTGCCGCTATTTCCGTCTCACGCTCTGGGTGTTTGACTGTGCCTGCAGGGAGAGAAGGGAGACGCGGGCCCAGCAGGGCCTCAGGGCCCGCAGGGCCCACAGGGAATCTCCGGCCTCACCGGGCCACCCGGGCCCCCGGGGCCCCCTGGCCCACCCTCATCTGCCAACAGATTCAACTCTGACTTCGTGAGTCTTACCACACGAAGGGTACCCACTGACGTCTAATCACGCGTGTGCTTTGGCAGAGTAACTCCGCTCGTGCCACTGTGGAATGTGGAATGGGTAGACCTGCCCATAGGCCTCCACATTGGCGTGTCATTTGTTTTTTGTTTTACCACGTGCGTCGTCATACCGCGTGTGTCATCATACCGCGTGTGTCGTCATACCGCGTTCGTCGTCATACCGCGTGTGTCGTCATACCGCGTCCATCGTCATACCGCGTGTGTCGTCATACCGCGTGCGTCGTCACACCGCGTGTGTCGTCTCGCCCGCAGAGCGACATGGAGGGCTCGGCTTTCGGCGACGGGGAGCCGGGCACTGTTGGCAAACCTGGGCCCAAGGTGAGCGGCGTCACACGGAGCCCTCGCGTGTGGCGCTGCCTGTGTACGCGCGCGTCGCGACGACGCACCTCGACAGCCCTGTCGTACCCCTTGCACAGTATCGCCATATGGGTGCTGGTTTTATTTTTTACTTAAGTGTTTAAGTAAGTGTTTAAGAGGTTGGTGCCAGCAGCATGTGGCACTACTTGAGCATATTGGCACAGTAGACAGAGAGGAGAGTGGAATCAAATGACGAAATGTGCAGCGGACAACCGTCGGGATATCTGCCCATGGATCGTGATGATGATATGATGATTCAATAAGTTACATTATTAGTTTGAGAAATGCTTTTTCGTAGATAGTTACAGCTTGGCTCTCGTTTACCACAGTGATTTTATAAGCGCATCAAATGTACGTATTTCTTACGCAACCGTCAGCGTGTGTGCTCGAAGTATCATGAAATGTAAAGTCACAATGATTAGAAGACTCGTGGCAGGCGTACGCCCGCCGAGTGAACTGCAGGTGAATAACTTTTTGGGTAAATTATCTATTCCCACTGGAGGTGCAGAAAAGCCAAGGAACAATGCAACAACAGTAAATGTGAAATATTTGTTAAGAAACTGATGTGGCAAAAATTTCCGAATCACGGGAATTGACATTGTACCGGAGCGAATTGTGAAAAATGCAATTAAGTCAACCCTACTATGGACACACGCACTTCATATTCACTCTCCCTGGCCTACAAAGATAAAGGTCCCCGTATAGCCTCAACGACTTTTGGGACAAGTGCTGTTAGCGAGCGCCTATGCAGGCCGGCATGGTACATGAGGGGGTGGGTGGCCAACACCACACGCCCCCGACCACCTTTGTCTCCCCAGTGGCAATGTTTACACACCGTTCCAATTACTAATTTGAGACTGAGTCGACCTAGGAGATACCCAGGACCAGTTCAGATAATTATCGCTTGGTGTTTGCCATGAGCGGGAATCGAACTCGTATCGCCGGGTTTGTAGTGCAGCGCACACGCCCACACAAGGTCTCGTGCTAACCGTTACTCTACCACACGTACCTGCATACGCGTATACACGCATACAAAGTGTACATAGCTTACACGAGCACCGGCATTAGCACACGCGTGTGTAGACACGCGCGTGTACACACGCGACACCGAGACTGGTAACAGCAGGCTTCATGCAGCCGCAGCGACTTTTAAAGTGGCGGGTGGTTGTCGCCTGTGGGAGCGCCGTTGACGCTAACTAATAGATTTAATTCGCCGAGAGAACAAACGAGAGTGGCGAGGCGGTTTAACCTCTGACCCTGCCACTGCCGCCGTTACAAACCGGTTCGCCATAGGCAGCGAGCGCTGCCGGGCGTGGTTGGAGGTCAGGTTGTCGGGCGGCTCGGTGGGGCTGATATTCGCTCCAGCGTTGAGCTGGCATTGCACAGAATGCCGGCTTCAAACTCAAGCACGTACGTTTCTTGAACTTCTTTCGTACGTAGCCATCCGTGCTAATGGGAGGTGTGGGGGAACGATGACAAACTAAACACGAAAAGCAGTTCTAAGGTATTGAGTTTTCAATCGCGATTTCAAATTTGCATAGCTCCAGTGGCTTCCTAATGTCAGAAGGAAGAGCGTTCCAGACGGCCGCAGAAGCGCATCTGAGAGCGTGCGATGATGACCGTAGTTGGTCAATGCTCCTTGACGGGATCATCAAGGTACCGTGGTGCACGCGTGGCAAGCGCTGAACCACAATACCTTGCTGATCTCGTGCAGCGAGTTCATGGGCTCAGCTCAGTCACCAATGACGACGCAAAAAAAATTCACAGTACGTTTGATTTGTGACTGCGTTTGGTATATTCTCCGTGGGTGAGCTATAAAAAAGAAATTGGTTTCAGTGTCACGTAGCGAGCACAGGCATCATAGACATGATGCATCGTAGACATGATGCATCGTAGACATGATGCATCGTAGACATGATGCATGGTAGTCATGATGCATGGTAGACATGATGCATCGTAGACATGATGCATCGTAGACATGATGCATGGTAGACATGATGCATGGTAGACATGATGCATGGTAGACATGATGCATCGTAGATATGATGCATCATAGACATGATGCATCATAGACATGATGCATCGTAGACATGATGCATGGTAGACATGATGCATCGTAGACATGATGCATGGTAGACATGATGCATCGTAGACATGATGCATGATGGACATGATGCATCGTAGATATGATGCATCGTAGACATGATGCATGGTAGTCATGATGCATGGTAGACATGATGCATCGTAGACATGATGCATCGTAGACATGATGCATGGTAGACATGATGCATGGTAGACATGATGCATGGTAGACATGATGCATGGTAGACATGATGCATCGTAGATATGATGCATCATAGACATGATGCATCATAGACATGATGCATCGTAGACATGATGCATGGTAGACATGATGCATCGTAGACATGATGCATGGTAGACATGATGCATCGTAGACATGATGCATGATGGACATGATGCATCGTAGATATGATGCATCGTAGACATGATGCATGGTAGACATGATGCATGGTAGACATGATGCATGGTAGACATGATGCATGGTAGACATGATGCATGGTAGACATGATGCATCATAGACATGATGCATCATAGACATGATGCATCGTAGACATGATGCATCGTAGACATGATGCATGGTAGACATGATGCATCGTAGACATGATGCATCGTAGACATGATCCACTGCCTCATGTTAACGAGAGGCAACTGAAACACGTGTGTGGGGGGGGGGGGGGGTGGGAAATAACTGACCTACTTTATTCGTGGCTTCCCAGCGCAGCTGCAAACACTTAATTGTAGGTGTACACATTGCCCACGTTGCTGCACTTGCTGACGCAGGCTTCTGTCGACAGGGCATGACAGGAGACCCGGGTGCAGACGGAACGCCAGGACTGCCGGTACGCCTCGTATCTTGCTCATCTCCTCACGGGATCCGTGGCCCTCGGGGGAGTGGGGGGGGGGGGGCCTTGTTAGGCACCTGTCAATCAAATCTGTCTCCTCAGCGAGCCTTCAACTCGACGCATCTCTCCTAACTCAAACGAGCACTGGGAGGGTGGCATCTCCCTTGGCGGCCCTGGCCCGATGCTGGAAACATTTCTGTGATGGTGGAGCGTGTTTTGTTTGTAGCACTGCCACTTGCTGATGTCGCAGTAAATGGTATTTTCTCTGGCGACTCCCTCCCACGGAGGTAAAGGGCCCAAGGCAATCCCTCGCTGACAATCCCTCCCCGGCAATCCCTCGCCGGCTATCCCTCCCCGTCAATCCCTCCCCGTCAATCCCTCCCCGACAATCCCTCCCCGACAATCCCTCCCCGTCAATCCCTCCCCCTCAATCCCTCACCGTCAATCCCTCGCCGTCAATCCCTCCCCGACAATCCCTCCCCGACAATCCCTCCCTGACAATCCCTCCCCGTCAATCCCTCCCCGTCAATCTCTCCCCGTAAATCCCTCACCCTCAATCCCTCACCGTCAATCCCTCGCCGACAATCCCTCCCTGACAATCCCTCGCCGACAATCTCTCCCCGTAAATCCCTCACCCTCAATCCCTCACCGTCAATCCCTCCCCGTCAATCCCTCACCGTCAATCCCTCGCCGTCAATCCCTCGCCGACAATCCCTCGCCGACAATCCCTCGCCGATAATCCCTCGCCGGCAATCCCTCGCCGGCAATCCTTAGCCGACAATTCCTCCCCGACAATTCCTCCCCGTCAATCCCTCACCGTCAATCCCTCACCGTCAATCCCTCGCCGACAATCCCTCGCCGACAATCCCTCGCCGATAATCCCTCGCCGGCAATCCCTCGCCGGCAATCCTTAGCCGACAATTCCTCCCCGACAATTCCTCCCCGGCAATCCCTCACTGGCAATCCCTCGCCGGCACTCCCTTGTCGGTGAGGGATTGTATGTAGGTACATTTGCTCAGAGTCTGAGACGGTGAGTCCCGCTTGCCGTGCCAGCCCCCCACGTTGATCGTTGCTGATTTTCCCGCCGCCCGTTTGAATTCCTTTTTTTCCAGGGACCTCCGGGGCCTCCAGGCTCCGTCGGACTCGCAGGCCACCCCGGGCCCCAGGTGGGTCTCAACTTCGGCTGCCTCGGCTCCGTGCAGAATCGACGCCAGCGTACACATTGCTCGTGCGGCCACGATTCACGGGGTTGTTGATTCCATTCGGTGATTTTTAAAAAAAATATATTTTGTTTATCATTTGCTCGGACTTGTTTTTTTTTTCATTCCCGTACCACCGTTTAGCACGGTTGGCGACGTACGGTGCGAAACAAGTTCAACGTACATACATACATACAAGGAATAGACCTGCCCATAGACTTCCACACTTGCGTGTCATTTTTCACGGTGAAGCAGACCCTTGTCTGAATTGTTTATTTCCCCCGATTCTACAAAGACAGTGCGTAATATACTTTGCACATACAACTCATCGTACTTTCTGAATTAAATTTGGTGAGTGCTTGTAAATAAACAAATAAATATACCTTGGCAGTGTCGGATTAAGCTAGTGCGGGGCCTGTTGCATATGTTATAAAGGGGCCCGAAGTAAAAAAAAAACACGGAAATATTAAAACACAAATTTTTTACTTGCATAGTAAAGTAATTGTTTCTTTTTTATTTGCTATACAGCCAGATAATACGACAAATCGCTAACCTTAAACACCCAGTCGTTCATAAAAGTTGAAGGTAGTATAGTACTATAGTAATAGAGCAAGTGCAGAATCACTGAACCGGAATTGAGAGCTTGAAAGCATTTAGTGCGGGACTGTACCTCCCAGCAAATACACTTTGACATGCAATTTTTCAAAAAGAGCCTCGGTCTCCTGGCTGATTTGCTGCCCCGGGGGTCAGCAAGCCCTGGCTGTGGAGCCGCGTGTGGTGGCTCTTTTAAGGACTGCCCCTTCGTGCCGTTCTGTGTTGAAGACCCACCATCACGTATTCACCACAATGCACTGCCGATATTGCAATGTAGATTTATTTTGACCGAATTCGAAAAAATGCCTCTTCTTTTTACGTACGTTGGTTGCCAACTCCCATGCTACGCAAATAGGAACGTACGATCAATATCCTGGCCTTTCTTAAAAACGGACTTTTACCTCGGTGGGCTCCCACGTCGTGAACGCAAACGCATTCTCTCTTCACAACAACGTCACCACCACGTTTTCCTCTCTTGCAGTTTTAGAGAGTACAGTTTTTCACGACCACCTACACAGTTTTTCCAATTACTGTAGGCATCGTTTGCACCTTAAGGCCATCACAGCTATTTTGAGTATTGTTATTTGTGCATAAACTGTGTTTGTCATGGCAACATGTGTATGGATAATTGGTTCCCCTTGTTGCAGGGCCCGACGGGTGCCAAGGGCGAGATGGGTCTGCAGGTGAGTCACATCTGCTCTGAGAGTCGACTTTTTCACCTGCGGAATGTAGACAGTCACAGAGTTCACCGCGTGTCGACGGTAGATGCGTTCCCTGACAACGCCTATTGGGGCCGTGGTAGTGGCATGACTGCTTGTACCACCGACACCCAACGTCTGCCACCACCGTGATACCGGCTGCAAATGCCATTGCACCCAATGGGGCACCACAGTGGCGAGATGTTAACTACCTAGCGTGGTGTGCAGGAGGTCGTGGGTTCCATCCCGACCCTACTGCCTGTATATTTGGAGTTTGCATGTTCTTCCTGTGGTCGCGTGGATATTTCTCCAGGTCCTCCGGTTTTTCCCTCCGCATTTAGAAACATGCGTTTATAGTATTTGGCTACGATACATTTCCACATGATAAGCTACTTCGTTGAGCTACCATGTGTGGCCAAGTCGCTTCTGGAAGAGAGTTGTATATATAAATAGTTTGAGGTGTAATGCTCCTACGCAGGGATTATCCCCATAGGCAGCACACAGTCTGCAACACAACCCAGCCACCTGTGGACTTTTTGCTTTCACTCGAGAATTTAATCACTACTTTCTGCTCGATCAACACGTCCATTTCAGCCAGCGTGCAAACGACTACCAAAGCAGTAACGTCCACCACAAAGGCAGATACCCCACGCTCATTATTCAGCAAGGTTGACTTTTAACACGAATGAATGTCGCTACACACTGACAGAGATCGTACCAGCTATGATGTTACTTTTAAAAGGACCATTACTTCATGACTATATATCAAACGTTCTTAATGTTTTACCGAAAAATGCGATCTTCGTATGACGGTGCATTTTTTGTTACATTTGGTAATGAGCAGGCAGGAGGGGAATGGAGAATGCAACTGTGATGCAGGCTCGATGGACGGGGTGCTGCTGTGTGTCTACAGGGGCGACCGGGCGTGGACGGCGTCGGCATTCAGGGACCGCCCGGCCTACCCGGTCCACCTGGGCCTCCTTCCTTCTTCCATGGACCAACCTACGATGTGGTGAGTGGCAGCGGACACCCGCGTCAAGCCTCGGCCTGAGAGACTCGATTGTGTAATCACACACTGACACGCGCGTGGGGGGGGGGGGATTTAGGACCTTTGTGTTTCAGAGTTTCGTTGCAAGTCGGCAGTCTTCCTGAAAGCTTCTCAGTGCACGTACTGCATGTACGTTGAATTGATTTCACACCGCACGTATCTAACCGTGCGAATCGGAGGTTAGCAGTACTTGTAAATAGGGAACAACAGAACCTAAATTGAGGTGTGTTCTGTGTGTGGTGATATTGGGGAATCTGTGAGGCTGGAGTATAAATATTTGGAGTTTTAATGAACAGTTGGCAGCATCAGGAGTCCTTAACCCCCAAGTATTCGTAGACACTGTCCCCTGCTCAGAACCAGTATGCAATGGAGCAAAGGCCCAACCCTGCGTGAGGTACACCTTTCCTACCAGAAATCTCAGCAATGTTTTGAGGAGCTTGGTTGTGAATTACCCAAAATATTGTCTTTAATATTATTGCACAGTTTCTATAATGATTAAAAGACGCTGTGAAGTGAGAGAACAGAAAATGAAACTTTCGGTCACACTTGGGCCCTGTCGTCTTTCTTGTTGAAAATATGGAATGTACTCAACTGGCACCTTCCTGGCAGCTTAGGCTGGATTTCTAATCTACAAATAGGCTCACTCTTATCACGTTCCCACGACCAATGTGAACTATGCCTGTCCATTGTTTGAACCGGGCTGGAGCGAACCGGTCTCAAGCTCGCTGGCCCAAGGGGCTCCCAGACTCGGCTAGAGAAGCGCACCGCTGCCTTCTACCCGGGCCGACCCTGGCACCGACCGTGATGCCTGGGGGTCGTCACAGACGCGAGATGCGTGCGTCGTGACGTTGCTCGCTTGGTTACACTTTGCAGCGGTTCTGTTAAAATCACGTGGGCGCAATATTATATAAATTGTGTATTCCCGCTTTAAATTGCCTACCGTAACCCCCATGTCTACGTAAAAAAACATTGCTAAACACAAACTTTATTTAAGATCGCTTCACATACCCGGTAGAGGGCGGGAGATCCACGAAGCCCCAGGGCTCACGGGGCGTGGAGCACGGACCTGGGCACTGCTGCTAATCTTGGGTCACATCTCGGCCAATACTGGGCTTACGGTCCCAGTACCCAGTAGCCGTTGGAATGAGAGTTGTGTTGGGAATCCGGAGCAGTTTCGATGAGAAAGGGATTAAAATAAAGAGTTCAAACGGTGGGTGAGATTGTGATAAAAAAATACATGTTTTGTAAAAAAAAACATCCACATAGCTACTCACGTGCATACGGATGTCATACACTTATCACTGTGGCCATTAATGAATTAAACCGGGTCATAAATGGGAACCGGATTTTAAGAAGCGTTTAGGCTCTGACCTCAATAACGTCTAATTACCAGGTTCCCTAATCAATGAAACATGAAGAGACGTCACTCTGCGTATTGTGGGAAGCTGAAATAATCATTCTTGGCACGAAAACATAACATTCTGCCCAGCTTGCAAGAATTAGGATAAGATTTAGATCGCTCGTGATTGATCATATTTTGGGAAATGTTTTAAATATTCGCATACACAGCCATAACAGTTTTTAATGACCACAACACACGGCAGTACTTTGTTAACCTGTTCTGTGTAGTTCAAGGTCATGTTTATTGACATTTAAACAACCTTTGCAGTAAATTCTGTGCTGCTTATGAGTTTACATTGACTCGGAGGCCATTTTACATTCAGTGCTATTTTGCGACCGCCCAATCACGCGAGGGAGCAAACCATTATGGCGTACGCAGTGTATCTATTATAGGAAGAGCTGTGCTTTGTAACGAGTGTGTCTTGCATTGGGTAAAGGAAAATCCCTGGCTGCTCTATGCAGACCTTTGGTTTGTACTTGCAGGCCTTGTCTGTGCTGTGGGTGTAAGACCGTGCGTGTCCTATGTTGTGGGGAGCTGTGGCGCAGCGGTTTGCACACTGCGACCTGAGTTCAGTTCCCGCTCACGACCAATATAACAGCGATGATGATCTGAACCGCTCCTGGGTCTCCCCGAGGTCGACTCTGCCTCAAATGAGTAACCCTGATGTGGTGCGTAAACATCGCCACCCTCGTGTTCCATGCCGGCTAACAGCACTTGCCCCAAGAGTCTGTTAAGGCTACACGGTGGGAGAATCATTGTCTTTGTCCTCTGTGTGACAGGAGTCAGGGGGTGTGGCAGGCCAAGCAGGACAGCCAGGGCCCCCAGGCCCCATGGGACCCCCAGGACTCCAGGTGAGCACAAACGTGGATCGCACGACCCGCGAGCCACAGGCGGGGCCACGGTGGCTCAGCCACGTACGTACGCAACGGGCTAAACAGTGCGTGTCCCGGCGTGACCAACGTCCCGACTCCGCGGGAATTCCATTTTTGATGCGGCGGAGGCGAGGATGGCCTCTCGAGTGGACGAAGCCACTTTGCTTCTCCGCGTCCGCCTCCTCCTCCTGGCCGCGACGCTCGTTTCCGTGTGAAGCGCGTGGCCAACGCGCAGCGCCAGGCGTCGGGGGTGGCGGGTCGCCGCGCCCTCCGCGCGTCCCGAGGGCGCGGCAGCGAGCTGCGCACGCAGTGTTCACAGTTCCTGCCCTTCGCGGCAACAACCAACAGACGCAACGGCGCATGGGAGCGAGGCGCAGGGCGGGAGGCGCCGCACGGCCTGCGCCGTCTGCGACGCCCCGCGGCCCCGTTCTTATCTGAAGGCCAGAGGCGAACGTTTGCCTTGGAGCGGACCGCAATTCCTGGTGCGGAATCGAGAACGCATCCGCCACTGCGTCGGATGTTGTCGTGGTTCCGGGGTGTATTGACACGAAACGTCACCCCCGTCACCCTTGGGGTCGCAACGGTCTATTACGGGTCAAGGGAATCACAACGGAATCAGAATGTTTATTATTTCGACTGGAGGAATCCCATGAGCCATCACGATGTCCCGTAAGGGTGGCAGGTCAGCAAGTTACAGCAACGAACAATACACTAAAGGATAGCGGGTGGAAACGAGAGAAAAGGTAAGCACGTTGCGGAAAATAAGTAAAAATAAACAAAGTATATGAGTAGAAATTGCATGAGTACATATATTCTTGCCGATATTTCAGCACTAAATGCAAGAAATCACCGTGAGGACTTTCAGCTCGATTGCAGCAACACGCAATCCACAATGTTTGTAAGAGGGAGGTGGAGTATTGATACTCTGCATGAATTTCTCCTTGAATTACAGTTTCTTCAGACGCGCTTAAAACACTTAAAAGTGTGACTTGGCTTGCACATTCCAAAGCGGCGCCCATTTGACAGTGGATGTTGAGACGCGGTGGGTGAAATAACCACCGAGACGACAGGTTCAGTCTGATCTCAACTTCCCATTGTGAATCGAGGCCCTGTCCCTGAAACGCGCGACACCTCGTACGTGCCTCGCGGCGGTGCGGTGCCGCGCTACGGGCCCTGCCACACCACACAGGCCCTGCCACACCACACTGGCCCCGCCGCACCACACGGGATCCGCCACACCACACGGGCCCCGCCATACCACACGGGAACCGCCGCACCACACGGGACCCACCACACCACATGGGATCCACCACACCACATGGGATCCACCACACCACACGGGATCTGCCACACCACACGGGACCCGCCACACCACACGGGACCCGCCACACCACACGGGACCCGCCACACCACACGGGACCCACCACACCACATGGGATCCACCACACCACATGGGATCCACCACACCACACGGGATCTGCCACACCACACGGGACCCGCCACACCACACGGGACCCGCCACACCACACGGGATCCACCACACCACATGGGATCCACCACACCACACGGGATCTGCCACACCACACGGCCCCGCCACACCACACGGGATCCGCCACACCACACGGGATCCACCACACCACATGGGATCCACCACACCACATGGGATCCACCACACCACACGGGCTCCGCCGTGCAGCGCGGGTTTGCGTGTCGAGAGGGGCCCTGAGGCAGGGGTGACTCGTGCGTTGCCGCCCCACTCTGCGCACAGGGGCCTCCGGGAATGGTGGGACTGGCTGGACACCCAGTAAGGCCTCTCTCGCCTCTCTCCCTTGTAGCCGCTTATCCATTTCCACGTCGGCCTCAGTCGAGGAGACCCACGTCCCCTGCCCATATCTGCCTCCCTTTAAACCATCGTGAGCGTTCGCCCTGGTCCCCGAGTCCCACTGTGCCGGCCCGGTCCGTGCGGGACTGAGCCTTCCCAGCCTCCGCGGATGTTTGTCGCCGCCCTCCTGTGTGTGCGTCAGCTCCTTGACCTCCTGACAGCGTCGCATCTCCATGACTAATGACCCCCTGTGTCAGTTCCAAACCCCGTCACGTTTTTCCGAGCCGAGTCCAGACCATGACACCACAGCGTGCGCGCACAAGCCATATGGAAATAATATTGCGGGGCACTTTGCGGTGAATGTCAGTGCCCATTCCTTGAGTTATGATGAACCGGTTGTGCCATAACCGCTGGTTTGCGCATTTGCTTAGTGTGAAGGGTCTTGCCTCAGCTCAGGCCATCGCGTACGGTCCCTGCTTCCGCATCCCGACAACATCCACACGTACCCCCACGTTCCCCCACGAGCGTCCGCTGACCCCGACGCCACCGCTTGGCCCTCACCGGCGTTGTGGCTCCTCCGCAGGGGCTGCCTGGACCCCGCGGGGAGAAGGGCGCCTCGGGCATTCAGGGACCCACGGGGATGAAGGTGAGGACCACGTCCACCCGCAGGCACGAGAGAAGCCGCCGACATCCGGCGCTCCCTTCGCTTATTGTGTTTTTGGGTTCTTACGAAATAAATAACAGTAATCATATTGATGAGCATATTCACCCGTTCAGTCGGAATTTGGCGTCTGCTAATGGTCCTAGAAATAATTCTGTGGCCTTACAGTAGAAGTGGTGCATGAATAAATATTGATGTTCAGCCAAGCATACACTTTTTAAGTTTTGCCACAAATTCCACATGCATAATACTGTTTTAACTGAAAAATTGGGATTTTTTATTATTATTTTAAATCCAAAGAAATGTAAAAATAGCGGAGATAATTCAGAGAAATGTAGAGAATCCACATGTGGTAGAAGTGGCTGGCAGTGCCCTCTGTGAGTCTCCACAGTTGATGAATCGATCACCGTTATTTAAATTAGGTGAGAGGCCATCGAGACCCGAAATCTCTTTATCAAGGTAGATCGTGAGTTCAGGAAGAGTCTTAAAGGATCTCTTGCTTTCCTTGTGATAGCTGTTGGGATATGCATCTCTCAAACCAAGTAGCTTGAGACCTGAGACAGAGAGTTCTTCTTCAGGTGAGGGATTGAAGATTTTAAACATCGATAGACAAATTGCACTGCACTTGCAGAGGATCGTGGAGAAAAACACATTTCCATGAGGGCCACTTGTCACTTTCCATGTCAGGACAGACTCCTCAGTCACACTCTGTGCGTAGTGTACTACCTCGGAGGCCAGTTACGCTGTAAAGACCACACCACTAACGTCTCAAATTGCATTGCAGCGGAATACCGAGTGATGCAGCTAATGGGGAAGCAGTGCGCGGTGTCGATGTCGCAACGTTCGCCCGACCGTGCAGTTAAAAGGGGCGTCTGCTCGGTGCGCACGCCTCTGCGTGCGCGCGTTTGTTTCCTGCGCGTGTCCATCGCAGGGTGAGAGGGGGGAACCCGGAGTCATCATTGCTGCAGATGGCTCCCATCTGGCGAGCATGGCAGGGCCCCAGGGACCCAAGGGTGACAAGGTGAGTCATGGCAGCAGCAGCAGCAGCAGCACCTGCGACCTGTAGGCCTCATCCCAGCGCTGGCAGTATCATGGGCACAGGCCCTCCCCCCCCCCGCTCCGCCCAGGGATCAGCTCACGGTCCGTGCTCGGAGGCGGCTCAACAGTGAGAGTGCGGGGAGGGCAGGGGGAAGAGAGACTGGGGGAGAGAAGCTTTAGCCCAGCCGAATGTAGCAACGCTAAAGACAAACGCCGAGAAAGACGCGGAGAGACTCAGAGACGCAGAGGAAGAGACGGAACAAGATAGGCAAACGGACACGGAGAGAAACAAATGCAGAGAGAGAGAGAGAGACAAAGACAACTGCTAGCTGGAGTAGTTGGCGGCTGGGCTAATGGAATTCATGGGCCCACTTGTGTTAGCGTGTGTGAGCCAATTAAATTAGTGCCGCTCGATAGGAAGGCAGCAGTGGTTCTGCCGTGGTTCATGGAGTGCCCTTTCACTCACCACCGGCTCGGGGCCACCGCAGGAGATGAGTGCTGCCCCGTTGCACGTTTAGGCAGCGGAGACGCTGACAATTGGCCTCGACCGTGCTTGGTTGCTCCAACCGTGTGGACACCTGGAGCAGAGCGCGTGAGCACTGGCCACTGGGGAAACGGAGTTTTGTCACGTCGCACTCCGAGCGAACGCTGGCTTGCGCGAAGCGCAAGTTACCGCCGCTGTCTGCGAGCGTTGCCAACGGACGCGTTACACCGTGTGGAAAATGCCGCTGTAGTCCAAGCGCAATGTGATTGGGAAAAAGTGAAAAAACAGTGTGGCCGCGTGATTTGTGCCACATGCAGAAATCACTGCTACTGTCACCTGACGGTGACGATGATGATAGCGGCGTTAACCTCGTTCGCTCTTCTTGCTGTGTTGCAGGGCGATGCCGGCTCTCCTGGATTGATGGTGAGTTCCGTGCAACCACGACCGAGCACCCCCAATTAGCACAGCTGGCTACGTACGGTGCGAAATAAGTTTAACATACGTACGTGCATAGCGAGTGAGTCTAGAAGCAGCATGCATTCGTGTGCACGCGAGCCGCTGTGTCTCTTGGGGGAAATGAGTACTTGCTGGCCGTGGTTGATTTGTCCAGCGCTTACCTTGCCGTGCTGCACTACTCCATCTGCACAAATAAATAATAATTGATACCGTCCTAATGTTTAATAGCAATAATATTAGTTTATACTTTTAGAGCACCTTTCACCCAGAGAATACAAAGTGGTGTGCAGAGCGAATAACAGAAATAACATTTCGAGCAATAAAATAAGAGCAAAAAAAACATAACTAATAAAATCACGCATTCTTGTGGTAAGAACACCCACCAAATAAAATAACCAATCCATAGCGGCAAAATACTGAGGAAGTAAAAGGGGGCCTTCGAGGGCGGACGGCGCTTCGGGGTGGGAACCGAATCGTGGCCGAGAGACTGGGCACCGCCCGAGCCGAGTGGATTCCACGCGGCGAGAGTCCCCGTTGAGCGGAGAACGGAGGGGGAGCGCCGCGATCTTTGGGCGTGCACAGCGGCAAGCGGCCACTGTCGGGGTACCGGAGGAGAGGACTCGCGGAGGGAATCGCTGCGTGGCTCCCTGGCAACGGGTTTCTGCGCCGCCGCGTCCATTGAACCGGCAGCGTTTCCTCGGGGGCTCGCCGCTCCGCGCTCGCCCTTGGGCTCGGCGCTTCCCCGCCTGGGATCCCACGCGGAGCCCCGGAGGGCCGGGGCGGGCTCACGGGGGCCGAGCGCCCGCGCTGGCCGCATGCTGGCTTGGGCGGGGGCCAGCGAGGCCTCGCGATGTCCTCACCGTGTCCCTCTTGTCCTTGGTCGCCAGGGTCCGGCGGGTCACGCCGGAGTCAAGGGGGAGTACGGCATGCCGGGGCGGCCCGTAAGTCCTCTTCTCTGCCGTCGTCGCTCTGTCCGCGTTTTTTGATGCTGACGTGAATAGGGCCTTGGCTCTAGCGTTGAACGTGTTTGTGCGTGTGGTGCAGTTCACGTGAGTATCACGTTGGTGTTACAATGCAAGTCACTCGATTTATATATACACGGCAATCATCGCCCACTACTGCGAAAAACCTTTTAGGACCCTCCTGAAAAAGAGTGAAGAGACTTGGTGGTTAAGAAGCGTAATAAAATATTACAATAAGTACGGCTTCTACACACAGCAGAATTGTCACAATCGCGCACAATTCGTTGTCTTAAATTTTGCATTCATAAGACTTCATAATGCACCTGGATTTGAACCCAGGCTTCACTATTTGAAGTCAAGATGTTTGCCTCGCAGAGCCACAAATCCACTCGATGCACTCAGTGCCTGGAACTCTCAAATACTCCCAGGCTTCACAGGATATCTTTATAAACATCATGAAGACATCAAAAACGAATAGAACAGGTGCATCGTTACACTGCCTATGTCGTTCCATGGTTGGATTGCTGACTTTGTGTTCTCAGGGTCGGCCGGGAGTTAACGGCTTCAAAGGTCAGAAGGGCGAATCTGGAGGAGGTGTTGGCCTGGGCAATGTGAGCACCTCTACCGTGCATCCTCACAACTCTATCACACGGCACACACCGCACAGGACAACAACCTGCACAGCACACACCTCGCACAGCACAGCACACCGCACCGCAAACACCGCACAGCACACACAGCACACCACACAGTAAACGCACAGTAAAAATCACACCACATCGCACACCACAGCACACCCCACAGACCACAAAGATAAAGATCCCCCATATAGCCTTAACAGACTGTAGGGGCAAGTGCTGTTAGCGAGCACTTATGAAGGCCGGAACGGTACACGAGGGGGTGGGTGGCCAGCACCACGCCCGACCGCCTTTGTCTCCCTAGTGGCAATGTTTACACACCGCACCAGGTACTCATTTGAGGCTGAGTCGACCTAGGGGAGGCCCAGGACCGGTTCAGATAATCGTCACTGGTGTTGGCCGTGAGCGGGAATCGAACCCGGGTCGCCAGGTTCATAGTGCAGTGCGCTAACCGCTACACTCGCTCCCCACAGACCACATATACTACACCACACACACCCTACTGTTAGACCACACGTATACTACACCTACCACAGCACACCACATAAACTACACTTGCACTACACGTACCACCTCACACACACCCCGGACATCACATATTACACCACACACAGACACTCCACACATACACTACACATACCACAACGCACACACTACACATACCTTGTGTCTTCCGGCATCGTCTGTTTTGGCAGAAAACCCAGAATCGGTTTTGGACTTCTTACGTTTCGTCAGCAGTCTGTGTCCTGTCGAGCGAATGCCGCCGATTTATTCTGGAATCATAGGCAAGAGCACTCCACGAACACCGGAGAGCCCAACCAGCGTGGTGCAGCGACATTGTGCACACGTCATGATGCCCTCTCATGTAAATTGTGGGCAATACAATAACAAATATGTTAATATATCTAAATAGGTAACCGTGCGGAGGAGGGGCTGTTTCGTCACCGAAGCGAATAGAGTAGCGGCATCCGCGCGGCGTCCGCTCGTCGTAGCGACGCAGTGAGCGTTCCACCGCGTTTCACCGCTTCACGGGAGTTGGCCTCTCTCTGTCCGCAGAGCTTCCCCGGCCCTCCCGGACCTCCCGGCCCGCCTGGCCCCCCGGGCCAGCCGGGGTTCCCCGTGGACGTCAACAACAGAGTAAGAACGCGGAGTGCGGTCACGTGGCCCCCAACCGCCGCTGCCGCCGCCGCTGCCTGTGCCGCCGTGTTCCCATCCTCGTGTTTCTCGCGTCATCGCGCGTTTGCTGCCCGTCACTGTGCTGTCTCTTGTGTCTGTCCCCCCTTGTAGCGAGTAGTTCCACCACCTCCTCGCCCCCACTGCAAAATCCCTGTAAGTCATTGCGCACCTTGGAACGGTCCAAACAAACGGTGAACAAGAGGAGGAGTTAAATGGGTCGGTGACCAACAATGACAATGGATGTCAGAGGCTCACAAATGTCAATTTTTTTATATATATATATATGCATTCGGGCATCTTTACTCATTAAATTGGCTAAGACAGCATTTGATATTTATACTTTGCAGAGCAAAACAAAGTGTACGGGAATAATTGTACTCTTTACCAGATTTTGTTATACTTCTGCTTATGGCCGATGGAGAGCAACGGCTGTCGTGTCACGTTCAGATTGTTGAGCCAGATGATTGGGTCAGGAGTAGCGGAGTGGCGTGTCGCTGTGATGATGCCTCATTTGTATCTTACCGGGGAATGTGTAGTTACCTGGGGGAGGTTATAAAAAATGTCATTTACTTTTGGCTACGTTCCAAGTTTGGGAATTCAGCTGAAGCCACTGCTCGCATCTTTTTGACGACTGCCTTCCGGAGTTCCGGTAAGGCAGCTACTGGGATTGAAACATCGAATTCATACCAACTGTCTCAGGAGCAAGCACGCGAATATGGCTCTTCAGCCATATAGAAAACTATTATTACTTGTACATAAGTAATTTATAAATGCGGATTGACAAAGTAAGCCCGAATCAATCAGCAACTGCAATTTGTACGCAGACTCCTCCTCACGACTGAGTAAGCACCCCACATTCACCGCACGGAGTGAACTCGTTTGAGCACCCTTGACAATTGCACTGAGGAGGGCTATTCGAGTACAGGCGATCATCAATTACCCAACTGCTTTGGGGGGCAGAGGGGTGCCTGATGAAAAAAAAAACCGCCGGATAATCACTAAATCGTTATTTAAAATATCTTATTTTTGCACATTCTTGCGTAACATGTTTTTAGGTTTCGATTTTAAACTTTCATGACTGCAGGGATTCATATTTTTTGGTTCTTTCGGTAAAGTCACGTAGAAGGGAAATGATGAAATAATAAAAATAAAACAATAAAATTATCATGACGTTTCGAATACAACACAAGCAATCATCATCAGGTTTTCACACCAAGAACATGTTTTTAGGTGTTGGGTATATGTTAGTGATTATTATGAAATAGGCATCAATAAACATACAAATAGACACAAATAAATATTCTCATGTCCAAAGCACTGGAGCCGCCACTCATTGGGTCTCCCTCATGGGGTGCATCGCGTAGGAGTAGTGGCGCTATCGAGGCTGTTCCAAGGAAAGCGTGCAATCGCTCTTCGAGTGTTGAGTACACCTCCTAGAACAACCCGGCATATTTTCACGCTCAAGGGGACGCGACGGAGCTGTGATCGTAAAGGAAATCCGTGAGAGCCCAGGTCACTGAGAGGTGCATGGCCCAGTGGGGCAGTGGCCACGAGGAGCTCGTTTTGTCGGAGTCCCAAGTCACTCGGCCTGTCTTGTGCTGCACTCACCCTGTCTCAGTGTCTCCGGCATGCCACCCATTAAAGGCCTAGAGCGTCAGGCTGCATTTGTTATTTGACAGCACGTTTCCCAGATACGCAGCTGCAAAGCAAAGACAGTGAGATCAGCGCAACAAAACTACGGTGGTTGTTTCCGGAATGTGGGGCATAGGATCACAAGGGGGGTACTCTATGGCCAAACGCAAATCCTTGATTCCACGTGAAAAAAATTTACTTCTTAAAATGTAAAACACAATTTTAACGTAGGAAGCAGCGGCATGGAGTAGGGAAACGTGCTTGCAAACGCAAAAGCAGCCGGGCGTTCATGATGTGTTAGCGGTGCCCTTTGCACCCATGAAGCTGCAGCGCTGCCTGCCATGTCACGCTGTTACCAGCTGCCCTGTGCTGTCACCCCCTGCCTTGTTGTGATGTCACCAGCTGCCCTGTGCTGTCACCTCACTGTCGTGTCACGCTGTCACCAGCTGCCCTGTGCTGTCACCCCACTGTCGTGTCGCGCTGTTACCAGCTGTCCTGTGCTGTCACCTCACTGTCGTGTCACGCTGTTACCAGCTGCCCTTTGCTGTCACCCCATTGTCGTGTCGCGGTGTCACCAACTGCCCTGTGCAGTCACCTCGCTGCCTTGCCATGCATGCACACAGTTCACGTTGAGAATTGAAAAGTGCTATTAAAGTAGCGCTCTTCAAGCCACTTTTTCCGAGTTATTTTCTGCACGAGCACCGGATATGATTTCCTTGCCTTCCACGTAATGTGTTTATATGCGCACAGAAGCCTAGCATGTTCAGATGTCTTAATGCCACTTGAATGGCGTGGCACTGTTTACATTTATTAACAGTGTAATTGTCAACAAACTTACTCCTAAGTTGTCATAAAAATATACTAAGTTTTTTTGCTACATTTCACTGATTAATTTGCACAAATGAAGTGACATTGTTGGGACTTCGAATTAAATATAACAATATAGTGTGAGAGTGCATTATTTTGCCAACTGTTTGTAATTGTTAGCTAGATGCCTGCAGCAGCATTATATTTAGCTGATTCACTGGCATTACGAGCATCTGTTTGTGTCCAAGGTTTGGCCAGAGTAAATTAAATTGGCAATAATTGTCCTTTAAATAGCGTAACTTTCCTATCTATACCTGACGCTGTCAATGCAACCTGCCGTGCAAATATGAGCGTGACCCCAATTGGTCATCAGAATCAGCGCTCAGAGCTTATGAGTTTTACTTATTTAGTCCTTGAGATCCAAAATAAGCCGCTATGTTAACCAGAGATCCATTCCCTCACAATTAAAAAAGCATGAATTGTTGTTTACGATTCTGAGATCAGGAATGTGCGACCACTTGATGCCACGCCATGAGCACATATTGACTTGATAACCACAGCAGTCATGAAACGCGACTTTAAAAATGAATACAGTTCCCCTGTGTTTCTTATTGCCACTGAAAGCAGTCCGGATTTCTCTCTGCCAGCCGCAGCTCCTTCATTACCAACAAAAGGGACCTGACAAACGTGACTAATGTACCTGTGCTCAGTAATGGCCCTCATGTATAACACACTCATCATTAATGGGGTTAGCCAAACATCCCACTGTAGGATCACAGAACTTGGACAAGTGTCGGTGCCAGTGCTGGCTGCCTTGCCAAGCGCTTGTCCGTGGGTTCCCGCGCCTTCGAGCCGAACAAAGTCTACGGCGCGTATCGAGCGGTGCGTGCGTTTATCGATGTTTACTGTTTGTTTATTTTGTGTGGGTATGCAGGTGGACCACTTCCAGCCGGGGGTGCATTCAAATTTCGGTGAGTGGCCGCACTGCGGACGCATCACCACCACCAGCAGCAAGCAGCAGAAGCAGCCGGCTGCTTGCTGCTGGTGGTGGTGATGCGTCACCGCCGCGTGGTCGCGTGGTCGCGTGGTCACGTGGTCGCGTGGTCCCGTGGTCCCGTGGTCACGTGTTCGCGTGGTCACGTGGTCACGTGGCCGAAGGTCTCGCCCGCAGGTCGTGTCGTGGGCAGAGCGCTCGATAGGCTGCAAGGAGGGAAGAGAATGTGTGGAGGGGGAGGGGCGGTCGTTGATGTTGCCCAGCGGGAGCTGAAGGAACCGCAGTTGAGACTGGGTCACAGAGACGAGTTTGATTGCGAGAGACATAGAAGAGGTGGAAGAAGCTGACCCACCCAGCCAATGGAACAAATAAAGAGAAGAAATAAAGTTAATTTTATTAATAGTGAATAGTGGTCAAACAACCTCCACGGATGAACAACATGGGGAAGCCTTCATCAAACTGTGGAGTGACAAAGGCCTGCAAATTATTATTGTTATGATGATCATATGCAGTCATGTATAATAACATGACTTTCAACATCCATATATCTCTCATACATACAAGCAAACAATCACATGTGTGCTACATTCATTGGGTCTTTCGGTAAAGTCACTTAGATAGGTTCAATGAAAATTAAAAAAACGACGACGTTTCGACCACAACACAAGCGATCGTCATCAGGAAGACAAAAGAGGGGGAAAGCTGCTGAGTCAGACTGTTTTAAAGGTTTAGAATGGGTGTAGCTCAAGGGTCATAAACGAAGTGGGTGGGGCTAGTTATGTTAATGTGAGAAATTAGCATGTTAATGGGGGGTCAGAGGGCGACATCCACGGCGAGGCCCTGGAGGTGGCTATGCTAATGTGAGAAATTATCATGTTAATGTGAGAAATTAGCATGTTAATGGGAGAGATTAGCATGTTAGTGGGATAGATTAGCATGTTAATTGGAGATCGCAGAGCAGCAACCTCGAGATCGGCGAGCGAGGTGGCTGTGTTAGTGTGAGAAATTTAACCTGTTAATGTAAGATCAGAGAGCCGAAAATAACAACTAACATCGGAAGGTGGTAGGATGGGAACATCACAGCCAGTTATGACTTGAACTGGTTAATAACGTCCTTCCAATGATTGCTCAGTTTGTACCCATCTTCTCGATTGACGTTGTGTCTGTGTCTGTATATGTGGATGGCTTCATGAACTAATCTTTGTTGATAGCCAGTGGGTTTGCAAAGTACCTTCGTATTAGAAAAATCTATTTCGCGTGAGCCAGCCGCATTAAAACAATGATCAGCCACGGCCGAAGTGTTCGTCCTGCCGTATTTCAGATCTGCCTTATGTTCACGAACACGGTCCGAGACATGTCGCTTAGTTTCCCCAATGTAACTACTGCCGCAGGCACAGATTAGTTTGTAGACGCCGGGGTATTGCATGTCAGTGATCACATCATTCACAGATGGGATCAGATCATGAATTTTATATACTGTGTTAAATCTAACCTGGATCTTGTGTTTGCTCATGATTTTGGAGATCTTTTTGGTGACCCCTGCTATATATGGCAAGGTGATGGTTTTGATTGGGTCCTCAGATGGTTCTTTCCAAACCGTTGGGGTGATAGCTTTACAGATTGTGTCGTCCGAATATCCATTCATCTTAAGGGCTTGGTGTACGTGCTCTAGTTCACTTGCTAGGTGGTGATGGTCGGAAATACATCGAGCTCTATGGTGTAGAGTTTTGATGAGGGAATTTTTCTGGGAAGGATGGTGGTGGGAGTCAGGTTTTAGATATGCATCTGTATGGGTGGCTTTCCTGTAGACAGAGTGTCCCATTGAGCCGTCTGGTCTCCTTTCGATTAAAACATCCAAGAATGATAACTTGCCATCCTTTACCAACTCCATGGTGAATTTGATGGCTGGGTGTATGGAATTCATGTAGTTAAGAAATTGGTTCAGAGCTGGTCGGCCATGTGGCCAGATGACGAACGTGTCATCTACGTGCCTCTTCCACAAGGTCGGACGTAGAGTGGATGTCTGGATGGCATCTGTCTCAAATTTTTCCATGAAAACATTGGCTACAACTGGAGATAAGGGAGAACCCATTGGGGTAGCTTCAACTTGTTTGTACAATGTTCCATTCCAGGTGAAGTAAGTGTTGGTGAGGCAGTGTCTCACCAGGGCCAGTACATCAGCATTCAGTCCTCTTTGGACCAAATCTTCAATGATTGCAATGGTGTCAGGCACAGGAACTTTGGTAAACAAAGAGACTACATCGAAATTAATGAGCAAATCACCTGGAGATAGTGAGATGTCCTTAATTAATGATACCAAGTGAGCTGATTTAAGTACAGCTGAGGTGGCCTTACCAGTGAATGGTTGTAAGGTCTCAGACAGAAATCGGGCCAGTTTGTAGGTGGGTGAGTTAATGATGAAGACGATAGGACGAAGTGGTGTATCTTTTTCATGGATTTTTGGTAAGCCATAAAATCTGGGTGGTCTAGCAGCAGAGGGTTTTAAGGAAAGCCGCTTGGTTGGTTCGATTAAAGATGTTGAATCTGTGATGATATTGTTGGTTTTCGTAACGAGGCTGTTGGTGGGATCTCTTTAAATTTCTGTATTGCTACCATCATTAAGTAGGTCCTGAATTTTGTTATTGTATGTGGTTTTGTCCATAATGACAGTGGCATTGCCCTTGTCGGCTGAGAGGATGACGATGTCCTTACTGATGTTTCTAATAGGTGTCTTAGCGTTTTTGAGGATTTCAGCGATTTCCGATCTTGACCCAGTCACGAAAGCTTTAAGTCAAGATTTTTCACGTGTGTGCTGTTCTGTGCATCTATGGGACCGTGGGTGTGGCCCACGCGGTGGTATTGCAGCAGTTAGCGCTTCAAACCCGGGGACCCAAGTTCAATTCTTGCTCCATGCCAACACAAGTGACGATTATCTGAACCAGTCTTGGGCTTCCCCTAGGTCGACTAGGCTTCAAATGAGTCCCTGGTGCGGTGTGTAAACATCGCCACTGGGGAGACAAAGGTCGCCGGGTGTGGTGCTGGCCACCCACCCCCTCGTGTTGTGTGCCAGCCTTCATAGGTGGTGCTCACTAATAGCACTTGCCCCAACAGTCTGATATGGTTATACGGGGGGATCTTTTTTTATTTTACCAGGTAAGGCCCACTAAGCTATATAGCTCTTTTTCAGATGTGACCTGGCCACAAATGCTAAACGTGGAGGGAAAAACCGGAGGAACTGAAGAAAAATATATACGCGACCACGGGGAGAGAGAGAACACGTAAACTCCAAATATACAGCAGGCGTCAGGGTCGGTACCGAACCCACGACCTCCTGTGTACCGGGCGAGGGAGTTAACATCTCGTCTTTTGGTGTGCTGTGTGCTGTGAACGTGAGCAGGGCTGAAGGGCGAGAAGGGCTCCATGGGCTACCCAGGACACCACGGCTCCAACGGGGAGAAGGGAGACCCGGGGCCTCCAGGTTCCCTGGCGCTGCGCGGCGCACCATGCATGACACAGACTGTGCTGCTTCTTCTCTTGCTGCCGTGTATTCTGGGCCTTCACCACAGGGACACCGCGGCGCTGCCGTTGAGCACGAAGCCGTAGTCACGCTCTCCTCGAGGCGTGTGCTGTCTCGTCATTGTGTGACACCCCCAACTCCTCATCGCTCACTGCTCACGCTCGCTCGATCGTCAAGCAGATCCCCTGCGGGACTTTTGCCGTCCACATTGAGAATCGTCCCCTACCTTCCGTTCTTGTGTCTTGTTTCCTGTTGCTCCCTGCTGATGTTGCTTCCTTCTGCTGCTGCTTCCGGCTGCTGCTTCCTGCTGCTGCTACATCCGTTCTCATCTTCCCGCTGCTGTCCGATTTAGTCAACGGCCTTCCTCTCCCCGTCTATCCATCACCCGTTGCCTGCATGAATATCTTCACTCCACCACCGCTGCCTCTTTTCATAAATACTCTCAAAGTAACGCACGCTTTACGTGGGCTAAACTCGAAGCCCCGTATTCTTAGTCGGGCTCTGACCTCAGGGAAGCCGACTCAGAGCCACCGTGGAGCTTAACTTGACAAGTTCTGAGTAAGAACCCTGCAGTGCTCAGCATTGGTCCCATGAAATTTGATATAATTTCTATATTTTTGTATTTATTCATTTGTATTATTCAGTATTTTTTTTTTAATCTGTTATGTCTGTCACCGAAACGGTGTGTGGTGTTTATTGATGAAACCCGACTTAACAGCTTCTTAGCTCACAGGGCACTTCGGAATAAACTGAACTGAGGCGGAGCCAAGCCGTGGCTGAGCCGCTCACCCACGTGACTGCGCTGATCCTGAGTGCTCACGGCCGAGCCGGAGCCCTGAGATGGCAGCGATGCAGCTTAACTCACCGTGGCGATGTTTATTCCAGGGCCGCCCGGATCCATCACGAACATAGCACAGCTTGCCGGGATCAAGGTGAGGGCCGTTGGCTGCGTCGTCTGATAGCAGGATCAGTGCAATACAATGTTTCACGGTGCGATATTGTATTAAACGTTATGATGTGACGATTTTTCGGGATATCAGTCCCCATAACCGAGCTGGGCCAGAAAGATGCGGTGACCCACGCGCCCAAGTGACGGCGGTGTCTTTAAACATCTCTTTTGCAACAGAAGGCACACGCTTTAGTAACCCTGCCGTGAATTGCTGGTCAGAGTGCTCGACCGTAGAAAGGTGTCGTGAGTTTGTTTTGTCGATGAGCGACGTGGCTTCGCACGCGACGGATCGTCGTTTTGCCGAGCGTGTGCGATGGGGCAAAACCTTTGTGGAGAAAGAGCTTTGTGGCTCGTCGGATTTCTCCGGGGTGAATCAAGATTCCGATCGATTGCGGTACTCTGTGCCCCTCGACTGCAGGGGGAGCGCGGCGAGCCCGGCATGAAGGGCGAGCCTGGCACGGTGGTCTACGGGGACTTCCCTCACGGGATTCCCAGCGTCCCCGGACTCCCAGGGCCCCCAGGCATCCCAGGACGGCCGGGCCTCGTGGTGAGAGATGGCGTCCTGTTGAGAACGATCACTCGCAGACGTTCGGCGAGGGGGCAGCATCACCAAAATCGAATGACAAGTCGCGCCGGCAATCGGCCGCTTTTCTGTTGTTGTTGCGATGTGCTAAAGCAGTATTGATGGCGAGCGTGTGGTGGGTGCGTATGAGGAAGTGTACCCTGCTGTGAACAGCGACGATTTGCCTGCGATGCATTAGCGCGCGCTCTTGCGCACGTCCAGGGTATGCGCTCATTTGCCTCGAGGGGCTGTGACTCGCCTTGAAAATGTAAACGTTAGCCCTTTTCTTAACGCTTTTATCACTGGTAGCCTACACGCAGAATGATGTCTCGCCTGCATCGTTACCTGTAAATACGTAGTATACAATAGAAACAGCTAAGACGATTAATTGCTTTCAGTCTCTTGGTTTACATTCTATTAAATCATGGTTGCTAAGCGCAGGTCCAAATACCAAAAACGCCTGGTGGGCAGGAACAAACAGCACTACCAAAGTTCTAATCGACAAGAGTTAACAGGTTTCTTGATTGCGCAAGGTTAGATGAAATCAGGGAAAGAGACGGTGATGGGAGGAGGAAATTTCAAAAGTGGAGCAGTGCGAGGGTAGAAGATGAGAGAGAGAGAGAAGTGAGGCGGCCTGCAGTGTGGTGAGTGGGTGGGTGGGTGACCGAGTAGGTGGGTGAATGTGTGGGTGGGTGAGTAGGTGTCTAAGTGATAGTGTTGTAGGAGGAGCGGTGGCGCAGTGGTTAGCACATTGCGACCCGAGTTTGATTCCCGCTCACGGCCAACACCAGTGATGATTATCTGAACTGGTCCTGGGCCTCCCCTAGGTCGATTCAGCCTCAAATTAGTACGTGGTACAATGTGTAAACATTGCCACTCGTGAGACGAAGGCGGACGGGCATGGTGCTGGCCACCCACAACCTCGTGTGCTTTGCCCGTCTTCATAGGTGCTTGCTAACAGCACTTGCCCCAAGATTCTGTTAAGGCTATATGGGGGGATCTTTGGGTGAGATGAGTGGGTGAATGAGTGGATGAGTGGGTGAGTTATTATCACGTGCAGTGTAGTGGTTGAACACAGTGCGGATCAGACATATAAGTCGTGTCTATCGAGTCCTCAGCATGGGATTAGGAATCGACGAGTGACGTTCATGGGAGCAGTAGCCATGGTCATGGCAAATGGACATGCCAAGACCACGCCTCGTGGTTTGCACACACAAACCCACAACGCTTACTCAATATTTTGGTGGTTTGCCAAACATCTTGTTTTCTGATATTCCAGCTAGACACCCACGAATGAGCTTCACCTTGAAGCTAACCCAGTTGCTGCACTCGTGCACGGGAAGAATGTTATACACGGGTGGACAGATTGAATGGTTTATACCCATCATGTGCAACACGCCCATGCAAATCTTAATTTATATTTATAAAAGGGAAATTTGTAAATACGTGTGTCTCTTCGAAATGTTTAGCATACTTCCCGACATTCAACAAACTTTAAATTTGGCATGTGGGTAGCTTCCAGACTGTACACATTGCAAAAAGTATAAAAATAGATTTTTGTATTTTGGGGGGGGGGGGGGGGTGGCGCAATAATTGGTATAATATTTTGCACGGCAAGTTAGCGGTGACGTCACATTTGTGATGTCACCCGCACGCGGCAGCGTCACGCAGTGTGCCTGCTGACGTCACACATCCCCCCACACCCTCCGCGTCGGCCGTGTATTAATCCAAGGCAAGAATCCAAGTCGCGGGCGAAGCCGGGTAATAAAGCTCGTGTATTTGTATAGAGCGCCCTCACTCAAGGCGCTCTACGCCAAGGCTTACAAAGCAGTGACAGAAAGGAATGATGTCGATGGTGGGGGTGTGCCACAAGGATTGAGGAACAAGTGACAGCGATAGAGAGGTACTTAAGAATGACGACAGGGCAGAGGAGGGGACGGGAAGGAGTGGAGGGGCGAGAGAATTTGACGGCGCTGACTTGGTGTGCTTCATCGGCAGGGCCCCAAAGGAGACTCGGTGGTGGGTCCGAGTGGCCCCCCGGGCAGCGCTGGCCCCCCTGGATCTCCGGGATACGGCTACGAGGGGCCCCAGGGCAGGCCAGGCCCCCCTGGGCCTCCAGGGCCCCCCGGCGGTCAAGGGCACACCTCGCCAGGTATTTTCACAGAGATCTGACCCCTGCTGCTGTATTTTTGGAGTTTGCGGCGTCTCTCTCTTTCCCCGTGGTGGTCGCGTGGATTTTTCTCCGGGTCTTCCGGTATTTGCCTCCACATCACGCGTTGAGGCTGCCATAAATGTCCACATGATGATGAGCCATTTTGTTGAGCTATCAATTGTGGCCAGGTTTCTTCTGAAAAGAACTATATAGCTCAGTGGGCCTTACCTGGTAAAATAAAAAATAGTTTAATAAATCTTGTAATCCACCAGCATGTAGCAAGCGCGACTCTGCTGACGAGACCCATAAAATCAAAACTGGTCCAAAGTTCTCTAATTTAAACATACTGTATGCTGCTGCATAATATTGGTCTGGAAAGCCAATAGGCAGATGGACTGAAACATATTCAGGTATCCCTCGATTTACAAAAGGGATGCCTTCAAAAAACACACGTAAAATGAAATTTTGTAAACCAGAATGGCTTTTCAATGTAGTACAAAATATTTGGGATGTTTTTCGGACAGTCATTCCGACTCTACTCCTAACCTTTTCACCTCATAAAGAACATGAATATTGAAACGATTGCATAATAATTAAAACCAATAAAAAAGAAACCTGTTCAGGGAACTCCTTCACCTTCACAGGGATTCCTGCGTGTAGGAATCCCTGTGAAGGTGATGTGGAGGCATCACTGTTGCACTGCAGGGGCACCGTGACGCAACTGAGGCAGCCCCCGGGTGCCTCTTATTTGACGATCTCGTGGTGCATGGCCACAGTGAAATTTCGTTCAAGCGGAAATTCGATTTTGTTAATCGAAAATAAAACGTGTCCAGAATGCTGCTTATATACACACACACACAGACAGAAGAGATGCGCAGTTGCCTGGGCTCGTTGGCGACCTAAACGAGAGAGTGACCCTGCCGCCCACGCTGCTCCCCCCCCCCCCCCCCCCCCCCCCCGCCGTGCGCTCTTCTCCCAGGAGGCTCCGGTCCCAGCTACGTCCTCCAGGGAGCGGTGGGGCCCCCCGGGCCACCGGGACCCCCCGGCTCCTCCAGCGGGGTGCGTGACGCACGCGCGAACTCACGCCCACGGTCGCAGTAGGCAGATAACGCGGCCTCCGGGCTGGGTGACACGGTGGAGTGGGATGGGGGGGTTTCTACTCTGAGCCAACACTGCTTGGGTTGAAGCCTAGGATCCAACTTGAGATTAAACGGCACTCTGATGTGTATGTGCGCCATGGCGGCGAGATGTTAACTGCCCCATGGGTTTGATTCCAACCCTGACACCGATCTTTTTGGAGTTTGCATGTTCTGTCTCCCTGTTCTATCTCCCTGTTCTGTCTCCCTGCGGTTGCGTGGATTTTTCTCTGGGTTCTCCGGTTTTTCCCCTCCACATTTAGATACGTCCCACTAGAGCCACGGCTTACCGCTACGGTCACGGCGTTCCGCTACGGCCACCGCGTTGCCCCACGGCCACAGCGTTCCCCCATGGCCACCACGTTCCCCTACAGCCGCCCGCGTTGCCCTACGGCCACCGCGTGCTGCTATAACCACGGCGTTCCGCTATAGCCACCGCGTGCCGCAATAGCTACCGCGTGCCGCTGGGCCGTGCTGCAGGTGACGATGACGAACTCCGTGGAGGCCATGCTGCAGACGTCGCGGGCCACGCCGGAGGGCGCGCTGGTGTACGTGCGCGAGACGGGAGACGTCTACATCCGGGTGCCCGGGGCGTGGAGGAAGTTACAAGTGAGGCCACACACATACACACACTTGTGATTATGATTCTACACAATCAGGAGAACAACTTTAACCAAACTAAGGCAAACAAACGAGCCAACCGTGGACTGCCGTTTGGGCGGTTGGGGCATGCTGGTGTGCGAATCTACGTGTCACACTACGCGTCACACGCTGTATCTACGCGTTATACGCTGTATTTCCACGGCCATTGGAAAGTAGCCCTGGCCTTCTTGGGTCGTTCCAAGCAGGCCTAACGCGACTCGGAGCGGCCCAGCACTGCCAGAGCCGCAAGGATCCTTGGCCTCGGCCCCCACCGTCCCTCTGACCCGCGACCCTCCCCGTCTGCATTGTGTGAGTGGAAAAGCAATGTTTAAAGTGCCGGCAATTCTCTAACAGCGTATATCAAGGCCATGGCTTCGTCTAGAGCAGGGGTCGGCAACCTGCGGCTCAGGAGCCGCACGTGGCTCTTTGAGGACCACTTCGTGACACGTTACTTATTAAGGTCTACCACCGTCTCGTATTCACATGGATTGCGGATCTTGAGATATTGAGTTTTTTTACCGAATTCAAACAAAAAATGTCCCCTTGTTATTTTGGTTTGCGAAACACCCTGGTTGAGACGATTAAAAATGAACAACCAACGCTGCCATAAGCTTATGCCGGTGTTTTAAACGAGAGACAACCACAAGGTTTGAACGAGCGAGCGGCCGACAACCACGTTTCACGCGTCTCACTTCCACGTTGAACACCGCGACATCCCAACAAGCTTCTGCCACTGAATTCACGCTGTGTTTGTCACAACAGCAACAAGTGCTGTCCGCACTGTTGCCGGGGTGGGTTGCAGGCCCTGGCTGCAGCTCAAGGTGGTTGGGGCCATAGCGGAGGAACGATTTTGCGAGGCGATTTTCTTTTTTTTTGCTCAGATTTCTATTCGCTTTCATCCCCGTACGTTTCATTTGTTTTCCTCCTGGTCATGTTGGTGGCCCAGATCACTCTGGCGAGATGTTAACTACCTCGCCTGGTATACAGGAGGTTTGTAGGTTCGATCTCAACCCTCACGTCTGTATACAGTGTTTGGAGTGTGCGTGTCGCTCTCCCCGTGGTAACGTGGATATTTCTCCGGGGTGCTCGCGTTTTCCCCCCCAAATTTAGAAACTTGTGTTTTGAGTATTTGGCTGCTATACATTTCCACGTGATAAGCCACTTTATTGCACTATCATTTCGTGGCCAAGTCGCATCTTGAGTTCTCACCCTGGTTACGCAAAACGAGCTGGCTGCAGGGTGACACAAGCCCATGGCATAAAACATAGACATGGAGAAAGGCGGATTCTTAAGCTCGTTATTAGATGCATATTAAACGTGTTAAATCCTCGATCATTGTTGCTTCTTTACTCTCTTATGGGGTGACCTTGCATCCCTGCACTGGTGAAGGATCTTGGTTTATGTGAGTGAGTTGGGCCCTACATTATTGGCTCAACTCTGCTGCTTAAAGGCAGCTCGTTTCTCGAGCGGTCTGTGGCCAGTGGAGAGCACTTGATTTGCTATTTTGAAATCACGTTCAAGGGCTCATTTTTATCTTGCACTTCCTAATGTTCTTCTAGATATCCTTACATTGTGACATTAGCTAGTTTTAATGACTTGCGATAATTCATAGGGATCCTGTTCAAATGTTGTTTCAAATTGCGTCTGATATCGTCTTCCTCACTGTGAGGCACTGCGGTTAATCCTGTGAAGCCATTGGGAGGGTTTTTTTTTCCTGTGGAGCTCTAGGAGGTGATCTAACAGGACAGTGTAATGTATGCATGTGTTGAGGTTAATTGTGCTTGTGCACAATGGCGGAGCCAGGATTTTCAGGTAGGGGGGGCAACCCCTCCAGCAATGAGAAACGATAGGGGAGTTGTTAGTAAGTAGAAACTTGTCTCTTGCTTTTTATTCACCGCGTGTGCGGCGATGGCACAGCCATCGATCGAGGGTCGAATTCGAACCGCGTTGTGTGATCGGCATCGCGCTCGCTGAAGGTGTTGATGCCTTCAGGGAAGTCGTGAGTCGCTTCTAACTGCTTTGCCGTTACTTATTGCCAATTATGGACTCAGACTTTTGTACTATCATCTCATAGAGTCCCTGGCACGTAATAATATGCTACACAGTGGCAGTGGGGGTCGCAAAATGCCGATTTGTTACTAATAAACCCCAATTATCCGAGCGAAATCCCCAATTTCGATCGGATCATTGGGGGGGCACGTGCCCCCCACCCCCCCCCCCCCCCCCCCCCCACTGGCTCCGCCACTGCTTGTGCACCACTGCCAACGCAGAACGATGCAGACGCCGAGTGGCGAACACATCAACAGCGCATTCTCCTTAAGTCACGTGCATGTCTACGATGTAGGTTTCAAGATGTATGTTCGGTTTGGAGGAAGTACATTGTTATTGCTGACATTGCAACCCTAACATTCAAGATATATTTTTTTCCGCACAGATTGGGAAGGCGATGAACAGTATTGATATAAGAACGGCATTGTGATCAGCTTGTGCCATTGAATGCATCTGTAAACTGTTGTAGTTTTGATTAAAAAATGAGAAAAGGTTTTTACCCTTCCTGGCAATAAAACTGGTGTTAAGATGTTCAAACACCAAATAGGAACCTGTTGCAAGGCATCAAGTGCTGCATTAACCACACACAGTTCATAGTTCATAGTTCATTTATTTGGTATAGCCCTGTGAGCCATTCAGCTCTTGAATCGGGTGCAACCGCAACAAACAAAAAACATGAACAAGAAAACATCTTAAAGTGACTATGTGACTGTGCAAACAGAAAATACAGGAAAAAAATATCAAAATATTCCTGAAATAGCACCGTACACCAACGCTGTGTGCAAAAATCCCAGTGGGATGCAAGTCAAATAACAACAACAACCACAAGACTACTAAGATAAAAGCCAAACATTCAAACAAACACGCTCTGATAATATAATGCATTGTCCTTGATACTGATTGGCCTACACCAGAGACAGGCTTCTTTATGGTCTAGTCTCTCCAGTGTTAGAACAGAGAACGGCAAAAGGCGAACAGTACAAAGACAATGCCGGTATCAGAACACTTATAGCTCGGGTCGAGTGGTTAGGCCAATCAAGGCCAATCAATGTTGTCGTTTTGTGATCGTAGTGGCATGATGTGTGTCGTGTAATCTTCGTCTTTGTCATCGTCGTCGTTGTTGTTGTTGCAGCTTGGAGACACCATTGCCATCCCTGGCAGCAACACCCACGTGAGTCCCCCGCTGCTCCCCAGACCATCGCGATTCCCTTCCCCTGCTCGTGGCACGAGCAGTGGGCCGCGTGCAGTCACCGTCTCCACAGTTGGGAAATCAGAGAATTGCCTGATTGCAGCTGCGGAGCGGTGCAACAATCAGTGGAGCGCGTCGTTAGCTCACGTCCGCTGCGAGTCTGTGGGCCTCTGTGTGAGTCTGTGGGCCTCTGTGTGAGTCTGTGGGTCTCTGTGTGAGTCTGTGGTTCTCTGTGCGAGTCTGTGCGTCTCTGTGTGAGTCTGTGGGTCTCTGTGTGAGTCTGTGGGCCTCTGTGTGAGTCTGTGGGTCTCTGTGCGAGTCTGTGCGTCTCTGTGTGAGTCTGTGGGTCTCTGCTCGAGTCTGTGTGTCTCTGTGCGAGTCCAGGCGTCTCTGTGTGAGTCTGTGGGCCTCTGTGTGAGTCTGTGGGTCTCTGTGCGAGTCTGTGCGTCTCTGTGTGAGTCTGTGGGTCTCTGTGTGAGTCTGTGGGTCTCTGTGCGAGTCTGTGCGTCTCTGTGTGAGTCTGTGGGTCTCTGTGTGAGTCTGTGGGCCTCTGTGTGAGTCTGCGGGTCTCTATGAGTCTCTGGGTTCTATGTGAGTCTGTGGGTCTCTGTGTGAGTCTGTGGGTCTCTATGTGAGTCTATGGCTCTCTGTATTAATCTGTGGGTCTCTGCGCGAGTCTGTGGGTCTCTGCGTGAGTCTGTGGGTCTCTGCTCGAGTCTGTGTGTCTCTGTGTGAGTCTGTGGGTCTCTGCGCGAGTCTGTGGGTCTCTGTGTGAGTCTATGGGTCTCTGTGTGAGTCTGTGGGTCTCTGCGCGAGTCTGTGGGTCTCTGTGTGAGTCTGTGGGTCTCTGCGCGAGTCTGTGGGTATCGGTGTGAGTCTGTGGGTCTCTGTGTGAGTCTGTGGGTCTCTGCACGAGTCTGTGGGTCTCTGCGTGAGTCTGTGGGTCTCTGCTCGAGTCTGTGTGTCTCTGTGTGAGTCTGTGGGTCTCTGCGCGAGGCTGTGGGTCTCTGTGTGAGTCTATGGGTCTCTGTGTGAGTCTGTGGGTCTCTGCGCGAGTCTGTGGGTCTCTGTGTGAGTCTGTGGGTCTCTGCGCGAGTCTGTGGGTATCTGTGTGAGTCTGTGGGTCTCTGTGTGAGTCTGTGGGTCTCTGCGCGAGTCTGTGGGTCTCTGTGTGAGTCTGTGGGTCTCTGCTCGAGTCTTTGGGTCTCTGTGCGAGTCTGTGGGTCTCTGCGCGAGTCTGTGGGTCTCTGTGTGAGTCTGTGGGTCTCTGTGTGAGTCTATGGGTCTCTGCTCAAGTCTGTGTGTCTCTGTGCGAGTCTGTGGGTCTCTGTGTGAGTCTGTGGGTCTCTGTGTGAGTCTGTGGGTCTCTGCTCGAGTCTGTGGGTCTCTGTGTGAGTCTGTGGGTCTCTGTGCGAGTCTGTGGGTCTCTGTGTGAGTCTGTGGGTCTCTGTGTGAGTCTGTGGGTCTCTGCTCGAGTCTGTGGGTCTCTGCGCGAGTCTGTGGGTCTCTGCGCGAGTCTGTGGGTCTCCGTGTGAACTCGTGTCCACTGTGAGCGTTCTCAGAGTACACGAGTGGAGTTCACACCCGCTGTGCTCTGAAGCCAGCGGCTGGATCCACAACCTGGACGTTGATTTATAGTTGTTACTCAACTCATATGGGTACGAAAAAAGATGAAGAACGCAGCATGAGTTTGAGCTGCACATTGCAGCTGCACTTTGATTTGACTTGCTTTGGGGTCACATGACTGCCGCCGTGACCGAGTGTTTGTGTTTCCACCCAAGGCTCTTCTGCCCCCGAGTGAGGTGGTGCAACTGAACCCCCAGCCAGCGTGGCCTCCCCGGGCACCCAGATACCACAATGGACACATGGTATGCAGCGACGTCGGACTGCTCACACTCAGAGCTGTCTCCACTCAGGGAGGGGGGGCCCATGTACATGGGAGGAAGAATGGCCCGAGAGATAAACGCAGAGACACACGGAGAGGGGCACATGGAGAGAGATACATCAGCACGCAGAGACAGAGAGACACAGAGAGCTAGACAGTTACTGTAAGCTAAACAACGATTAACTATTTTTATTTTATCAGTTAAGGCCCACTGAGCTATATAGCTCCTTTTCAGAAGCACCCTGGCCACAAATGATAGGCCAACGAAGTGGCTTATCATCGTGTGCACATTTATAGCAGATAAATACTCTAAACGCACTTTTCAAAATGTGGAGGGTAAAACCGGAGGACCCAGATAATCCACGTGACTACGGGGAGAGAGACATGCAAACTCCAACTATACAGGCGTCAGGGTGGGGATCGAACCCATGACCCTCATGTATGCCAGGTGAGGTAGTTAACATCTCGCCAGCCTTACACAGAGAGAGGAACATGGACAGAGAGGGGAGGTCACAGAGACGCACAGAGGCACATGGAGAGACACGGAAGGACATAGAGCAACAGACAGACAGATATGTAGAGGCAGATTGAGAAAATAGACAGACGGACATGCCATCCAGAGTGGGGGGCGAGGGTGGGGGGGAGAGGGACTAAACGGATGAATTTACCTAGGTGGGCCTCACACAAAAGAGAGTCCCACATTAGGCCAGTTTTTGGCTTTCTGCCCTGAGTCTTCGTGAACCTCTGGGCTACCCTGGAGACAGGCACAATGAGGGACAGCCACTCAACACCCATTCACCACACTGCAGGTCACAAACACTCCTCTTGCCGCATCTTCCCCTCGCGCGGCTCCACTCTGGCATTCCCTTCCCTCGCGCCTGAACTCGACCACTGTGCTCAACATCCTCGTTCAAGTCGTTCTCACGGCTCGCGTCGCGTGCCCCCCTCTCCCCCCGTGTGCCATTGCCGTGCCCGCAGCTCCACCTGGTGGCGCTCAACAGGCCAATGACGGGTGACATGCACGGCATCCGAGGCGCAGACATCCTGTGCTTCCAGCAGGCGCACGCGGCCGGCCTGCAGGGCACCTACCGGGCCTTCCTCACCTCCCACGACCAGGACCTGGCGGCGGTCGTGCGCAGGGCCGACCGCGACAGCGTGCCCATCGTGAACCTCGTGGTCAGGCTTCCTCAGGGCACCCCCCCCACCCCCCCTCTTCCCTGCTCCGCTGCCTTCACCCCGAGCTCTCATTACTCTGATAGCAGCATTGTCTTTGTGCTGTACGCCTTTTGGCGTCCTCTGGTCTAACACCTTTTGAGACGAGGCTCTAAAGAAAGCTGTCTGTGGTGTGGACCAATCAGTTCCAAGGACAATGCATATATTATCAGGGTATGTTTTTTGTTTGCATTCTGACCACAAGCATTGTGGTTAATGCAGACATGATTCCTTGTAAAAAGGTTTCAGTTTGGTGTTTTAACATCTTAACACCTGTTTTGTTGCCAGAAAAAAGGGGAAAACCTATTCTCATATTTTGGTACGGGCAAAGGAGGTCCCATGATGGTGGTGAGATGTTAACTCCCTCGCCTCGTATGCAGGATGGCTGTGGGTTCGATCCTGACCCAGTGATCGTGTGGATTTTAGTCTGGGTCCTCCGGTTTTTCCCCTCCACATTTCGAATTATGTGCTTAGAGTATTTGGCTGCTATAAAATTCCAAATGATAAAGCTACTCGTTGAGCTATCATTTGTGTCCAGGTCTCTTCTAAAAAAAGGGCTACATAGCTCAGTGAGCCTTACCTCGTAAAATAAAAAAATTGTTTAAAATAGTAAAAACTTGCGCTGTGCCCCTCGCTCCATTGCCTTCAGCTCTGCGTCTCCGTTAGTACTTTAAGTGCATGATGGAGAACCTCCGTGGGCCAGGTTGCTTTTACGTTTTGTAAAAGACATTTAGCGAGCGAGCCAGATGATACAAAGTGCCGTTCAGTGATGACGTCCAACAGTGCACGTTGAAAGTCAGGGAAACACGTGACACTTTGGTCAATTTTTTTTTTTGCAGCCAACTTGAAGGGGAATGCCATAATTGGTGTCATTGTATATGTATATAAATCAATGCTATTGATGAGATTTGATCTTCCACAAAGCTCGTGGTCCACCCTAAACTGCATCCGCACAAACCATAGCAGATGCGGATACCTGATGCACAAATGGAAAATTTAAAACTCTCCATTGTGTGACTGTGGTCATCCAGAAGAGACCCTACAATGTATAACGATGCAATGCCCGATCCACAAATACAAAGGAGACATCACAGCGATGATGATACACTACTCCGCTTGCTCCTGCCACGGTTTCTGGCCTCACCACCTGACTGTGCAATTTAAGTCGTCGTTCTGCATCAACATCAGCAGCCGTCAATCAAATCAAGTCACGTCATGGGCGAATATCCCGAGTGAATTGTTTTTTTCAGCGAACTGGAGGAGAAACAAGCAAAACGTGTTTGACAATTGTACTCGGCGCTCGGCTGGAGATTACATCCGGCATCATCGTAGACATAAAGTCAACCCTTGTTAATTCGACACATATGCGGCTCTGGCTTTGCCGAATTATGTACAATGGTACTCCCCAGTGCCTCCTGCCCCAATTAAAAAAAAAATTGTCTTCGAAACTCATCACACACCATACGAATTGGCACACACCCTGCATCCATTCCATCCAAAACTGTGTATTTGTCTCGCGGACTAAGGGATTTATACTTCAGTACCGTTCTATTACGTCTTGATGTAGGTGTAGACATTTCTGCGAGGGTTGGCTTGCACAGAGTGCATAAACAAGGTAGAGTCTAAAGCGACGTCACCGTCTACGCTGACCACGCGCGCCGCCACCAGACTGAGTCGTTGTTTTGGTCGTGGTACTCGGCGTCACTCCACGTGCATGCCGATATTGGACCATTCGGTACGGCAAATTCGGCTCATGGTGAATTACTAATATACTGTGTATTTGCCGAAAGCGCAGCTGTGTCCAATTACCCCCAATTACGAATGATCAAATACCGAAATAACGAGGTTTTACTGTAATGTTGCATTCCTTTGGTGTGCATGTGTTTATATATATATGTATTGGGTTTATTTGCCTTTGAGCGGTCGTGTAACATTTCCCAATGTAAGTTGCATTACGCGGCAGTGAAACATCGGCACTGACAGTGCCGTGCGTGTGTAGTTGTAGCGGTTAGCGTGCTGCGCTACGAACACGGCGAATTCGAGGTCGCTACCCGCTCACGACCAACACCACTGACGATTGTCTGAATCGGTCCTGGGCCTCCCCTAGGTCGACTCAGCCTAAAATTAGTACCTGGTGCGGTGTGTAAACATTGCCACTCGGGAGACAAAGGCGGCCAGGCTGTGCCGGCCTTCATAGGTGCTCGCTAACAGCGCTTGCCTCAACAGTTTATTAAAGGCGATGTGGGATTTTCTTTGTTTTCTGCCATGCAGGGACAGAAGCTGTTCCAGAGCTGGGAGAGCCTGTTCGACGGCTCCAATGGCAACTTCGACACCAGCATTCCCATCTACTCCTTCGATGGGACCAACGTGCTGAGCGACCCTCGATGGTGGGTGCTGTCTCTGTGCGTGTGTGCGTGTGAGACGCGGTGAGCTGCGGGTTCTGCCTGTGTGCCCCTCCTAGCGCAAGGCGTGGACGATGCACGGTTGGTTGAAGAGCTCTCGCTCGGAGTCACCTGCAGTATGTACGTTGAACTTAATTCGCGTCGTACGTAGCCAGCCGTGCTAGTCGGGAGGTTCGGGGGAAGGACGGCAAACTCAACACAAAAAGCAGCTCTAAAGAAATGAGTTTTCAATTTACATTTGAAAGTGCATAGCTCCAGTGGCTTCCGAATATCGGAAGGAAGAACGTTCCCGACGGCCGCAGAAGCGCATCTGAAAGTGCGCGATGCAGTGACCATCTTTGTTCGATGGTTAGCCAGACGCCGCTGCGAGGATGATCGGAGTTTGCGTGATGCTTCATATCCCGTGACGAGATCAGCGAGGTAACGTAATAAATCGTGCAAAACTTCCCTCGAATGTGCTGACCGTGGGTTCCCCGTCCCCCTGCCACAGGCCACAGAAGATGCTGTGGCACGGATCGGACAGCAGCGGCAAGCGGCTCATGACGAGCCACTGCTCATCGTGGCGCGTGGGCGACACGTCGGGCGGCCCCGTGGGCCAGGCCTCGCCGCTGCAGCAGGGCCGCCTGCTGGAGCAGCAGGCGTACAACTGCAACAGCCCCTTCGTGGTGCTGTGCATCGAGAACAGCTCCGTGCAGCACGCGCGCCGGCGCCGCTAGCCACGGGGGAACCGGGCCCGGCACCGCGCCCGTGCCGCTTACTCAGCTCCAGCCATACCCCCCCCCCCCACCTTCCCCGAGTGCCCCCAGGGCCCCCCCCCCCTCCCCCCCGGTTTCCGTGCTCCGGCGCGAGGAACGGCCGAGTCTAAACGCGCGTGGCCGTTCTGACGCTGCTCGTGTGAAACCTGCTGCATCGTATCGGAGTGATTGCCTTCTGCTTAAGTGAGTGAGGAGTTTTATATTTAAAAGGAGTAACCTGGGCCCAGCCAAGGCACCGTCAGTGTGGCATGTGGATGGGTTTCGGTTACTGTGCCTTTAGTTCTCAGTAGACGAGAGTAATTCTCTCCCGACTCTCGCCACCAGCGATTCGGAAGCGTCGGAAAGGTTCCAGCTGGGTGCAACATCTCGTCCACGAACGGCCCCTTGGGATTATAGTAAGCGGCGTTCCACGTTCACAACTTTCACCGGCGAAACATAGCGTCCGTTCGGGTCGCAGTGGCCTCCCAAGTGCTTGTTTTTTTATCTCACGGGTGCTTTCTTTTTACAAGCGTCGAACATCATCGACTCTCGCTCCTGGGTCCTTTTTTGTATTGTTGTAGCAATGCAGCAACGCCTGTTAATCAGAACAACAGATGCCCGTCAAACTGGGCTTTTGTTTTTGTCTCTCTCGTGCCGGAACGACGCAGGCAAAACGCTCGCTCCGACGCTTCACCACGTTTAGTTCGAAGCGTACTTCACCCGCCACGATCGGCTCGTCCAACGGCGCTTCAGTTACAACCACGCAATGGCTCACGAGCGAGCTAGCGCTCGGGATCGACACACAAAGCAGGGGGCTGCAAGGGAGCAGTAGGCAAGGAGGGGGGGGGGGAGATGATGACGACGCACCCTGGGGTAAGCGACGTGCATTCGAGTGACGGGTGGAGGAGTGAAGACCGGCTGACCGGCGTTGCGCAACGGAGTCCGCCAAGGTTGTTTTAAGGGTGGCCGCCAGGGAGTGCCACGCGAATTCTGAGCCCACCGAGGGGTCGGTTCGGAACGTTGGGCGGCCGTGTTGAGGGGCGGGGCTGGAAGTCGCCCCCCCCCCCGCTACCACCTCCCCCCCCCCCCCTCCACTGAGTCTCGCCCATCGCTCACAATGGGGGCTTCTACTGTAACGATAAGCTTCATCGGCAATGTTAACCCGTTTTCAATTAAAACAACAAACCTTTAATGTGTGCACTAAGTAACTATGCAGTTTGTATCCACTATGTCGCTGTTTGGTAGTAGTAGTAGTAGTGAAAGCGGGCAGATTCTGCTGTACCATTTCACTCATTTGTAATAATAACCGACGTTTAAACCATGGCTCTTTTGCGGGCAAACTCTTCTCAAAAGTAAACGCGGGAGATAAGCACAATGACTAGAACGTCAACGGCCCTCTCTCTCTCTCCCTCGACGAACTCTCGGCTCAAGAGGTCACGGCAACTGACCCTCAATGAGGCGTCCTAAGTCTCCGTGAGCGTTGAAGCAAAGCCTCTAAAGTCTAAACGGACGCTTGCCTCGTACAATAATAATGAATCAGCCTTGGGGTGACACCGCACATGGCCTCCAGCGCACATAAAAGGGGGCGCACAATGATGGCCCATCGTGTGGTTGAAACGCTTTGACCGCGTCAACGAGAGAGAGAGAGAGCTGCTAACTCGGCACGCGGTGCCTGCCGAGTGGTGCTTGGTGCCACGTAGTTCGACAACGTTTTACCGTGCTCCTGTTGACAGAATGACCCCCCTCTCTCTCTCTCTCTAGAGCTCTACGGTATATACAAACATTGTTCTTTGTTAATCTTGTAATGGCCATGTATGCTTCGAGCTATTGAAAGCTGCTGCCGCTTTTTTTTTTACAAAGCATGCAATGTCTTGACTCTGGAGCTTGTTACAATAATCTTTGCGACAGTGCCGAGTGGCCGTGTCGAGACACGTAGCAGTGCCTCGCCGCTCTCTCCCTTCGCAGTGTTACCGTCCAAGCCCCCTTTTGCGCTCGGGCAGGTGGTGGCATCAGCCCACATCAGCAGCAGCGGTCGCGGCGTGCTCGCATGCAGATGGGGGGGGGGGGGGTGGTGGTGGTGGTGTCGTCCTTGGCAGCGGCAGCAGCAATAGCAGCGAACGCACAACTTCCCAGCATGGCACGAGCGCACGTGTGCCACACACGGGAGCAGGAAGAGGGAGGCCCATCACCGCCGATGGGTGTCGACGCACTCTCTCGTGGTTTTTTTTCACCATCGCGTGAGCCACTAAAAATGCGCCCTCTTCCCTGCTAAGGAGGTGGCATCGAGTTTTTTTGGCGCAGCGCGTTAACCTTGCTTTGAACTTAGTAAGTCAGTGTTGTTCGTGTCAATCCATTGTGGACACGTTCTGCAGAGTGCGGACGTTTGGTCAACACAGCCCTGCTTTGCGAAAGCTTCGTTTGTTTTTTTTTTGTGCATTGGAGCATTTTCTGATGAAGTATTTAAAGGAAATGCGCACACATTGTCAGAATGATTTGTAATGAATGAAATGTCAAGGCTTCCTGTATGCCAAAGATGCCATAGCCTTGCATGGCCATAGCCGTTAGCGTCTCAGCTGCTGCAGTGAATCTCCTACAAACTGGGTAGTGAATTGACCAGAGATGACGTTTTTAAGTAAATTTCAATAAAATGTAGGTCATTTCTCACTTATATAAACATGCATATATCACGAACAGTTTTGAATACTTTTATAAAGCTAATTAATGAATCATGTTTTTAGAGATAATAATTTTAACCACTTTTTCTAAAATCAAAGGGTAGAGTATGTTATACGGGCTCTTTCCATGGATATGTAGACATTACATCTGGTTGTCGGTAACATAGATGTTTTTTTTCCACGTAGGGGGAGCTAATGTGGAGGCAGACCAACTGTCACTGCTGATAGAAGGGCCGCCCACATCGGTGTTGTGCACGGGAATATATATTTCTGATATCATGACGCATTTGATCGTTAGGCACGATCATGCTTTTATGGAAAAAAACCTGGCCACAATAATTTAATCTGAGACTCAAGTAATTTTTCACTTTTAATTGAAGTTCATATTTCATGCGATTATTTTTATTCACATTAAGTTTCTCCCTTTAAATATTCGTGTAAACGTAAGTATTCACATTCAGCAGGGGATTGATCATGGCTGGTGGCGATGATGTTGATAAACTCTGGTAGTAGCTTGGGCTGTGGGAGATCTGTGTCTCCCATGGAGCAACACTGACCCAACACTGGCCCAATACTGGCAACCAGAGACGAACCTGGGCTTCCCACCTCAGTGCACGTGGCGTTTACATGTTGCCTAAAAGCGTCATCTGTCACTCAGGACAAACGCCACTTTTGATCAAACCCACTTTTAAACGTCCGGTTACCTAGCGTACGTTTTTGTGGCTTTTCATTTAATATGACTGTCTCATGAAATGGTAATTTTAGAGTCGGATTGATCAACCTGAAAAGGCATGGGCATTTATCAGCAGTGACTTGATCTCACGAAAGTGACAACCGACTTCATGGAAAAGCCTGTGGGTGCGAGTTAATTGGGTCACATGGACCTCTTAGGATTAATCAACTTAAATCGCGAGCGTGTAGGTCGTAGTGAAATTGGTAAGGCAATATTACGTTGACATCTAACTTATTGACATGGCGGTTCTGAATTAATGCATGGAAATTGGTCAAATGTACTTTTTATATTGAGCATAAAAATTTATTCCAAGCAATGCCTCAACGTAGGTGGATGCATAACAATGCAGAAGCATCACATACATACGTGCATTTTAAAGGTTTTCTGAGGCTTACAGCTGAGGGTTTTATTTATTCAGATGTATCGCTTGAAAAATTAATTGCCCATTAAGTGTTATATTTTTGTATTTTGCTGCTTATTTCAAGTAGACTCTTTAAGGTTGTTTTTTTTTTCCCTGTGTAAGTGAATGGTGCTACTATTGCCTGCTTCGCAACATTAGGAATTGGAACGCAGCCACAATGAAAGCGTTGCCATTGTGCAGCAGTCGTGCTGCCTCATGCAGGTCAGATGTCACGTCAATTTTTTTTTGTTGTTGTTGAAATCCTTCGCTCATGTACCTGTTCCTTTAACGTCGCACAGTAAACCATAAACACCACTTTCTCGTGTCCGCTTGTTGAACGTTAGACATGAAGTGTTGTCACTTGGAACGTACCCTCCCACTTGCCTGTAAACCTTCAACTTACAAGTGGACCACCTCGTAGCGCAGTGGTACCACACTCATGTTGCCCGCTGCTCCATCCCCTCGGTGTAGTAAGTCAATATTGTACGCGCTCGTTTTAGCCAGGAGGGTCCTCGCCCATCACTACCGAGTGCTCGCTCCCCCACTTCCCACAACCTCCATTCACCACGAAGTGGCGGTGACGCCACCCCGGCGCTTGTGCCAGGCTTTGTGCACCTTGGGGCCACGTGAAGTGTCGAAGGCTCGCTGATGGCAGGTCACGGGACAGACCCAGGTTCCATGGGTTGGCTGACTGGGATCCCTGGCAGATGCCAAAGTAAACTGTTTTATACGATTTGGTTCTTTCGGTAAAGTCACATAGGTAGAAAAATAAATATCACGTTTCGATCGCAACACAAGCAATCGTCATCAGGTGAAAAAGATACAGCAGTAGAACTGCTGAACAGGAAAGGTGAGCGACTTGATTAGGTGAGCCTTCTTGTTTCGCAGTCTGTTAAAAGATCTAACAGTTGTGTGGAAACCCTCCCCGTAGAGGCGGTTCAATCTTGATTTGAAGCTTTCGTGACTGCAGGAATCCATACTCTAATCGAGTCGCTCAACTTTCCTGCTCAGAAGTTCTACTGCTGTATCTTTTCACCTAATGACGATTGCTTGTGTTGTGATAGAAACGTCGTGATATAACACATTCCTGCGGAGGGAGCTGTTAGGAACGTTGGGTTGCTCGGTCAATGGCCAGAGTCAACGGCGGCACCACGTGGTGTATTCTGCAAATATGCGCGACTGTGAGGAAGGGCACAAGCCAGCGTGAGTAGGTTAAACGTTGAGTTTTATAAGGGCACCACGGGGTGACCAGCCCCTCCCCACCCAGCCCCACCCCTCCCACCCCCCGCCTGCAGTCACGAAAGCTTAAAATCAAGATTAAACTGTTTTATTTTACCAGTTAAGGCACACTGATCTGTATGGCTCTTTTTCAGAAGCGACCTGGCCACAAATGATAGCTCAAGGAAGTGGCTTATCACGTGGAAATGTAGTGTAGCAGGCAAATACTCGAAATGCATGTTTCTAAACGTGGAGCGAAAAACCGGACCCGGAGAAAAATCCGCGCGACCACAGGCAGAACATGTAAACTCCAAAAATATAGAGGCGAGGTAGGTAAAATCTCGCCACCATGGGACCACTAGTGTCCACTACTGTGCCAACTTGCTGTGTTTTAGCCGCCCGGCACTCCGATCGTTGAGCGTCGCTCCTCTGCCCTCCGCTATTGTTGGAGGACTGCATCCTCCACCACTATCCCACTTCATGCTATTTCAGACATCAACAAGCCACCGCTTGCAGTGTCGGTGTGGTTAACAATTATCATTAATGGCATCTATTTTTAAGTCAATAAAATAGCATTTTTTCATATAGCCCACAGAGGTAAAGTGTGAAGATGTCTTTTCAAATACCACGTCAGCCAGCGATTGCTGCATATAAACACTCCCGACTCATCAGGACACCGAAACACAAGTGTAACTATCGCGAACATCGCCATGCATTGTTTAATTTCATGTTCCAAAATACACCTTTTTATAATTATTACGTTTTTAACATGTTTAATTTCAAAAGGTATCTATTTGATCACATTAGGTATAAAAGCTATCTTTAAAAGGTCGCATTATATTAAATTCCACAAACTGTCGCTAAGGACAAAATAAATCGATTAAGGCTGGTTGTGATTCTCTTTGGGGACACGAGTACACACATCGCTGTACAGTTCGTCCTTGCTCATTGCAAAGTATTAAGCCTGAGATTGATCTGAAATTTGTTTTCCGTTTAAACATTACCACGCATACTACTCGTAACTGGCTACATGTAATATTTGTCAATCGCTGTATAAAAATCACAAGCTCGTTCCAGAATGGAGCCGATATTTATCAGCACGGTTTGGCAAAGATAAGACAATTCACTAGTTGTAATTACTGGCGAAACGTCGTACTCCGATTGTAAATGTTGTGGCTTGGCTCTCCAACACACCGGCGTGCTGTACGAGTGACGAATTGGCATGTTCTGTTTACGTGACAACCCTTACTAGTTGGCCGTTTCGGGAGGCTCCTGCCTCTCCAAAACACTTGCTTCCAAATGGGTGGCTTCTATTTGTGGTTTTACATCGAGCCTTTCCACTGTCACAATTCATGCCAGTGAGATGCACAATGAAATAGCATGGCAGATGTACGCCCAAGGGGAGATTATTTTCGTTTCAAGATCATGGATTTTAATTATTTAACCGCAGATGGCGAACTTGATATTGTGTTCATGTGCCAGCTGACTTGGTAGTTAACACACTCACTACCAACATGTCCCACTGTTTTCATATTCAATTCTAAGTTTGTGCTATTAATTCAGGCAGCTTGTGTTAATCTTCATAGCACAAGATACAGTTCGCACTATAAAAATATACATAATCTAAGTGTTTATCAGTCCACACAGCAGTGCGTATGACGTCGCAGTCCAAAAGTCACGTGGCAATATTGCGCTATAAGTGGCCGGGAGGTCAACCAAGGCCTATTGAGACTGCGTTATAGCAGCACGGAAAACTCTTTCCCCGAGCCATTGGTTTAGGTTTATTTTGGCACAGGTAAAATATAAAATCCATGTTTCAATGGGAACCTGGTTTTATAAAGTGCTTGCCACAAATGAACCACAATACCATGCCGATTTCGTCAAGAAGTATAAACCCATCACACAAACTCCAGTCACCCTCGCTGGCCATCGAACAAAGACGGTCACTGCATCGCACGCTTTCAGATGCGCTTCTGCGGCCATATGCAGTGCTCTTCCGATATTTGGAGACCACTAGAGCTATGCAGTTTCAAATCCTTCCCTCGTACCTCCGATGTGCATGGTTGGATAGGTGCGGTGCAAAAAAAGTTTAACATACGTACATACAGCAAAGATACATGAAACAATCCAACTACTGTACGTGGTTGATAGTGCGCGGGACTCTTCCGGGGATTTGATGTCTTGAGTGGTGGCGACCTGGCTGGGACTCTTCCAGGAGGGGGTTCTGGCCCCTTTGGGAGCTGCGGGATCTGCCCTGTGGCGACTGTTGTGGTTGGATGGATGTTGTTGATTAAGCAGGGTGCCTGTACGGGAGATTGGGCTAGGCACATTATTCTATGAGTGTTGCTGAACTGTTACCGATGCTCGGGTTTGCAGTGGTTCTTGTGCCCCAATGTGCTTGCTCGTGTTATCGTTTTCCCCTTAATCCGAGTCATCATCTTGTTGTGTCCATTTTCCCTGCCGTTTGCCATTATTGTCCTTATGGTTAGGTGGACTGTGTTTTCATGTAACACACTCTGGGATTGTGGTATTTAAGCAATATATAAATGAAAACCCATACCCTTAACATAATTTTAAAAAATATACATGAGAGTACATGCACATGTAAAACTCACACATTTCAATGAGTTAATGAATCAAGATAAAAATGTCACGAGGAAAAATGCACTTGTGAAATGAGGTGGTTAAGTGGGGGTTACCTAATTGTCCCATGAACCAATCAGGTTCATTTAAAGATCTCCGTCAGCATAAGCCATGCTGAAATGCGCATCTGGTGAGAGTGGCAAAGTCCACACTAAAGATGCAAATTTGCATGTCTTTGACCCAACAGTAGATCCATGATTTCGTCCAACAATAAGTTATTGTTAGGGTATTTAACATTCTATTACTGTGAGCATGTGAGCTATGTAGACTATTTGAGAAATGGGAAATGTGAAAGCCATATTCTTGGTCAGGATATCCAGTCCACAGCATTCGATTCAGACGGGGGGTGGTGATCTTGGACAGAAAGGTCGTCATTGGGGGGGGTTAAGAACAGTTTCATGCGCAGGCTGAATTTGGGCTGCGGCATCTGCTTGGTCGATTCTCTTTTGTGTGTGTATGGGTTCTTCATACGAGCTGTTTTTTCAGCGACGACTCTGTTCACATCAGTTAAAATGGCCAGAATGTCATTTTGCCTGTAGACAAGAAAAAAAAACAAATGTGGTCAAATTGGCACATTTATGTCATAGAATATAGCCTGAAATACAACTTTGAAGCTTGAAATACAACTTTCAATTTAGCTTGAAATACAACGTTCAAGTTTACGTTGTTTAACCAGCTGAGAACTCAAGATACCATGATAGTGTCATTTACAAGCATGACCTGGGGCATTATTAGTCTGCCAGTAGGGAGGGGGTGGTGATTACGTTGTATAATCCCAATTGAGTAATTTCAATTCTAGAAATGTATACTTAATGCACGAAATAAGTATTAATTCCCTTACTCTGTGATTAGCTGAAAAGGTTACATGAAGCATTTTGAATGACATGTTAGAATGACAATCTGTTCGTTCATTTGGGACCCATGATGGTGAGGAAAGAATGGAGAGTTTTATGGCAATTCAATGTGAAATGCTATGGATGTCTACCGATGAACGATTATTTCAGGTCAAAATGATGCATCAATAAAAAAACAATTGACCCAATTAATAATTAATCGAATTTCCAGCCTGACAATCGATTAATTTAAATAATGCACAACATGTGCTAATTGGTGTTACTCTAATATTCATACCCAGACCTACACACCCAGTAGAGAGAGACAATGTAACAGAGACAGAAGACACACACTATGGGACAAATACATTTCAATTGCCACCAAGGAGTGCCGATGTGATCTTGAATCAAATCTTTTTTTAGCAATTCAATGCACAACATCTATAAGGATTGAGGCTAGGCATCAAATTGTTTTTAGGCCAAACTTGTATACAGTGCACGCTGCAAGCCACCCGACTATACCCCTGCAAATGAATAAAGATAGTTCCAGATGGCTCAGCATCTTGGCATGTGTCACGATACATTTCATGTGGAAAATTACCACGTGACGACAACATGTGGTGTACATTCATTTGTTTCTATATTGGTTCCCCCCAACTTGACTAAAAAATGCGTGTAAATGCGTCATAATAAGCGATGTGAAAAAAATGTACCTACCCATTACACTTTTGCTCCAGGAGGTTGCAGAGGGTCTGGATATACCACGAGCCTTCCCTTCGGTGCCGAAACGACAGATATCCAGACACAGTGGCCATCCCTAGCAAAATGTCAGCCTCATCTGGTATGGAATAGGAAATGGGACTCACAGGCCCATCTGCATCGATGTCAGCGTCTGCAGCAAGGTGGCATTCAGACTGTTTTTCGTGGCCCTGGCAAGCTTGGATAAAAAACAGTTTGGGTTTGCCCAACAAAGATTTGCAGGCTGAGCCATTGAAGTAGGATGTCACCTCTGTGATCAACAGGGACTTTCCATCTGATCCAAAGACACAGTTAATCTCTCCATGTGTCAGGATGCAGCAAACAAAGACATCGTGATTTTTGTGATTCATTTTACTGCAGCTCATCAGGGTTTCTATCATCTGGCCCACAGTCAGGTTGTTATGTAGCAGTATTTTAAATCCCAAGTATTTAAACACCTTTTCAAGTTTTTCTGTAAAAAAAAAATACTGTGCATTAATTACAACAACATGACATCTGTGATCAATGCAATCTCTATTAATATGCATTAAACAATATAATATTGGGTTTTAAATATAACAGTGAAATAAAAAAAATACTAAGTTATATAAACCGTTAAATAATATTATTAGCCTGCTGAAAACACAATAAAAACGTGACATCCTTTCAATGCTTAATTTCACAATAAACACACATTCAATGTTTTCATGTAATCGTGACATGTAATTTCATTCCCAAGCCCTCCATCCACTACGATTTGATGAACCGTCATGATGATCTGGGGTCACAATTTAATTCAGGAATCAATTGTCTCATTTGTACCATATTATTCTGTCTCAAACATAACAGTTGCATATGATGTGCAAATAATTTGCATACATTACGCTATGTAACACGATTTTTGTCCCTGGGTAGTAAGTGTTATTTTTTAATTGCTTATGCCTAAAAAGAATAGAAAATGGCTATTATTATTCCCCACAAACCTTGCTATTGTGACCAGGACTTTACGTGAAGGAATGACACAAATGCACACCACGTTCTCATTGAAAATAGGTACATTTCAAAATATCACTCTCCTGATCACAAAAGCAAAGTTTGTGGGGAATAATAGCCATTTTATGTACTTTTGAGGCATAAGCAACTAGGAAATAACACTTACTACCCATGAACAATTTCTTTTTTTTTACAGTGAATTATGTGAATCTTCCAAGTACAATTCAAGTATTATCAACCTGGATGCTGCTCTACATTTTGTCCAGGTTACTGGAATGGATGATTGAAAATGGATGATGAAATGGCGAAGTGAATGTGTAAACGTTAGAGAATGAACCCGCACACTGACCTGCATCAATATGCGTTCCTTCCCGTTTCTTTAGTTTGGGGCTGGTTTTGAAATCAGATGAAAACTCTTCATTGTTTATAATAAGGCAGATTCCCCTTGGATTATTTTTGACTGGATAGGCAGGAAGATCCTTTGAAAAGACAAACACTTTTGGTATTTAGTATTGCAGCCCCTTATTCCCTTCCTTCAACCGTACACACAGAAGCCAAACAGCTTGCAGACAAAGTCTGGGACTCCCTTCCTCCAGCCATCTATCCTGTCAGCTCACTTCTGTTCAATCCTAGACTTAAGACCTTACATTTTTCCTCTGCCGATGACGATGGATAAAATAAATGCGCTCACTATTCTGTGCGGTGATTCCTGACCTTTTGCTTGGCACGTACCCCCCTCTAGACCTCTCAACTGTCCATGTCCCTACCAGCAATTAGTTTGTATAATAAATTAATGTATAGAAAATATGAAATGTTTATATGTGTGCATATGTAATACCTAAGACGTTCAGTTAATACTGAACCTAATAACAATTAACTAAATATTTACAATGTACTTACAATTTCATAACACTTAAAAATAACAACTTGTACAGTTTAAGCCGAGTCCCTAACATAACCATACAGCAGGGGGCAATGCTAGATATTTTCTAATGGGTTTGAAGATAGTATGTATTGAGTTACTTATTATTTTGTGTTTAGGTACTTGTAAACTTTACTTAAAATAAACATGATAAATGAGGGTCAGCGCACAGCTGTGGAATCAAAGCATACGGTAAGAATATATGATTTATAATCAGTTCATTTTTGGGTTAAATCGTGTTAGTACAATGGCAATTATCTGCTATACACTCCACAACTCTACAAAGCCAATCAAAGCAAATATGCCAACTACTTTGGTTTTTCAGCAAACCAGAATGTTGAAAAGCAAGCAAAAAATTTAAATTGTATACAAAGTTATAAAATTATAAATCATATTGGTAGTGGTGCAACCTACGTATAGAATTAGTGTAAAAGTAGATAGCTTTATAACTGCTAGTGCACACACTGCTAGCACTGCTCAAATTATAACTGTCAAATCTCATAAGAGTGGTCACGATGCAAAAAATGTAAAACAAGTGATCTATAAGATCATTGTGACCCATATCCTTTAATTATAGATATTATATCATGTATCTGCCTCTGTACTGCAATATGACTGACATCTCCTGAAAACCTTACAGATTATTTAACTCGGTAAATTGATGGCATTATTTATCAAGCTTTACCCCGTGACAAGAAATCACTTACACATCCTAACATTTAAATAAATTATTTACTAAATTTTTATTTGTCCAAAACTTGAATATTTATGAAAGAAATGTGAAGTGTCCTAAGGACATTTATCTTTCCAAATGTGGACAAAATTACAGCAACTGTCAGATGCAGAGAGTTCATAAAATCCCATGGCTTGGCTATACGCACCGTGGAAAAAGTTGTTGGGTCATCCATGTGGTCTCTTTGTGCTGGCGGTGAAACTTGGTGGATAATCAGGTCTTGTGGTCCTTCACGAACAGCATCCTGAGACATCCGTGATGACTCCTCACCCTCATAACCAGACGAAGGATCTTTAAACCAGACGGATAAAGACATTAATTAGCTTCGTTTTTGTATGCAATGGGACAAATATACATTTGCAACTCTCAACATATGCATTATGGATGTAATTATGGCCATCAATTCAGCAATTATCGATTCTTACACTCATGACACATGCATTGACTCGTATATGTAAGAATGATTTTCAACTCATGTGTCTATTCAAAATAGATTTTTGGGGTTTGGTATCATGTACAGACAACTATATATGCATCACAATGGGAAAATTTTACAATTTATCAAATCACAGAGGTGGTCAATGCAACTTGCAGCATGCAGTTATTTTAAGTTAATGTCCAAATTGTATCAAACAGCTAAGCGAGACGAGTGACGTGACTTCATATGCATCCCAGTGCTGCAGTAAAACTGTGACACTTCAACTGATACGAGGCTCAATCTGTTCAGAGGCAGCAGCCAAGCTTGGAGCGATCTAATCATCAACGAGCCTAGCAACGCGGGCTGCCGTGGGGACAGACGACTCTCCGGCCTAGTGCCAAAATGGGATTCGTGGACATGAGGAATTAGTCTTTATCTTCTTGACGTATCAGTTAAGCAAAAGGCTGTTCTAATGTTGCCATATGAAAAACCCTGTGAAGCTTCCTAAATTTCCATACCCATGCTCTCTTGCAAGTAGGGACCGGGATCTGTAGAAACAAAATAGAACAAAATGTAATTGTTACACCTATATGTGGTAATCTTTTTAACAGACAAATTAAAAAGTAACATACACTACCAGTGTAAGGTAATTCATGTACCCAATTACTTACGAAAATTGTTGAAACGTTTTACATTTTCACATTTCCATTCAAAGAAAACAAAAAAATTTCAGTTTAAGTTTAGTCCCAGTAAAAAAAAATTTTTACTAATTTTCTCCTTTTTTACAATCTGTTATGAGGAATAAAAAAATATTGTCTCAATATTTTGTTTGACTATCAATGCACAATGCTCATCAAGAGGTGGTTTGTGTGAGTGATGCATCTTGGGGATAATGAAAGTTTATTAAAAGCAATAAAAGTAACTGAAGCTGTTACTTAACATACTATACATGTAACATCGTTTGATGGGTAATAAGAATGTCCACTTACATGGCCAAGATGCCTGTTCATTGCATCCAAACGGTGTCTGGGGTAGAAAAGTACAAACACAACTGCACTCAGTGAAAATTTTATGAAGAGCTCAAGTATTACCTTTGAACATGACTTTTATCCGAATAAGTGAACATTGTTATTAAAAAAAACATCCCTCCATCTGATGAACAATGAGTAAATAAGGGTCTTAAGTTATTTCACTGGGAGCAAGGTATGTTCCGTCATCTGTTTATAGTCCGTAGGGATGATGAGTTGTCATTTGACCCCAAGTGAGATTTAAATCCACATTCCTCCAACTGTGTGATCTGATTAATGCCTGTAATTTAATGGCTAAACTTGAAGCATTTCATGGTTACAACACTAAAATCAATTAGCAATCAAGTGCTATGATGGCAAAGGTTAGTAGATCATGCTGATTCGCTTTTGAAAACACAGCATCAATTAAAAATGTCTACAAAATTAAAAAAAATCACTTAAAAAGTCACACTCGTTATACTTTTTCCTTTGAACATGGTGCAGCTTTTTAAAAAAACCTTGCATTGAGCGAGTTTGTGCTGTGAAACTAATAACCCTTTGCCACGAGCAAACCAGAGCCGGCGTGGGGCCCTCAAGCTTCAGGTGGTTTTCCACTGGCTATTTGTTGTGCCTAGACAAAACCAAACTGCGATGCTCTGGCCTTACAATAGATCATAATCTGGCTCTGGGCCAAGCAGAGATGGGGTCAGGGCTAATGATACATCCGTGTTCATTGTGTGTTCATTGTGTGTTAAGTTAGTCAGTATGCAACTCAAACAGTGTTACCCCCAGCAACCATAGAAATGCATATATCTATGGAGATGTGTGGAACGTCCCTATTCCCATGTATTTAAATGACCCAGTCGAGCATCTGAAGCAGGGTTAAACCTTTGCACAAAAGTGTACTTTAAAGAGGCTACGCTTAAATCGGCGAAATTGGAGGTAGATATTAAAAATTCACAAAGTATCCGTATTTCTATCATATGCAATACCAATAATTGCCCTCCACTTTTCCAAATACAGCGGCAATCCATGACGTACAGGTACGCATGCACAGTAGAGACCAACAGTGGCAGTGGTTACCACAATCCCAGGCAGGGGCAGCCCATAGCACCCGTTTTAAGAGACAACTCCCGCCCCAGGTTCTCCAGCCTCGGTGTAATGCATGCGGATGGCAATGTGTGAAGATAATGTGTCAGTGCTGGGCACCCATGAGACCAGTTCTATGGGGAAGCTGCTTGGACTGCACGTGCCTGCCCGGTAAACAAAACGCTGACGAAGCCACTGCTATGTGGCAGTTTCTAATTTAATCCTGCATGTGTCACAGAGGACTGGAAAAACGAAGTAGAAGGTTTCAGCCGCATCAACCCAGAACCACAGAGCAATACTGGTACCAGACGGCTGTGTGATTGTTGTTCTCGCGACTTCTCTTGAATTTCTGCACGCATACACAAATTACGATCACTGTTAAAGGAATGTGCTATTGGAAAACTATAACGACATTGTCACGTAGGATATTGTTTCATCAAATAATCATTCACTTCAATATTGTTTTAATGCTTTATATTTCACTGACTCGCCAATTACAATTACAGGACATTTTTATAACAATTATATATTATGTTGAACTTCTTTCGACCGTAAGTGGCCAACTGTGCTAATCGGAGGTGATAGCCCTTTGTCAATCCACAGCCAGATGAAGGCCTGTCCACGCTGTGTCAGTAATGTGGGTTATCTCGGCATACTGTGGAGAACACTGGTCAGTGCAGACTGGTGAAGGGGCCCAGGATCGGTTCAGATACCAGTCGCCACTGATGTGAACCATGGCTGGGGATAAAACTCTGGTCACCGGTTTCATAACAATATCGAGTAAACCAGTCCACCCACTATTGTTCCACGCTATTGCATTTACAAGGGACCAAACCAAACGCATCTTAAAACGCAACTCCACTGTTATACTATTCCAGTCTATAATTCAAGTGGATAACGGCAAAATAATGTAGATATCTAATAGAGGTAAGTGATCTTGTGCAACATCATCTCTCATGTTTGAGATGTGTCTAAAAACAACACTGGGAATACAAAAATGTGCAATCATATAAAATGTGATCTTATTTTGTGATCTTTATATAATTTTAATGTAGTGTAACTATGTGTGGTTAAACAAGGCACACATAGCCTGGCACAAGCACCATGGTGACATCACTTGCTGGCGACTAGCGGTTGTTGTGGTGAAACAATGCATGTATATTTTTATATCACTCTTGAAAATAAGACTATCCTGGTCTCTTGAGTGTTCAGGGTAAAACAAATAAACTTAAATTGAAAACGTAAAAGCAATGCAAACTGACTCGAAGACAACAGAACAAAATAGTTTCCAGGAAGGAAAACTTGAGAAGCCATTAATCTCAGTGTCGAGGAGTAGGCTTTTGTTAAAAGTAGGCGGATTAAGCAAATATTTATGATATATTATTGTATTACTGGAGTACGTGTTTACCCTGTGCCTATCTTTAAATAATTAAAATGTACGGCACAATTAACTAAACAACATTTGATTCTAGAAAATGCTTTTTTTCTAGGAATGTTATTTTGGCAAGTCTTAACCGGTGAGTCCCTGAGACTTGAACGTTGCGTGAATTGTTGTAGATTAGGAGAGCAATGAGGCCATTTTACACACGAACATTAAGACACATTACCCACGATTTGCTTTCAAATTATTATTCCGCTTGGTTACCAAGGAAAGCCTCACTGAGCCTCAACTCTTTTTCAGGAGGGTCCTGCAAAATTTTCGCTAGAGGGCGATGTTATTGCTGTTACAATCACAACTTAACTTGCAGATACATTTTTCAGCATTGGCAAGATTTGGCCAATACCAGTTACACTGTATGCATGTTTATTTATATATATAAACAAATTCCGTTTGTTGTGCAGCCAGAAAAAGTGGATTTAAGTGTTCCAGGGAAACCCTCATGGTTTAACTATTACCAAGTGTTTCAAGGACACTGACCCCTCAATAAAAAAAAATGATTTGTTTTTCAATACCTAAAGATGTAGCCAGCCAGCTGTTTTTTTGTAAATACAATGATAATGCGATGTATGATTTAGAGGGCTGGAATACATTTCTGAGCAGTCAGTCTAAATACAAAGGGGAAAGTCATACCTTCAATGTACAGCACACTGACGTATAGCCCCATAGAGCCACAAGATAGCAGTGCAAAGACAGGGGGAGAGACTAAAATAATAATGCTACCCATTGTATTGCCTTTGGGGAGAACCGCAAGCGGAACCCACGGTTATACCCGCTTTATAAATCATTTATGTTGTCACCAGCTTGCAATGGTTGTGCATATAGTTACGTGTATATTTGTCGATTCTTTTGACAAGGTCATTGCGCAGCAGGGACTCCAAACCTTCTTTCAGCTTCAACACATTTTCGGAGCAAATAGTGGCCCGTTTCTCTAGCTCCACAAACAGTTCAAATGCGCACTGCAAGACACACTGTTGCAGACACAGCGTTGTTAAGCCAAATTGATCACTGGAAACAACCACAACAAGAAACACCGTCTATATTTCAATGAGTGAAAATGAGATGTCAACAGAAAGCAGATTATCAAAGGTTATATGGATTTTCGGGAAGCATACCTTTATTTACAAACAATGAACAGCAATTAATTATCATTGATACTTAAATCTGTATGAAGAAGTGAGAGGAAGACTCAAGGTGGGAGAAATCATGCTGAGAGACAACAGGAATATTACGTGCGTCAGAAAGTGGAAGTGATGTAAAGTGTAAGGAAAGAGATCAAGAGGAAGGCAGAAAAAAGGTGGGGCGATGTGGTGCGACCGGACATGGTGAACCCGAGGAGCACAAAGAGAGATGGCGCAGGACAGGGCAATGTGGAGAAAGTTGGCAAGGACAGCGGACCCCACGTGAGTGGGACAAACGCGTGGAAGAAGAAGACTTAAATGTCCATTGCAGCATGTTCAGCATGTTTAGTGTCTTCCCTTTTCTCTCTTTCATCTCCCTACGCCCCGCCCCACGCACCCCCCACTCTGTATCTCCTCCTAGGCTCCTCCCACCCCTCTTATTTATATAGCGTCTTGTTTCACTGCAGATTTCTTGCCCAGTTCAGCAGTTTGTTTCTAACTGTTGTGTCCCACCTGATGACGGGCGCTTGTGTTTCACCCGAAACGTCGTGATTTAATTTAGTTGTTTTCATTTTTGTTTTATTTTATTGTTGCCTTCGTGACTTTACCGAAAGAACCAAAGAATATTTAAATGTTTATGTCGGTGATGCATGTAAAAATGCCTATTTCTGCCAAGTATAATGTAGTGAAACCATTGTTCAAAATAAAAATATTCAATGAAAATGTATTTAAATGTGACGTACAATTGTGGAATTTAGGGATGAAATGCCCTTTGTTTAACCACGAAAGCCACCACGAAAGCCACAGACTCTTTTTCTCGAGGGTTCTGCATTGGAAGGTTTGTCCAGTACGGACCTTAAAACAAGTGTTTTGTACGTGGGAGGTACTGGAGCACCTGGAGAAACTCCACAAATACAAGAGATAATACTCAAAGCTCTAAACAGATAAATTCAATAATCCATTGCTGAACTGCCATCTCCTGGCCAACTTTACAGCGCCATTCTACAACATCTGATACTCCCAAGGCAGCCTCCGACTTAATATAATTTACTTATTTATCCAGGAAAGCCAAACTGAGTTGTAGGGCTCTTTTTCAGGAGGGCCCTGCGTTACAGTTAATTACAGGCACTCCTTGACATACGCGATCGATGCATTCCTGGAAAAGCACAAGCATTTCAAAATCGTGTATGCCAAAAGCAATTTTCCCATAAGAAATAATGGTAAAGGAGGGGGTTAGGGAATTTCACTCACACTCGCAGACATAAACGCCTATATTATCCTAGCATATCTACAAAAGCGCTTACATCGAGGGTTGCCTGTATTTTTGTTACGATGTTTTCTGCAAATTATAGAGGAGTGCTTATACAGCAAACCCTCGCTATGCGCGAGTCCTGAATTTGCGAGTTTTACATATTCATGAGTTACTAAATATCTCCTAATTCCCTATTTGCGAACTGCAGGACTCCAGTATTCGCGAGTGTGCATAGTGCCAGACCACCAACACCGGGAAGGTGCGTGCAGAATGTTACCTTTGAAAATGTCTGCGAAGATTAGGTGCCCCTCTCGACTACCCGCTTAGTCCTCCGTCCCGTAGTAATCCCGCTCTGAGCTCGTTATTCTGGATATTTTTTACCATATTCGTACTTACGGTCCACTCGTTTATACATTTTTGGATAAACAAGTCGACTGTGAGAATGTAATCATGGAAAGTGGTGCAGCTAGCACGCCCCAGTGCTAAAATTATAACTGTGCGTTATCAAATACCTGCATCTTACGAGTCATCCTCCTGAATTCCTCACCATCATGGTCGTCAAATCATCAAAGGTAGTAAAAAAAAACATCGTTCTTAACAAATTATTTATTTATTGTAGTCATTGTTATTAAATATTTACCATTTCCCCCTTAAGTTTAATCCTAACCAGGAATGTAACCCAATTTTTACCATTGGAACGAGGTTTCTAGATACTCTTTGGTTCTTTCAATAAAGTCACGTAGGTATAAAAATAAAATAATACTATATCACGACGTTTATTTTATTTTTCTACCTACGTGACTTTACCGAAAGAACCAAAGAGCATGGATTCCTGCAGTCATTAAAGTTTCAAATCAAGATTGAGGTTTCTTACATTCGCGAATTGTGCATTTGCGAGCATTTTCAAGAACATAACCCTCGCGGATGGAAGAGGGGGGTTTTATTGTGCAAAGTGGGAGGAAACTGAAGTACCCGGAAAAAACCCACGGACACGAGGTTGGGTTGGAGGGTACAAAACAGTCATCGTACAGATGGAAACAGATGGCAATTAGTCCAATTGCTGAAATGCCTTCTCTTGGCGATCACCTCTCGATGGCCACAAGAACAACCTCTGCGCGATCCACCAACCCTTAACTCCAGTGCCGAATTACAAAGCCACGTGCACAGCTACCACCGCCAGCCTTAGCCTCGAAGATGACACAAGACCATGGGCGATCAGGGCGATTCAGTTGTAGGATATTGCTTGATAAGGATGTTAAAATAATAAATTATTTTAGAAATAAACAATGTTGGTAGGTAAGCAATTGCTTTTCGTCTACAAATATGTGATACAAAAGTGGATGTAAAATGTACAATGCAAAGAGTAATTTTCTTTTCTTACTGTGTTGTCTGGTGATCTTGATCGAGGAATTGCAAAATAGAACACAAGCTCCTGGTAATTTGTGATTGTTAAATTGTTGGCCAGCGTGTAAAGCAAGAGCCTGAAAAAATATACAAATGTCAAGCACTCAACGTATTACATTCAAAGGCACAAATTACAATTTGCTACCATCTACAGCTGCGTGCTGTAGATGCATACATTGGCTAAATGCAAACAAGATTCCACATTCAAACAAAGAGTTTTAACTTGGGATAAAACTTACGTTTGGAAAGTGTTATGATCTTCTGTCTCGTCACAAATTGACTATGCAACATAACTCAGTAAAAAATATTATTTTACACGCAGGTTAATGGATTTGTTACAATCATAACAATAATCGTTCAAATTGATAAACCATTAATGCATAAAATAACTACCTTAGAAAGCATAATCTGTTTAGAGACACACACACACTAGCTACGCATTGATGACTATACAAGCACCACGTAATGCCAATGCACAATTAAATTACATTTTCTATGCTGGATAGTAGGCGGGCAATGAATTCACCCTCCTCACAATTTCTCACAATTGAATAATTTGGCATGGTGAGGGAATCACAATTTTCTTAAAAGAGTCAATTATTTATTGTCATCTTTGACGGTAGAATCTCTCGTTTACATGAACGTCTTACAGTACACCTATTCCTACGTGCACAGCAATTCCTGCATGCACGATTCTATGTCACGAGCATAATAATCTATTGTAATCGATGACTCAACAATTTGTTAGATGTCTATCGGATAGTGTGCCGATATAGCTCTTAGTCAAGAGATGCAGAGGGGCTAGGCAACACATAATTACGTGTTCAGTATTTGGTCAGAGAAGGGTGCTATTTAGTGCATCCCTAAGCCCTTCCTTTAAATGCCAAGGCCCAGCGTGGTGTGTTGCTTGAATTCACCTGAAGTCACTTATGTACCCCCGCTCTTGTTGCAAATTCTCGGCGAGGTTGAACTTCTTCAACAGGTCCTTGCGTTGCAGGTGGTACAGCAGTTCCGCCAGCAGAGTAGTGTCGTTTTTGCTTAGTTTATCACGCTTCTCCAGCAAATCGAATATCTGTAAGGCTGAAGCATTCTCAAGTAATGACGATGAAATCATGTCCTTGCAGAGAAAGCGCAAACCTTGCAGGTCCCTTTGGACAAGTTCACCATTAATGGCGGTCAGCACCTTGCGATAATTTAAGGTCATTTTTTGTTCCTGCCACCGCTGGGGATTACAGAGACACACCAAGTGTTAGTATACGGTATTCTATTATTTAGTATTATTGAAATAATTTCACTGCCAATGTCACGGATTACATATGCAGTGAACAACTTCCATTGTCTGTGTCTCGCAGCATTTGCTGAAATAATTTTCATCACAAGGTCCAATTAACTTGGAGATTCACATCTAGCACACATAAACAGGTACATTTCTATGAATCGATGTTGCATTGGTAACAAGAATAATACAGTGCAGCATCCTTTCCGGTGTTCCGGGTTGTACCGCATGTGGCAGTGTTGAAGAAATTAAACTGACGCAAGTGACTGTGGACTAACAAAGAACACAGGAATTTTGTGTTAATTTACGCTGTGTGCCACCACAGGTACATTTTTCTAATGTAGCCCGAGTCAACGAGAGGTAGGAAGTATTTATAGTTCGTGCTCAGATCTTGTATGGTACGGATAACGCTATGTGGATATACTCTATCTGCAGTGCTATTTTTGTAAAACTCAAGAACACATGGTACAACTCAAAAACACATCAGAGAAAAATACAGCACTGCCAAAACCTATGCAGTACAAAAACAGCAGTTAAGTGTTTGTTGGGTTGCGAGTTCGTTATCTGACTGGTTACACAATCTGAGTCCAGTGCATTGCATAGGTGGATTTCAAAACCCCACCATACCATACAAAGATGTGAGCACAAGTTATAAACAATGTGTCCTGACTCAAGCTAAATAAGAGAAAAACACATTTGATGACACACCCATATTGGTTAGCCCAAAAGAAAAGCCAAAACACAATAACTTAAACCATGATACCAAATTCTGATCAAGTGATACCTGTGACAACCCATTATAGTAGGTTATCCCTAGATAACCAAGTGATGTCCATGATAGTAGGTTAACCGGTATTCCTATGACATCCCAGCACGTCAAAGCAAGATCAGGCTTATACAAGACTAGCTGTACTACCCAACTTCGCCCGGGACTTGGATTCACCACGCCCGGCCGCCTTTGTCTCCCCAGTGGCGATGATCACACACAACACACCAGTTACTCGTTTGAGGCTGAGTCGACCTAGGAGAGGCCCAGGACCGGTTGAAATAATCGTCACAGGTGGTGGCCGTGAGCGGGAATCAAACTCGGGTCACTGGTTTCATAGCGCAGCACGCGAATTGCTACACAGTCGCTGCCCCCACACATACGCAGGATAACGACAAAATTATTCGTGTAGCCTGTAGGGGGCAAGTGCTGTTAGCGAGGACCTATGAAGGCCGGCACGGCACACGAGGGGTGGGTGACAGCACCACGCCCGGCCGCCTTTGTGGCAATGTTCACACACCACAGCAGTTACTCGTTTGAGGCTGAGTCGACCTAGGGGAGGCCCAGGACCGGTTCAAATAATCGTCACTGGTGGTGGCCGTGAGCGGGAATCGAACTCGGGTCGCCGGGTTCGTAGCGCGGCGCGCTAACCACTACACTACAATGCGTTACGCTTCCACATACGTGGGTAACGTGACAGATTTGACGTCACAGCTCACTTGCCGTGCACAACACATTCCTGCGGAGGGAGCTGGTAGGAACGTTGGGTTGCTCGGTTAATGGCCAGGGACAACGGCGGCTTGGTGTATTCCGCAAATATGCCCGACTGTGAGGGCGGGCATAAGCCGGCGTGAGTAGGTTAAACGTTGAGTTGTATAAGGGTACCACGGGGTGACCAGCCCCTCCCCACTCAGCCCCACTCCTCCCACCCCTCCCACCCCCCACCCAGCCCCACCCCCATCCAGTCCCACCCTCCCCACCCAGCCCCTCCCCACCTTCCCAAGCCCCTCCCCACCCTCCCCTCTCCACCCAGCCCCACCCCTCCCATTTTATCCGGGTGTCCGTATACACGTGGACAGACATCCACAATTAATCCTCTGCCTCCTCTGATAATCCCGGTTGAGCTTCCAGTCCACTACGTTTCCTACCAGTAATGCCCACTAGGAGCGGATTTTTTATATATTCGGGTGTCCGGATACACGTGGACAACAATAACAACCGCCATTCGCCACTAAGTGGCAGTGACGTCACCACGACGCTTGTGCCGGTCCATGTGCACCTTGAGGCCACGTGAAGTGTCGAACGCCCGCGGGCAGAAGGTCACGGGGCAGACCCAGGTGCCACGGGTCGACTGACTGAGATGACTGGCTGGTGCACCACCTGTGCCCCCTACTGTGCCAACCTGCTGTGCTTTAGCCACCCGGCGCTCCGCTCGTTGATGTGAGCGTCGCTCCTCCACCCTCCGTTGTTGTTGGAGGGCTACTGCCTCCAACTACCCAATATCCTTCACGAGCCTCCTCCACAGAGGCCAATCTTGACAACGCTGGTACCAGTCATCGGCAAGTCCACTCAGCTCCACGTCCTCCTGTACCACATCACTCCATCTCTTCTCTAGCCAGTGCCGCGCCCGTTTAGCCCCCTCGATCCGGCCGAACAAAAGCTGTTTCGGCATGCGGTGGCTGGGCATGCGGGCTACATGACCCAGCCAACGCAGCCTTGCCTGCCGGAGGAGCTCACCGATGGGACCTTGCCCAGACCTTTCAAGAATTTGTGAGCTCCTCACACAATCCAGCCTGGTTAAACCCAGGATGGATCGTAGGCAGGCTAGCCTAAATGTTTCTAACCGGCGAAGATGTTCCATTAGGGGGGTCCACGTTTCGCAAGCGTAGAGAAGGGAGGGAATAACCGTGGCCGAGAAGACCTGAAGCTTAGTGCGGAGCGACAGACCAGGTAGCTTCCACACAGCGTTACGCAACCAATGAAAAGATATTGCCGCTCGACTGATTCGGAGTGAGACCTCTGCTGTTAAACTGGAGCCGGTCATAAGCACACTGCCCAGGTATGGGAAACTCTCCACTCTCTCCAAAACTGCCCCATCACCGATTGGGGGTTGTGGGGGTAAAGTGTCCGATGGTACAAAATACCCAGGCAGGTGCTTAGTTTTGGTGGGGCTGATGGTTAGGCCCCATCTCTTAGTGGCACGCTCCAGTCCCAGCAGCAGCGTCTCCAACTCCTCCTCTGAATGAGCAGCTATTATCAAATCATCAGCATGCATAACGTGGTTGAGCAATAGGGAGCCATCCCTTGACCGCACACGGGCATCCATCAGCCTCCCATTATATCTGTACCATATGGAGATTCCCCCGGTACAGCTATTGAAGGCTTCACGAACTACGTGGTCAAAACAGATGTTAAATAATGTGGGAGCCAGAGGACATCCCTGTCGCACCCCAAGGTGTACAGGGAATGGCTCTGACTCCCGGCCACGTAGTCATGAAGGTCCTTAATGATCGTGAGCAGAGGGTCAGGGACTCCAAAAGCACGAAGAACAACCCAGAGCCCAGGCCTACTGATGGTGTCATAGGCCTTGACCAGGTCAATAAAGCAGAGATGTAGGTCTTGTTGGAATTCCCTACACCTCTGCTGTAGCAGATGGACAGAAAATATGGCATCTGTGCAGGACTGCCCTTTCCTGAAACCGCATTACACGTGGACAGACATCCACAGACACACAATTAATACTGGTAGGAACGAAGTTGTAAACTGAGTGTACCAGCCTGCAATAGATTAATGTGTCCGTCCATCCGTCCGTCCCCTTTCAATACTTTAACGAAGTGAAATCTCGTGCTGTTGGGTGTAAAATCAGCAATAGACAGCGCAGAGACTTGTCCTACCAGCCCACCCTGCAGGGACCTGTTCCCCTGCCTCCTGTGATAATTCCATAGTTTGGGTCGCATGGCCAGTCACACTACTGGGGCTTGTCTTTAATGTATCTCATTAGGTGTCTATGAGTCTCTACGGGTTTACTATACGGTCCATAATTTGGGTTGCATGGCCACAACCGCACTCCAGTATTGATCTGGGGCGAGATACCGGGGGATCTGGAGCGAGATTCAGGGGGATGTGGGGCGAGATTTAGGGGATCTGGGGTGAGATTCGGGGATGGCGCGGTAACATTGTTGAGCACACGCAGCTTCGTCTCAACAAAGTCCGTTTTCGCCACGATGACGCCCATTGGGGGTTGTGTTTAAGAAACAAGTTGGTGTGGCCACTGCGGTAAGGCCACCGTCTCTTCCCACCCATTAGACATTCACGCGTTAATACAAAATAGTTTTCATGAAAACTACTTCAACATTTTTTTACTAAGCTATGCATCTCTTTTTCAGAAGCGCCTTGGCCATCACGAACGATAGCTCAACTTAGTGGATTATATTAACGTGGAAATGTATAGCAGCCAAATACTCTAAACGTGTGATGTTTATTCTAAATGAGGGAAAACCCGGGATGGCCTGGAAAAAAAGCCACGCGAACACGCGGAGAGAGAGAGTGAGAGAATATACAGAGAATATACAAAATATACAGAAGGCGTCAGGATCGGTAGCAACAACAACAGCCGCCCTTCGGGGATGCAAACCACGGCGGCTTGTGCCAGGCTAGGTGCACACTGAGGCCATCAAGTGTGGAGGGCTTGCCGCTCGGCAAGGAGGTCACACGGGGGCAGACCCAAGCAGGTGCCACGGGTCGACTGAATCGAGATGAGTGGCACGCACGCATGGCGGCGTTGCGAGAGAAGTTCACGTAAATAATACCGCCGGGACATTCCCACAACACGGACGAAATTAGGCGCCGCCGCGTTAACACGTGAACACGGCATAAACGTGAACAACCACAACCCGACGCGTTAACACGTGAACACGGCATAAACGTGAACAACCACAACCCCGACGCGTTAACACGTGAACGCGCATCGTTGACGCACTGCCAGCGGCAGCAGCTTGCGCCCGCCAATAACATTCGTTGACATTTCTTCGCACCGAACGAAACGAAACACGTAAAATGCATCGTCATCGAGCAAAACAACGCCGCAAAACACAGCCCGTGAACGGCGACCGTAGCGCGGACACTCCGTCGGATTTGTCGTGGGTACGGGGGTGAGGAGGGGAAGAATTCGTGAGGACGTGTCGCCTCACAGCGCCTATACCTGGGCCACGACGAGACACAGAGCCTCAACACCACCTCTTCACAACTTCTCTTCACAACTTGACTTCACCTCACCTAACGAGCAACGGCCTAACCAAGTGACGGGGCTCCGGAGGGTGGAGGCGGTGTCTCCGAGCCCTCTTCCGTGCCCGCCTCCCCAACTTTCCCCCCCCCCCCCGAACACCGCCACCGTTGGTTTGCTCCGCGATCGTCCTCGCAAAACGGACGGGAACCGCCGGACCGTACCAAGTGGGACGAAAAAGGGGGGAATGAGGCGGCGCCAAGCGCGAGACGACAGTAAACGTCACCGGGACTTGATTTTGGGGAAATTCCGCGGAGCGTCCCGCGGCGTCACGCGGCAATGGCGGCCGCTCTACAGCCAATCAACGTACAGCAGAGGTCCAGATGTCTTGTGACCCCGCCCCTCCCCATCACACCCCCCCAAACATTGTGTTAACATTCGCATATTAATTTCTGTTTAAAATATGGGAAGCGCCGCGGTGGTGTGACGTTTCGGCTTGTATGCAGGGGTGGGTGGGTAGGTGAGTTCGATCTCGAGGCTAACGCCTTGTGTGAATTTGTAGTTTGCGGTGTCTCTCTCTCGCTCTCTCTCCCCGGGGAATCTTGCCCGGGCAGCTCCAGGGTTTTTACCCTCCACGTTGGTGAGCAACGTCACGCGCGTGTCTTTACGAATATTTGTCTTGCTGCTATAAATCTCCAGGTGAATACACTAAGGGGACGTTCATGAATGACGTCACGCGATTGTGGACGGCTTTTGACCTTGCCCCCCAACCCTTCGTCACACGGCGTCACAAAAAGTCAGACCCCCCCCCCTCAAATATGACGTCACAAAGCTGTGCCCCCCCCCCTCCAAATAATAAAACATGCTTCAAATCGCTTTAAAATAGTGTCATTGTAGTGCGTATTTAAGGTGCCACTGCACTCTGATGTTGTAGGAGAAAACATTCATTAAAAAGTATATTTCATTAAGTAGAACGTGTTGTTTATATTTATTTAAAGTTAAATAAAATTTCAATCTAAAGTTGCGCATTTTGATGTGACGTCACATTTCTCAACCCCCCCCCGCCCCTCGTCACACATCGTCACAAATGTCTGACCCCACCGCCCCCCTAGGTGCGTGACGTCATTTGTGGACGGCCCCCTATGTAACACGATTTTTGTTCCTGGGTAGTATTATTTTCTAATTGCTTATGCCTCAAAAGTATACAGTGAGGGAAAAACATATTTGATCCCCTGCTGATTTTGTACGTTTGCCCACTGACAAAGAAATGATCAGTCTATAATTTTAATGGTAGGTTTATTTGAACAGTGAGAGAGAACAACAACAACAAAATCCAGAAAAACGCATGTCAAAAATTGTATATATTGATTTGCATTTTAATGAGGAAAATAAGTATTTGACCCCCTCTCAATCAGAAAGATGTCTGACTCCCAGGTGTCTTTTATACAGGTAACGAGCTGAGATTAGGAGCACACTCTTAAAGGGAGTGCTCCTAATCTCAGCTTGTTACCTGTATAAAAGACACCTGTCCACAGAAGCAATCAATCAGATTCCAAACTCTCCATCATGGCCAAGACCAAAGAGCTCTCCAAGGATGTCAGGGACAAGATTGTAGACCTACACAAGGCTGGAATGGGCTACAAGACCATTGCCAAGCAGCTTGGTGAGAAGGTGACAACAGTTGGTGCGATTATTCGCAAATGGAAGAAACACAAAAGAACTGTCAATCTCTCTCGGCCTGGGGCTCCATGCAAGATCTCACCTCGTGGAGTTGCAATGATCATGAGAACGGTGAGGAATCAGCCCAGAACTACACGGGAGGATCTTGTCAATGATCTCAAGGCAGCTGGGACCATAGTCACCAAGAAAACAATTGTTAACACACTACGCCATGAAGGACTGAAATCCTGCAGCGCCCGCAAGGTCCCCCTGCTCAAGAAAGCACATATACATGCCCGTCTGAAGTTTGCCAATGAACATCTGAATGATTCAGAGGACAACTGGGTGAAAGTGTTGTGGTTAGATGAGACCAAAATGGAGCTCTTTTGGCATCAACTCAACTCGCCGTGTTTGGGGGAGGAATGCTGCCTATGACCCCAAGAACACCATCCCCACCGTCAAACATGGAGGTGGAAACATTATGCTTTGGGGGTGTTTTTCTGCTAAGGGGACAGGACAACTTCACCACATTAAAGGGACGATGGACGGGGCCATGTACCATCAAATCTTAGGTGAGAACCTCCTTCCCTCAGCCAGGGCATTGAAAATGGGTCGTGGATGGGTATTCCAGCATGACAATAACCCAAAACACACGGCCAAGGCAACAAAGGAGTGGCTCAAGAAGAAGCACATTAAGGTCCTGGAGTGGCCTAGCCAGTCTCCAGACCTTAATCCCATAAAAAAATCTGTGGAGGGAGCTGAAGGTTCGAGTTGCCAAACGTCAGCCTCGAAACCTTAATGACTTGGAGAAGATCTGCAAAGAGGAGTGGGACAAAATCCCTCCTGAGATGTGTGGAAACTTGGTGGCCAACTACAAGAAACGTCTGACCTCTGTGATTGCCATCAAGGGTTTTGCCACCAAGTACTAAGTCATGTTTTGCAGAGCGGTCAAATACTTATTTCCTCATTAAAATGCCAATCAATTTATAACATTTTTGACATGCGTGTTTCTGGATTTTTTGTTATTATTCTGTCTCTCACTGTTCAAATAAACCTACCATTAAAATTATAGACTGATCATTTCTTTGTCAGTGGGCAAACGTACAAAATCAGCAGGGGATCAAATACTTTTTTCCCTCACTGTAGAAAATGGCTATTATTATTCCCCACAAACTTTGCTTTTGTGACCAGGACTTTACGTGAAGGAATGATACAAATACACACCACGTTTTCTCATTGAAAATAGGTAAATTTCAAAATATCACTCTCCTGGTCACAAAAGCAAAGTTTGTGGGGAATAATAGCCATTTTCTATACTTTTGAGGCATAAGCAATTGCAAAATAACACTTACTACCCAGGAACAAAAAATAGTTTTTGTTAGTCACTTGGTTGAGCTATCATTTGTGATAGCCGGGTCGCTTCCAAAAAAGAGCTGAATAGATCAGGAGGGCCTTACCTGGTAAAATAAAAAAATTGTTAAAGAAGTTTAATGTAAACGATTGTATTAACGTGTGAATGTCTAATGCAGACATGGGCAAAGTTCGGCCCCCGGGCCGTATACGGCCCATTGGGCTTTTTAGTCCGGCCCGCCGAACTTGTCCAAATATTATTATTAAATTAAATTTTACCTTTCTCCTGTAATGTCCCCATTTCCCCATTAGATGGCGCACTTTGACCGGGAGTGTGGTGTATAGGGCTCGAAAGGGCACATGATCTCGCAATGCATTGTGGGCCGTCAGCGCCATTTTCAGGGTTTGTTTACATTGCTGAGTTACATACGGTTCTCCCTTCACTTTTTCGCTTTGCCCTGTGAGCCCTTCTGTAAAATGAGCGGATCATTCTGTAAAATGAGCGGATCAAGGAAACGAAAAGTGGACAATGAGTGCCGAGTGTTTAACACGGAGTGGACAACAAAAAACTTTTTCACTGAAGTCCAATCGAAGGCTGTATGCCTGATATGCCGAGAAACTGTCGCAGTTTTCAAGGAGTACAACATCAGCCGTCACTTTGCTAAGAAGCATGCTAACTACGCTAGCAAGCAGTCAACGCAAGAACGGATGGCTACGGCTCAGAGGTTGGCGGCTAATTTACAGACTCGGCAAAAAAAAATTCACCGACAAACTGCGATTCAAGAGTCAACTACCAAGGCAAGTTTTTTGGTGGCATTCGAAATAGCAAAAGCTAGCAAGCCTTTCTCCGAAGGCGAGTTTGTAAAAGAATGCAGACATCTTGTGTCCGGAGATCAAAAGCAAATTTGAAAAAGTCAGTTTATTACGCAGGACTGTGACTCGCCGTGTGGAACTGATTGATGAAAATATAGCCAGCCAATTAAACAAAAAGTCTGATTCCTTGGAGTTATATTCACTAGCACTGGATGAAAGTACGGACGTAAAAGACACTGCTCCGCTCCTCATTTTTATCCAAGGCATTGACGACAGTTTTGCGAGAGGCACTTTAGTTTGTAAACACCCGGGTACTGTATGTCTGGAACAGCATCTTTTACAGATGGAACCAGATCACGGATTTTATAGCTGTGGTAGCAGCTACATTGGAGAAACCAAACGACATATCTCAGACCGCATCCGCGAACATAAAGCAGACTTGAAACACGGTAGGACGAACTCCTCTGCCGTGGCAGATCACTTATAATTCAGTGGGCTCACATGACATTGACTTCTCCAAGACGGAGGTTCTTTGCAAGCTAACCGGCTACCATGAGAGATTCGTTCATGTGGCCATCCACATATACAAGCACAGAGACAATTTCAACCGAGAAGATGGATTCTGGCTTAGTAACCATTGGAAAGATGTTTTAAACCATTTCGGTTCTTAATTAATTGTATTTTACGGTGACCTTCAGACTGCAGCCCCTTTTTCGCTGGCATTGCCTCTTAATACCTCTCACACCATGGTTAATGGTATGGTTTACAACATGGAGCATAACAATTAATAGTATAACATTGTAATGTTTAACTTTACTCATAAGGCAAGATATAGCATCGTAATTGCATAGTGAATATACATGAGTGTAGTATATAGTTGGATTCATAGACTAAGACATAGTATAATGTTACAATGTCTAATATTTTTTTATAATCTAAAGTGTAGGGTAGTATAAAGTAACGCATTGTATAATTCAAAGGTGAATTTGTCTACGTTATAACATGCAGTTTGGATTGGAAGGTATTGTATTGCATAGTGGCCCTCATGCATGTCATGGTGCAGCTCGGTACACCTTGGCTGGGGCACTTGTTTTGTATTAATTAGTGTTTGTTTCCACCAGCCCCCAGTCCCTCCTACACCCCGGGTAGGGGCTGGTAACATGCCAATCCAACTCCGCCCACACAGCCCTAATAAGACTCAGTCATGGCGTGACGGGGTCCACTCGGGCTCTGTCTCCTGGATAGACCTGTTTCTTCACCTGAGGAAGGCCGCTTGTGTTGTGGCCGAAACGTAGTGAGAATTTTATTGTCTTATTTTATTTCATTATTTTATTCTCATTCTACGTGACTTTACCGAAAGAACCAAAGAAGATGAATCCTTGCAGTCACGAAAGCTTTAAATCGAAATTGAACAGCCACTTCAGCTGGTGTCCTGTCCCCGGTCACAACACTCTGAAACAGCACCACAGGAGCTGCAGTTGGAACTGATAGATCTTCAGTCAGACTCCGTCCTAAAGGAGAAGTTCAACTCTGTTAAACTGAATGACTATGCTTCACTTAACAGAGCCACGTTTCCAAACCTCCGGAGGACTGCACAGAAGATGCTGACTTTGTTTGGCTCGACTTATGTGTGTGAGCAGACATTCAGCGTCATGAACGCCAACAAAGCCCGTCACATAGATCAAAGTTAACGGATCAGCACCTCAGATCTATTCTGAAGATTGCCACAACCAAAATAACTCCAGACTTGGATGCACTGGCAAAAATGGGAGATCAACAACACTGTTCCCACTGAAACTGAAGATGTGTTGCTGCAGCGAGGTTGGAGCCAAATCTCCGACAAACAGCCTGCGTGGCTGCTCTAACCTGTTAATGTAGAGAATAAAGAAGTTCAAGTGAGGTCATTGGTTTGGGCGCAGGCCTCAGATGTTTTCATGATGTTTGTTCAGTCACGTTACGACATGTTTTTGTATTGTTCATGTCCGTGCAATTTGTTAAATTGCCTTGCAAATAAATGCTTTGCTACCTGTTAAAAGGCCAAATCCTTTCATGTAATGATTTTTACATGTAGTTTATATTAGTTCACACAAACACTCCATCCATCTGTTCCTGGCCCGGCCCCTCTATCAAATTTTAGAACCCATTGTGGCCTGCGAGTCAAAAATGTTCCCACCCCTGGTCTAATGTGTGGGAAGAGACGATTGCATTCTCGCAGTGGCCACACCAACGTGTTTCTTAAACACAACCGATAGAGTCATCGTCGTGAAACGGATGTTGTTGAGATGAATCCGTGTGATCAACAATGTTACCGCGCCATCCCCGAATCTCAAACCGGAACTCCCCGAATCTCATCCCAGATCCCCCGAATCTCACCCCAGACCCCTCGATTCTCACCCCAGATCCCCTGAATCTCATCCCAGATCCCCCGAATCTCACCCCAGAACCCCCGAATCTCATCCCAGATCCCCCGAATCTCATCCCAGACCCCCCGAATCTCACCCCAGATCCCCCGAATCTCGGCTCAGATCCGGCCAAGTATTTGGATGCTATAAATGTCCACTTCGTTGAGTTATCATTTGTCACCAAGTCGCTTCTTAAAAAAAGCCACAGCTCAGTGGGGCCTTACCTGGTAAAATAAAAATTTGTATCTGGACCGTGCTGTATAAGAATCTGTATTTAGATGGCTGCTGGCGTTTACACATTCACATACATAGGCCCATGGGTAAAACGTGTTTTGTCTGTGGAGAGACAGGTAACGTGCAGGAGACTGGTAGTTTAGAGTGTTTGGCGGTGGGTCCGTTGGCATTGATGTCGATAACACCGCCGTGCGTACGGCATTAAGAATAAATATATAACAGGCGACGTTTCGGGCAATGGCCCTTATTCACAGCACATACAAGAGCCAATAAAGGTGTAGAGTGGATGAGGGGTTTGATAAGGATTATATTATAGCATTTCAAGCATGCCTGGAATCTTTAACCGATTCCTTTATATCTTGATTTAAAGCTTTCGTGACTACAGGAATTCATACTCTTTGGGTCTTTCTGTAAAGTCACGTAGATAGAAAAATAATAGATCACAACGTTTCGGTCGCAACACAGGCAATCGTCTTCAAGTAGATTCCCAGATTCCCCCCCCCCCATGTGATTATTGGACTGGCCTGAGCCCCACGACAGCTTTGTTCAGGGACAGGCGAGATCCAATTGTAGGTCTGAGCCACTAAATGGAGAGTTGAGTCCAACTGCTCAAGCTGCCCAACTCTCCATCCATCGACCTTCGCCATCTGTGGGTCCGATGTTTAAGGTGACACCTCCAAGGAGCTTAGTCCCAGCCTCTAGAGGAACACGTGTGTCGTCTCAGTCAACCCACGGCACCACCTGGGTCTGTACAGTTACCTGTCAAGAGAGCCTTTGACACTTCACGTGGCGTCAAAGTGCACCTGGCCTGGCACAGACGTCACCGCCACTTAGTGGCGAATGGCGGCTGTTGTATTGTTGAGCAACACGCTTCTCTCAAATGGACACAAATAAGAGGCAAGAAAATAAATAAAAACCAAACCCGGTTTATGTGTGTGCCCTGGAAGTATGTACAGAGTAGAGCATTTTGTAGAATTCCATGAGGATAAAAAGGTACATTTGAAAATCACGTTTTTAAAATAAATACATGGATAAAATAGGAAAAAGTTTAAAGCAAAGTCTACATTGAGTCTCGGCTATTAAACAATTGCAGATTTAATAAAGTTATCAGTAATCTATAAAACACTGACACTGTAATTGTAAACTCATTGGCATGCACACATGCCACCGTGACAATGTGAGATTTGATTTTACTCGTCATTATATTTCTGGTGAGATTCAATAAAAGTGTCTCGGTAAACAAAAACGAACAAGTTGCAAACAAATCGGCATTGATTTTTCGTGGGTATTATGTGACACTCGTACAATTCATTGGTCAGCGGTCATTGCTCCATTGAGCTCTGGGGCCAACATTCGCCCCATGTCCCCCCCCCCCCGTGCCATTTGCTTGGCTGCTGCTCAATGGACTCTGCTGGCCAACCCAAACACTCCGTGAGCGCTCATTTTCAGGGCAAAGACGTGTGCCCCGGTTACGGTGGTTGAAAGATCTTCATATTAAACGATAATGTAGGTGTATAAGCGCCCTTAAACAATGGATCTCAAAGTGCCATGCATATAAAAGACAACAACTCAACGGACAAGTTAGAGAACTTGAGAAAGGCTGTGTTAAAGAGTTGGAGGGGGCTTTCAGGTGAGGTGTACAAGTCTCCAACAACTGCGAGATCCTGACCTCTAAGGACAGCTAATTCCAAGATTAGAAGTCTGAATAATATCCTTAAAATATAAATCCCATCTGGTCAATTGGGTAATTGCACATTAGCATGGGGTGCACATTCGACAAAGCCCTCTATGTGCGACTGCCACTTGAGCAGACACGTGAAAGGTTGATTTTCGTTCAATAGATATAATTTACATTGCAATGAAAATGTATTTTGCCCATATATAAGTAACCCCCCATCTACTGATATTTCTAAATGTAGTGGTCAGCATGCTCACAACTTCCCCTGACTTGCATCGCATCAACGGTTTAATTACCGCTCCGGCTGCTAATCACCACAGCCTCGGCCGTGGTTATTAATTCAGGACTGTTTGGTTCTGGTACCCTGGCGAATGACATCGGCACTCCTTACTGGCTCAGTAATCTGACCCTCCCCCCTCACACTGTGAAACATCTCCCCTCTTTTCTGCAACAAAAAAACACCATGCGGTTGGTGAAATCACAAAATGTACATTTAACACCCCGCAAAATAGTCACAATAAGAGATCAGTATGTGCCAGTGTCAGCTCACATATATTAGATTTAAAAAGGAACTTCAATTAAGTTTGGAAAATAATGAACATGTCCATATAACTAATAATTAACCTCAATACGCTCTCAACTCGTTAAAGCACAATTGGGGGCAACTGCATATACGTCATCGTCACTTGTTTAGTCACTATCTCAGCGGCTACGTGGGCGTGGATTTAACCGTGGAGCTCCCAAGGACACGTATTCTTATTTGTGTGCTCTTGTCACTTAATAGAAAAAAAGTTTTTTTAAGAAATTCACGAGCTAAATGGCTACCCGTGCAACGATAAAAATGCGACTCAAGGTTTCAAAATTATTCTGCCATGAGGTTACAATTTACTGACGGTATAAAACGATTGTGTTCTTATGCATCTTTAAAAAAGTAGTGTTGGCACGAATTAAAAACACAAAACATTTGGCATAAAGTCAATCAGCGGTAAGTACTGCACATTGTGGAGCGCTCACCATTTTGATAAAAGCAAATCCATCAGGATCACCCGCGACATCCGAACATGTGTGATTATCAAAACACAGCAGAAAGGTTACAGTGCTGAAATTAGCTGGACTTTAAAACTCGGTGTTCGCTGGAGCCTTTTCAGGGCATCTTCTGGTAGAAGTCTGCCCGTTTTCCCTTCGGCGCCTCTCCGTGCATCATCCTGGAGGCTCAGAGTGGAGTGCCGGTCGATTGCAGAGTCCTGGCGGGCGTTTCTGCCGCCAGAGCGGTACACGACTTCGCACGAGCGGCTGTGGGACGGACTGCCTGGCGTTGCCCCCAAGTGGGCCCTGCTTTCACCGGGCACAACAAGGCCGGGAGAATAGTCGTGCGCGCCAAACTCGGTCTCAAAGATGACTGTCGGTAGACTGGTGTCGCCTGCGGACTCACTCCCGCCGTTTGTCGGTCTGGGAGCAGTGCCCAACGGAAGGGAGTCCACCTCGATCGCTTGCTTGTCGCCACGCTCTCGCCTTACAAGGGTCTCATCCGAGTCCCGCCAGTTTGGAGAATTGCTCGAATTGCCGTTGCTTAAAACGTCTCCCATTCCTTCCAAAAGGGAATTGTCTTCCTCCCTATCTAACTGCTGGTCCCATTCGCTTCCTTCTCCTGCCAAAAAATATGGATGTAAAATTTAATAATGTACAGTATAAATATTAATACAGTACAATACGAATATGGCTTTTTAAATCGTTAATCACGAAGATTAAAGTATCACAACTGCACACGCCAGCATTACCATGATAACTCTTGCTAAAAACAAGAACGGCCAAGGTCATGAACGAGGGCATCATGAGTTACGCTTGTAAACTCGGAGGAATGCGGAAAGGTTTTTTGGGGTCAAGCATTCTTTACGTTATCATTCACACCATCGATGCATGCTTCTCAAGCAGTTAAGAATCGCAGTGGTCCATGCTGCACCACTGCATCATCCTCGGCCTGTGCCTGGGCCTGGGCTTGGGGCAGGCGGGCGGGCGGGCGGGCGAGTGGGGACGGTGAGCACGCGCAGCATGCACGAGTCGACGGCGCGCCGGGCTGGACAACGCGAGCGGGGTGGGTAGCAGCCGCACGCGGTGGCTCATGCGGCAGAGGGTTCATTCAAGCCCCTCTGGTTTGAAGCACTGCCAGTGCGGCGGGGCGGGGGGTGCGGGGGAGAGCCACACTCTCAAAGACGCTCAACGGAACGGCAACTTACGCTATGGTCTAAGGGCTTTTTCAGAGACCTCTGTCTCTTCCCCTCTGGACCCGGCTCAGTGGGTTCGCCGTCCTGCTCAAGGACGACTGTAACGTGCTCAGAGACCAACAAGAGGTTGGGCGGAGAGACCGAGCCGTTTGGGAAGTTGGGGTCGGCCTGCACAGGACTGACACTGATACCTGTGTGCGTGCAGTGCGTGAACGTGCGTGTACGTGCGTGCGGTGCGTGGATAAACAAGAGAACAAGACACTACCATCCAGAATTGGCCTGCACACTTGCAAAGCCATTCTTTACTTAACAATATCTTGAATGTAATCTTGCATAGTGTTATCTGCAATAAGCAAACAACTTTTTTTTACATTTAGACACGGTAGTAACTCGTTAAATGTATTGTCTTCTGAGTTCCCCTCACAGCCGGTGTTAATGCGCACTCTGTTGTACTATTGGAGTCGTAATCATACATTTGCGCGTTTGTATCCTGCTCAGGGGCTGACTCAAAACATCATCTCTCCAGAGTCAGTAAAGTACCCCCCCTTTGTGAGTTGTAAAAAAATGGTCATCCTATGCAGATGCTGGCCATTTAAATGTGGGCTTTCTCGGAGTGGCTTGGCACCACCCATGGAGGTGAGCCAGGTCCATTGCTCAAGAGCAGAGACGCGTCGTCCTTATCTCCATCGTTATGCTTTTTAGCGCAATCCGGGATCTTGGTGGTAGCTGCTCAGAGATTTAAAACGGGTAAAGAATTATCCCCACTCGAGCACCTCCAAGCTCCACGTAACCGCATTTGTTGCAGAAGCCGTAAACAAATGAAAAAACCAGAAGTAGAACACTCATCCGTTGAAGCGATGGGAGGATCCAGAGTACGAGGGTGCGACCCCGGTCTGCGCCAGGCCCGCCGCACCAGCTCACCTTCCTTCTTCCAGCGGTGGCTGCGGATGGACGCGCTGGTGACCACGCTGCGGGAGATGCGCGACGAGGTGGGCGTCACCTCCAGCTGCAGGCAGCGGGAGCGGCCCCGGCCAGCGTGCGGAGCGTCCTGCAGCAGGGAGCTCTTGATGGCGCGCGCCAGCTGCACGCACGCACGCACGCGCGGCCGGGGCCGGGGGGGGGCAAGGATGCGTCACCAACCATCGCTCGGCTCCACGGCGAGGACCCCGCGCGTCGCTCGCTCGTCGCTCGCGCACAACCCTGGCTCTTCACAGGAATGGTAAGTTACCCCTTTCCCATTCAGATGACGTACGTGAACGTCGTCAGCTTTTCCTCATCAGTTCCTGAAGAAACATCGTATCTAGGGTCCGATTTTCCAATTTTTCAGATTAATCTGAAAATCTGGAAAACATCTCCACTGCACAATGGGGCGTCCACCGTGGACATGGAGCAATAAAAACAGCTCGTGTGCAGGAGCTAAATGGATTGTTACATCTAGCAGGGAATAGATCATGGCTGATGATTAATTAAAATATAAAATGTATTCGATATATGTCAATTGGAATCCTCATAACCCTATTGACCAAGTTTTGTAATTCTCTTGTACATACCTGCTTTTTAATTATTAAGAATATATATGTGCGTGAAACAGCATATATTTAGTTAAATTACCAGTAATGGCTCAGGGTAGAGCTCAAGTTTAGACCGGTAAAGGGCATCTTCCACTGCCCTTTTACCCATGTCCCATGCACCATTGTAACTGCAAGACAAACAAATACAAAGTTCAAGATACAAAGTAAAACAAAAACTGAGAAAAGTATCTGTTATGGTCATCAGCACTATTCAAGTGTTGTACTTTCAGCATAAAGAAACCTTTCAGTAACATTAAGGTTGGACAATTGTTGGAGTGTGCCTTGTGTAGATATTTGAGTTGTTAATTTGGCCGTGACTGCCCCCATTTGATGTTCCATGTACATTCACACGACTAAGCATTCCTCTGCAATTCCACAACACGTGAGTTTTCTCACTGGTTTTTTTTATTACCAGTTACAATATAAACATTATGTGCTAAGCATTTAAGGCGCCTGCCCTGCTAGAACTCGGCAGTCAACAGAACGTCACCGCACATTGTACGGACCGCCCGCCGCACAACGATACAACAGCAAAACAACACCGAGGCCTTATCAGGTCGAGAACACAATAGGTGATGTATCAGGCAGTGGCTCTCTTTCCTAGCACATATATGGAGAGGCCAGAGACGTGGAAATCGTCATTGGCGTTATTGTACAGAATGTAAAAACAAGCTACTTAAGCTAAATATGAAGCAGATATATCCAGTTTGTTATTTATATTCTTCAAACTTTGTGCAATCTTCTTTGGTACAAAATGACATCATCGGTGATAGTTTCCAGTGCAACGAATGAAAAGCATCCACGTAACATACGCACACGGTTTCCAATATACAGCAAGTGGTTGCTGGACAAATCACCATTTGTGCTTTTGCAATCCCCCAATGGGGTGTTCAGAAGTGCGAGGGCACAACACACACCAACTCTCTCACCGCTGGTTCAAACCAGAATGGCCAAAGGGCAGAGCCCCCAGGCTGCCCAGGGAAGTTTTTCTCTCTCACAAAGAAGCGCCACAGTGCCGTGTGGAACTCATCGCCCTACTCATGTTCTAAAGCTGCATCACACACATGGTGGGCACCACCCCTGCATTAAAAACAAATAGGCCAGACTGCCCGCAATGGGGCATCATCTCCTTGTATTTCCATGGGGGATTTTAGGTGAACGTTTATCCATAACCTGCAATGTCGCAGGCCAAAAGGCCATGGTGCGTGCGTGCTGCGTGCGTGGTGCACGCGTAGCGAGTGGTGCACGCGTAGTGAATGCGTGGTTGCGTGTGTGGTTGGCGCCTAGTGCGTGCGCGGTACGTGCGTGGTGCGTGCGCAGTTCGCCGAGCGGACTGCTGTGAAGGTGCGGCACTCACATGGCGTGGTAGACTCCCTCCAGCAGCTGTACGAGGAACTCGGCGAGCAGAGGCACACGAGGGTGCGGCTCCTTCCAGTCCCGCTTCATCCTCTGCCGTGGGAATCCACTCACGCATGCCCTGCCAGGAGTTCCCACGTGTCACTCTCATAATGGCTGACGAAAAATCATTGTCGGCAGGGCAGATCCAAGACGGATAAGTGATTAACACTGCACTTAGGAAACCGTATGCTGCAAGGCAGAGGGCCATGGGATAAAGAACTGAACAGGTCATAGGTTTTGTGGCTGAGAAGTGTGGAGACGCTGGTTTGACCGGCTAGGGTGTGGCTGCTCTTGTTGCCGCGGGACACCAATCCCTACATTGTGATTGGTTTTAATATGGTTAAAAAAAAATATGACTTCACGAATGTGTATTCTTGTTAATGTGTGACTGGCTGAATACGTATACATGTAGAAACATCTTTTTTCAATTCCTCTTTCAACTATATATTTTTGGAGGTTTCACATTTCGACCCGCAAATTAAATGACGATGATGCAGGAAATAAAGTGTTTTGTTTGTGCAGCAGGATAGCAGGGAAATACAATTCACACGAGGAGACGGAGAGAGGCAACACAGGCGAGGTGACACAGGAGAGACTTCATAGCAGCAGTGAATCTCAAAGGCACTAAATCTGCTCGATGTCCACTCGGCTCAGTCCTGGTCTCAGTCAGCCTCTGCAAGGCCTGCTCGTGCTTGCCTCCCCTCGCTCAGCCACGCTCTCACCTGGTGCACAGCTGGCACAGCGAGTGGTAGGATGAGAGGGGCATGAAGACGATGGCGGAGTTGTAGTAGAGGAGCAGGGACGTGAGCACCTCAAACCTGTGCGGCAGGAGTGGACGGCACGGAGAGGAATGGATTGGAATCATTCGTGCCATGCAGTTCGGCGCGATAGAATCCTGCTGCATACAGTGAGGGAAAAAAAGTATTTGATCTCCTGCTGATTTGTACGTTTGCCCACTGACAAAGAAATGATCAGTCTATAATTTGAATGGTAGGTTTATTTGAACAGTGAGAGACAGAATAACAACAACAAAAATCAAGAAAAACGCATGTCAAAAATGTTATAAATTGATTTGCATTTTAATGAGGGAAATAAGTATTTGACCCCCTCTCAATCAGAAAGATTTCTGGCTCCCAGATGTATTTTATACAGGTAACGAGCTGAGATTAGGAGCACACTCTTAAAGGGAGTGCTCCTAATCTCAGCTTGTAAGCTGTATAAAAGACACCTGTCCACAGAAGCAATCAATCAATCAGATTCCAAACTCTCCACCATGGCCAAGACTAAAGAGCTCTCCAAGGATGTCAGGGACAAGATTGTAGACCTACACAAGGCTGGAATAGGCTACAAGACCATTGCCAAGCAGCTTGGTGAGAAGGTGACAACAGTTGGTGCGATTATTCGCATATGGAAGAAACACAAAAGAACTGTCACTCTCCCTCGGTCTGGGGCTCCATGCAAGATCTCACCTCGTGGTATTGCAATGATCATGAGAATGGTGAGGAATCAGCCCAGGACTACACGGGAGGATCTTGTCAATGATCTCAAGGCAGCTGGGACCATAGTCACCAAGAAAACAATTGGTAACACACTACACCGTGAAGGACTAAAATCCTGCAGTGCCCGCAATGTCCCCCTGCTCAAGAAAGCACATATACATGCCCGTCTGAAGTTTGCCAATGAACATCTGAATGATTCAGAGGACAACTGGGTGAAAGTGTTGTGGTCAGATGATACCAAAATGGAGCTCTTTGGCATCAACTCAACTCGCCATGTTTGGAGGAGGAGGAATGCTGCCTATGACCCCAAGAACACCATCCCCACCGTCAAACATGGAGGTGGAAACATTATGCTTTGTGGGTGTTTTTCTGCTCAGGGGACAGGACAACTTCACCGCATCAAAGGAACAATGGTTGGGGCCATGTACCGTCAAATCTTGGGTGAGAACCTCCTTCCTTCAGCCAGGGCATTAAAAATGGGTCGTGGATGGGTATTCCAGCATGACAATGACCCAAAACACACGGCCAAGGCAACAAAGGAGTGGCTCAAGAAGAAGTACATTAAGGTCCTGGAGTAGCCTAGCCAGTCTCCAGACCTTAATCCCATAGAAAATATGTGGAGGGAGCCGAAGGTTCGAGTTGCCAAACGTCAGCCTCGAAGCCTTAATTACTTGGAGAAGATCTGCAAAGAGGAGTGGGACAAAATCCCTCCTGAGACGTGTGCAAACCTGGTGGCCAACTACAAGAAACGTCTGACCTCTGTGATTGCCAACAAGGGTTTTGCCACCAAGTACTAAGTCATGTTTTGCAGAGGGGTCAAATACTTATTTCCCTCATTAAAATGCAAATCAATTCATAACATTTTTGACATGCGTTTTTCTGGATGTTTTTCTGGATGCTTTTGTTATTCTGTCTCTCACTGTTCAAATAAACCTACCATTAAAATGATAGACTGATCATTTCTTTGTCAGTGGGCAAACGTACAAAATCAGCAGGGGATCAAATACCTTTTTCCCTCACTGTACAATCTCTAGTCAATTATATACAGGTGACAATGAGCTGCGGCGGTAGTGTAACGCTGCGATAACACTTTTCTCACAGCAAGAAGCACCTGGGTTTGATTCCTGACTCGGAGTTTGTATGTTCTCTATTCTGCATCGGTTTTCTGGTTTCATCCCATTGTTAGAAAAAATGTTAACTGCTATTGGCCAAACATCCCAATGCTTGAAAATTACCTTCAAATTACTCAATTGGGATTCCACAGCAGCAACATCGCCGCCCCCTACCGTGAACGTTTGGCAGGACCCTCCTGAAAGAGAGTCTTGAGACTCAGTGAGGCTTTGCTGGGTAAACAAGCATAAATGTTTTTTTTAAGCACAGCAGATGACTATGGCTGCCCTCTTCACAGATCGGTACTCGTGTGTGGGAAGTCAACAACAGTCGCCATAATCAGGAACGATTAAATACAATTAGCACCAACAGTGACATCGGGGAAAACGGTTTCCAGCTCTGTAGTGCAGCTGCTGTGCAGAGGCTCATCATTTACACGCCTGCAGTGCAGCACTGCGGAGGGACACGTTGAGGTGCCATACCCCAGCTTGCCAGCAGACAGCACGACAGCAAATACAGTCTGTTTTCTATAACGCGTGTTTTCACAACGCAAATTTCATATAATGTGATTCATGATTAGGGAACACGTTTTTATAACACGGATGCGAATTGGATATGAGGTCGAGCGAATGAAACTATGTCACGTGAGTAGGAATAAGCGGTTGTAGGGCTGCCTCTGCGTAGCATCACACAGGGTGGGATGCTGCTGGATGCTGCTACCTGCCTAGCTTCCTCGCGCCCCTGGACCGTGCTGTCTCTCCGAGGGCGAGCGAACACCGTGAAGGTGAAATGATCGTGCCGTTCAGATAGCCCTGAGCCGGCGGGGCTTGGTGCGGACCTGTTCTGGGCCGTGATGGACTCGCGCTGTGGGTACGAGTCAGCGTACACGGCTCTGCCGGCGCCACGCTGGCTCAGACCTTCCTCCGTCAGCGCCAGGGAGCCAATGCTGCATGGCTGCGCACAGCAAAGGTTGGCGGGCGAGAATGACACGGCTCGGTCACGTGCACAGACAGGACAACGGGGCAGCGCTGTCGTCACGTAGGGGTCTCCCGCCGCTCTCTACGCGGTCGTAGTCAATGCGTTCCAAGAAAAGGGCGGAACGAAACGAAACCCCACGAGGGGACAACTGCCTGCGGAGCAGCACCAACAGTACACACGGTACACACACACAGTAGATACAGGGCGCACACACAGTACGAACACAGTACACATACTACGTAGACAGTACACACACATTAGATACACGGTACACACACACAGTAGATACAGAGCACACACACAGTACAAACACAGTACACATAGTACATAGGCAGTACACACACATTAGATACACGGTACACACACACAGTAGATACAGAGCGCACACACAGTACAAACACAGTACACATATTACATAGGCAGTACACACACATTAGATACACGGTACACACACAGTAGATACAGAGCACACACACAGTACAAACACAGGACACATAGTACATAGACAGTACACACACATTAGATGCACAGTACACACACAGTAGATACACAGAACATACACAGTACACACAGGACACGATGTTGTCCCACGTACAACTGCATAGCCACGTATGAGGTAAATTCAAACCGCATACTCCATAGAGCGAATTTTGGGTAGAAATAGGCTCGCCGCTTATACAGCGCGAGCCGCATTAAGCGAGGGAAACCTGTATTCCACATTTGGGCTTTAGCCCTGTTTTGACGAGTATATAAAAGGGGTCTCAAAAATCCACTTTACAACCAAAAGTAACATTGACATCCCCCCGCGCTGCGTGCGCTGAACGAGAACACAATGTAAAATCACCACAATGATAATGAACAAATGTTCTATCAATTAAATGTCTGCAAATAACTCGATCAGGGTCATATATAGTAACATCGCCTGAAAACGTGGCAGGACCACTCCTGAAAAAAATAGTCTTGAGACTCGGTGAGGGTCTCCCAGGTAAAGCGGAACAAGAGTAACAATACATTAAACAAAAAACTAGCAGGAATCTGCGAAACTTCGCCGATAAAACGATGGCGAATACGTACGTTTTATCATCACCACTTCCTTCCCTGCATCTCACCAGTATCGTGTAACGTCATAGCCCGCCCTGTCTCCTCACCACTCCTGGCGTCTCTTGACGTCATCGCTCTCTCTGTCATGCCCCTCACCCGTTGTCGGGTGATGTTATCACCCCCCCCCCCCACTCTGCGTCTGGTGACGTCATGCCCTCTCCTCACCAACGCACCCTAATCCAGCGTGACGTCATCACCCCTCAACTCCAACTCAGCAGTGATGCGTGACGTCATCGCCCCTTCCGACCCTTCTACGCCTGTGACGTCATTACCCCCCCCCCCCCATTTCCTCCCAACATCACCCCAATCTGGCGTGACGACGTCGGTGCTCCTCTCCCCAACAGCCCAGGCTCGCTGAGGTCATCAGCCCCTCCCCTATCAACCCCTCCACCTCAGCAGCGTGGCTAACCCCCACCCGCATTACAGACAAACAAACAAACAAGCATGTGACCTAGAACGCGCAAGGCAGAGGCACCCACTGTGCAGGGCCCTGCCTGGAACAGAGTGGGGCCGACCTGACGCCCTGATTATGATTTCGCCTTACCTCGTGGTAAATGGACGACTTGGACAGAGAAGGCACGGTAAATGACAGAACTTTCGGCTTTCCTTCCTCATCCACCGTCTCCTACAACAACAAAAGTATAGCGGTCCCGCGGTTAACGGTGACAACGGTTAACAGTTTTGCCTCCCATAGTGACCCCATGGTTTCGACTGACATTAACATTGTGTTGACGTTATGCACGCGGGAGCCAATTTTGGACAATCCGAGCGCTCGTAAGTTGAGCCGAGCTATGTCCTCGGCCAATCAGTGACGTCCATTTATGAGCGTTGAGACCCCGACTGCCTTTGTTTACATTACGTTTTCTGTTTCGGCAATGGAAATCGGCTCTCTCTTCGATTAACAGTTATGTAAGCCTCACAGTATTTTTCGTGGAATGGATTAAAAACGCTAACCGAGGGACGACTGTACATATGTAATAAAACACTTCGACGATGAACGTTATTTATTTATTGCTATGTTGGCTGTATAGCTTCGCGCTTCTTCTCGGATGATAACCGCTCTCTTTCTTCTCTGCGCGTGTTGGCTCCTTCCCGCGCACGGCTCGCTCACGCTCTCCGCCCCTGTGGCGCGCCGCTGCCTGGCGGCGCGCAAGGAGACGACCCTCGAACCGCCACGTGGCCGCTGGCGTTCCGAGGGGGCGAGACGCCGTCCCGCTTCCAGACTTCGCACACCGACCCCGAGCCTCTTCCTGCTTCCCCTTATATCCCTCTCACGCGGAGCCAAACCCCGCCTGTAGCCACGCCCCCTCTAGAACCTTCCCGATAGTTCCCCACGAGCACCCTTGAGCTCCGCCCATGAACTTTGGCCCAGATGAACCCACTTATCCTGATTGGCTTATGACTGATGCGGCGGAGCCTATCCAGCCGGTCGGCGTCCTTCGGTGTACTCTCTCATTACACATATTTAGATGAGCTCATGTAGATAAACAATGAATAAAAATATAAGACATGTCATTTATCATAACTATTGTTAAATCCACTATTTCAATCTACCTTACGTACACACTACCAGGTGTACAGTGATAACTTCATGCCCATTCCGTCACTGCCAAGAAGCAGTGAGCGAATTTCGAGATACACCTAAGAGACAGTTTCTTCCAACTGACATAGGACAGCAGGGTGGCCCAGTCGTAACACCTGTGACTCACAGCAAGAAGGTCCTGGGTTTGATTCTCGACTTGGGTGCCTCTCTGTGAAGAGTTTGTCATATCTCCCCGTTCTGCATGGCTTCTTCCAGCTTCTCCATTTTTCTCTCGTAGCTCTAAGAAATAGCGGGGCTATTGTTGCCCAAAACTTCAGCTTAAGTCGACTATCGTTGCTCCTACTACGCTCGTTTACCCAGGAGAGCCTCACTGAGTCTCAAGACTATTTTTTGCAGGACGGACCTGCCAAGTTTTTGCAGTAGTGATGTTGCTGCTACTGCTGTGTTTAATTCCAATTGAGTCAATTGCAGGAATGTTGTCAGCATTGTGATGTTTTGGCCAATACCAGTTCGATTGTGCATTTTTGTTTTCTTTTACTATGTGAGCAAATCGGGTAAACTTAGACAGAAGAGCGCCCGAGTCGGAAATCGAACCCAAGCTCCCCCTTGCCACTGCGCCACCCGCGCTGAACCAAGCGAGACGGGATGGCGAGGGGGGGGGTATCATCATCACCAGGTTGTAGATGCCCAGGAGCAGGGCCTCCACGCTCCCCTGGCTGGGCTTGTCCCTCCGGGCCACGGCCGACAGGTGGCGCCAGATGATCTCCGGCACGAACTGCAATGCGAACCTGTGCAGGGCCGCCTCGCCGCTTCGGACGAACTCGAAGAGCTGGTGGCAGATGGGCTCCAGCAGCTGCGAGACACAGAGTCGTTCGCCAGAGAAATAATATTGCACTCGTGTGGTTTACCCAAGAAAGCTGCACTCGTTCGTCAGATAAATAATATTGTACTGATGTGTTTATCCAAGAAGTCCGCACTTAGTCTCAAGACTCATTTGAAATTGGCTCCTGCGTTGGGAGCTTTGCCTAATGTCACTTCAGTTGTGTTGCGCCTGCAGATGATGCTCACTAGTCCATGCCAAAATTACAAGGAAACTATAAAAATCCAGACGGTGGTGAAATTTAATATTTCGTGGTGCCGGGTTTGGGGGGGGGGGGGTCTCTGGGTTAGTATTCTGGGAGTGTTTTAGACGCGAAGTGATTCACACGTCGTCTTGTACGCCAACCTAACCGGGTGAGGCAAGGATTGGGGCCAACAGCAGCTTGCATTTTACCATGGGCACTGCTGGCAGCGTGCACACAGAGAGGAGATGCGAATGCTTGGGCACGTGGCTGGACGTGGCTGCGGACGCTCACCTCTGTGCCCATGTCGCGCATGGCGCTGTACAGCGCTGGCACGACGCTCGCCTTCTCCTGCACCCTCTCGGCATACGCCGCCACCGCCACCTCCGGCAGCCCCTGCACAACACACAATCCATCAGCACCCAGCCACAAAGACAAAGATCCCCTGTATAGCCTAAACAGACAAGTGCTGTTCGCAAGTAGCACCTATGAAGGTCGGCATCGTACATGAAGGGGTGGATGGCCAGCACCGCGCCTTTGTCTCCCAAGTGAAGATGTTTACACCTCGTACCAGGTACTCATTTGAGGCTGAGTCGACCTAGGGGAGGCCCAGGAGCTGTTCAGTTATTTGCCACTGGTGTTGGCCATGAGTGGGAAACGAACTCGGGTCACTGGGTTCGTTGCGCTACACTTCCAGCCACAACAACAACAACCGCCATTCACCACTAAGTGGCGGTGACATCATCACGATGCGTGTGCGAGGCTATGTGCACGTTGAGGCCACGTGAAGTGTCGAACGCCCGCTGGCAGGAGGTCACGGGGCAGACCCAGGTGCCACGGGTCGACTGGCTGAGACGATTGGCTGATGCACCACCTGTGCCCCCTACTGTGCCAACTTGCTGTGCTTTAGCCACCTGGCGCTCCGCTCGTTGTTGTGAGCGTCGCTCCTCCGCCCTCCATTGTTGTTGGAGAGCGACTGCCTCCAACTGCCCAGTAGCGTCTTTCACGAGTCTCCTCCACAGAGGCCGATCTTGACACCGCTGGTACCAGTCATGGGCAAGTCCAATCAGCTCCACGTCCTCTAGTACCACATCACTCCATCTTTTCTCTAGCCAATGCCACGCCTGTTTAGCCCCCTCTAACTGGCGGAACCAAAGCTGTTTAGGCATGTGGTGGCTGGGCATGCGGGCTACATGACCCAGCCAACGCAGCCTTGCCAGCCAGAAGAGCTCACCGATGCGACTTTGTCCAGATCTTTCAAGGATTTGTGAACTCCTCATTGATAATCCAGCCTGATTAAACCCAGGATGGATCGTAGGCAGGCCAGCCTAAATGTTTCTAACCGGCGAAGATGTCCCATTGGGGGGGTCCACGTTTCACAAGCGTAGAGAAGGGAGGGAATGACTGTGGCCGAGAAGACCTGAAGCTTAGTGCAGAGCGACAGACCAGGTAGCTTCCACACAGTGTTACAGCAGCCGATGAAAAGATAATGCCGCTCGACTGATTCGGAGTGAGACCTCTGCTGTCAAACTAGAGCCGGTCATGAACACACTGCCCAGGTATGGGAAACTCTCCACTCTCTCCACAACTACCCCATCACTAATTGGGAGTTGTGGGGGTGGAGTGTCCGATGGTACAAAATACCCAGGCAGGCGCTTAGTTTTGGTGGGGCTGATGGTAAGGCCCCACCTCTTAGTGGCACGCTCCAGTCTCAGCAGCAGCATCTCCAACTCCTCCTCTGAATGAGCACCTATTACCAAATCATCGGCATACATAACGTGGTTGACCAATAGGGAGCCATCCTTTGACCGCACCTGGGCATCGATCAGCCTCCCATTGTATCTTTACCAAATGGAAATTCCTCTAGTACAGCCATCGAAGGCTTCACGAACTACGTGGTCGAAATAAATGTCAAATAATGTGGGAGCGAGAGGACATCCCTGTGGAAATTCCTCCGGTACAGCCATCGAAGGCTTCATGAACTACGTGGTCGAAATAGATGTTAAATAATGTGGGAGCCAGAGGACATCCCTGTCGCACCCCAAGGTGAACAGGGATTGGTTCCGACTCCCGGCCACGTAGTTTTACCCGCGCCCGCTCACCATCATGAAGGTCCTTAATGATCGTGAGCAGAGGGTCAGGGGACTCCGAAAGCACGAAGAACAACCATCAACACTCAGCCACACACAAGCCCATCAGTCCTCCGAGACATGAATTCCCAATGAAGAGATATTACACAATCGCGATTGTCTGTAATGGACACAAGTTAATAGATTAAATTGATGCTTCAACAGTTTATGAAACACCCACGACTGCAAATGAGACCTATCCCACCTGAATAAACTAAACTTGACAGCTGGAGGAACCTCGCTCCATCATCATTATGCCCAGCTGAGTCCTTCACTACCAAGGAGTTAACGCGAGGATCTACAGAATAACATTTGAATGTTTAAGTTCACGCGAAAAAAATAATTATCCAAGATCTGTGCAGTGAGATAATGCAACTTGCTGAGCAACATATGCAGCCAGCTACGCTCATTTGCTCACTCGTTCGCTCACTCCTACTTCTGTGGTAAAAAAATCCCTAGGCAGGAGCCTGGCATGAAGTCACGCTTGTGACTATGGGACGGGAAGGGTCACGTCAAATCTTTTCTACTTTCGACACTGCAGTAGCTCCACTTGACAGGGAACATGAATGTCCCGATTGTTATTTGCAATATTGATTGACGTTTGCTTAGTGTTGACATCAGTTGTATATTTGCGTATAAACATCGTATAATTGTGGCCACAACTATTGCGTGTTTATACGCATTCGTGGTGGTAGACTTGAGATGTTTGTTAGGGTTCACGTATGTTCATGGAGCTGTAAAAACATGTGTTTTTTCCTCATACTTTCCCTAACATCGTTCGTTTGCTACACTGCATTTGAACGAGCAGATATGTACAGAGGGAAAAAAGTATTTGATCCCCTGATGATTTTGTACGTTTGCCCACTGACAAAGAAATGATCAGTCTATAATTTTGATGGTAGGTTTATTTGAACAGTGAGAGACAGAATAACAACAACAAAAATTCAGAAAAACGCATGTCAAAAATGTTATAAATTGATTTGCATTTTAATGAGGGAAATAAGTATTTGACCCCTCTGCCAAACATGACTTAGTACTTGGTGGCAAAACCCTTGTTGGCAATCACAGAGGTCAAACGTTTCTTGTAGTTGGCCACCAGGTTTGCACACATCTCAGGAGGGATTTTGTCCCACTCCTCTTTGCAGATCTTGTCCAAGTCATTAAGGTTTCGAGGCTGACGTTTGGCAACTCGAACCTTCAGCTCACTCCACAGATTTTCTATGGGATTAAGGTCTGGAGACTGGCTAGGCCACTCCAGGACCTTCATGTGCTTCTTCTTGAGCCACTCCTTTGTTGCCTTGGCCGTGTGTTTTGGGTCATTGTCATGCTGGAACAGGTATCAACGACCCATTTTCAATGCCCTGGCTGAGGGAAGGAGGTTCTCACCCAAGATTTGATGGTACATGGCCGCGTCCATCGTCCCTTTGATGCGGTGAAGTTGTCCTGTCCCCTTAGCAGAAAAACACCCCCAAAGCATAATGTTTCCACCTCCATGTTTGACGGTGGGGATGGTGTTCTTGGGGTCATAGGCAGCATTCCTCCTCCTCCAAACACGGCGAGTTGAGTTGATGCCAAAGAGCTCCATTTTGTATATTTTTCATTGTTTTATATATATATTTTATTATTTTGTTTCCCTTCAACGTGACTTTACCGAAAGAGCTAAGAATATGAATATAGCTCCATTTTGGTCTCATCTGATCACAACACTTTCACCCAGTTGTCCTCTGAATCATTCAGATGTTCATTGGCAAACTTTAGACGGGTATGTATATGTGCTTTCATGAGCAGGGGGACCTTGCGGGCACTGCAGGATTTCAGTCCTTCACGGCGTAGTGTGTTACCAATTGTTTTCTTGGTGAATATGGTCCCAGCTACCTTGAGATCATTGACAAGATCCTGTGTAGTTGTGGGCTGATTCCTCACCGTTCTCATGATCATTGCAACTCCACGAGGTGAGATCTTGCATGGAGCCCCAGGCCGAGGGAGATTGACAGTTCTTTTGTGTTTCTTCCATTTGCGAATAATCGCACCAACTGTTGTCACCTTCTCACCAAGCTGCTTGGCAATGGTCTAGTAGCCCATTCCAGCCTTGTGTAGGTCTACAATCTCGTCCCTGGCATCCTTGGAGAGCTCTTTGGTTTTGGCCATGGTGGAGAGTTTGGAATCTGATTGATTGATTGCTTCTGTGGACAGGTGCCTTTTATACAGGTAACAAACTGAGATTAGGAGCACTCCCTTTAAGAGTGTGCTCTTAAAGTGAGTATAAAAGACACCTGGGAGCCAGAAATCTTTCTGATTGAGAGGTCAAATACTTATTTCCCTCATTAAAATGCAAATCAATTTCTAACATTTTTGACATGCGTTTTTCTGGATTTTTTTGTTGTTATTCTGTCTCTCACTGTTCAAATAAACCTACCATTAAAATTATAGACTGATCATTTCTTTGCCAGTGAGCAAACGTACAAAATCAACAGGAGATCAAATACTTTTTTCCCTCACTGTACGACTGATGCTTGCGTGTGCCGGTGTTTACAAAGGGCACATAACGCAGAGAACAATTGCCTTTGGAGATGTTTTATTTTCTCCAGTTTAAGCTACACAAATATTTACAAAAAGCAAGAACACGTTAGAAGACATTCGTTGAGGAAGTCAAACAAGGCAAAGCCTCCAAAGGACCCATTTCCTCTTCCCAGCTTGTGAGGTTTTGACATGTGGAATTCACCTGTCCTCAGTATTCCCAGCCCCTTGTTTAACCGGGGTGAGAACTCAAGAGACAAAGGGATCAGAGTGTCGTTTGCGGTGGTGACCTGCACACAAGTGGAGGGCCTTGCATAACTTTCCCCTGCATGGGACCGGCCTGACATTCCAACGGCATCCACGCTTCCAAATGCAGTGCAGCAACCAAAATGGTAGGAAAAGCATGGGGAACAAAACCACATAATGACCCTGGCACTTAGTGGCGCCGCAAACGTCCGTGAACCGTAGCAAACGTCACACCAGTCCGGCACCCACGAATGCAATATAAACACTCGACACAATGTGCCCAATTACACGACGTTTACGCCACACAAATGTACAGCCTCTGATCACCTCCAGGCGGCGCTCACCCACATGATGTTTTATTTTCCGAGCAATGAGGATTTCAACGGGGCAGCTCGTCCCTGAAGTGGGATTTCAATGATGAGCTGAATCCCAACAGCTGTGCTCCGCTCAGCTCTTCTCCAGCACATGGGGACTGTGTCGAAGGAGTATGGTCGGGGGTGTTAAGTTTTTGCCAAAGGGGCTTATTCCCGAGGCTGTCTCTCTCTCTCACGCTGCCCACCTTGAACTCAGAGAGCCAGTTTTTCACCAGCGCCTTTTCCTTTTCTTCCATGGCCTGCATACAGCACACACGTACAGCCACATTACCCAGCAGCGGCGGCGGCGGCAGCGGTGGCGAACGCGGCGCCAGGCGGCGCTTCTACCTGGAACTCACTGCGGGTGGCTGTCCCCCGAATAATCTCTTAATTCTCTCAACCAGTTCTGTGGCATAGTAGAACTCAAGACGGAAATGTTCCGTAAAGCTTACAGAACGTAACCCTTGTTTTGTTCCCTCCGCATTTAGAAATATGTGTTTCGATTATTTGGCTACGATACATTTCCACGCGATAAGCCACTTCGTTGAGCTATCATTTGTGGCCAGGTAGTTTCTGAAAAAGAAGCCAATAACTCAGTGGGCCTTGCCTGGTAAAAGAAAAAGTTTAGTTTTGTTTGTGGTTTTTTTGTGTGATTTTAACACGTAGGCTTTCGCGACCAATTTTATTCATAATAAAGGTTTTTGGGTTAGATCGCGTTATTTATAAATGTGTCGTAACCCTCCACCACCCGACACGGCCAATCAGCAAAAAAAGTGTCACGTTGACAAAAGACAAAAAATTCACTACTTTAGCCCACCGGTGTGTTGAAGAGTGAATCCACAACATTTACAGTTTGAGTACGACGTTTCGCTGATAATTACATCCAGCATCATCGGGCAATTCGCCAGAATTCAACACACCGAATTCAACACACCGGTGGGCTAAAGTAGTGAATTATTTGTCTTTTGTCAACGTGACACTTTTTTGTGTGATTTGTTTCCTTTTCCCATACATTGCACTTCTATCATGTTTGTTGTTTATTGTTGGAACGTTCTGATCCGTCCCTACTGGGCATCTTTTTAAAAAGAGCTTTAAAGCTCATCGGATTCCTCCAGTGAGAAATAAATAATCTGGTTCTGACTTCCTGACCGCCTCCACGCAGCAGTAGAATTCTCGACGTGAAACCAGTAGGTGGAGGCCTAATCCAAAGAGCACAGACGCCTGTATGGATCAACGTCACTGGTATTGGTGAAACGTCCCGATTGTAATGAAAAATCGCCTGCGAGCTACTCGTTTGGGACCACACAGCAACAATATCGCCCTCCAACGTACTGAGAAAACTTGGCAGGACCCTCCTGAAAAAGAGTTGAGACTGAACGCAGATCTCCCGAGTAAACGAACGCAGTAATAATAGACTAAACTGACATTGCAGGCAACAGCCATGCTTGAGACCAGACAAACAGATGGACAGCAATTTTACTTTGCAAGTTCCCGCACCTCTGATTAGCAACGGTTGGCAACATACGGTGTAAAATAAGTTAAACATACATGTATACAAAATACTGGGAATGTGAAGAGAGTTGTGATGCACAGCTTACTATGATCACACATTGGATAGCAAACATATTAGAAACGTTAAATGGCACGCTTAATGCTTCCCAACCTCCGCACGCACGGAAGGTGCCCGAATGCGTTGCCGAGTTTGCGCGTGCACAGGGAACTGGGCAGAGCTGGCGGTCCTTGGCCAACCGCACTGCGAATCCCACAGAGCAGAGCAACTGCTGCAGCTGCCCTACCTGGCACCTCACTCACGCACGGAAAGGAGAGACCGGGAGAGGAAGCCATGCCCTGAAATACCTAAGATTGAAAGAAGCAACATGAAACCGTTTCCTTTTTATATACATATAAAGTGATCACATATAAGAAGAAGAACCCATGAAAATTAAAACTTGTTTAAGTCACAAAACACGGCTTGGAAATCCATGCCCGGAACTCGTTGCGATGCCCCAGAGTCATCCGGTCATCAAGCCTGGCGTGTGGCTTTGTGTTTCCGGGCAACGCCTTACCACCTGCGAGCGGCCCGGCAGAGCCACACGGCGGAGGAGGAACGCTGCAAACTCTCAGCTGCTCGTGCAGCTGCACAGGACCAGCGGGTGCGGCGGCGGGAGCAGCTCAGGAGAAGTGTGCAGCTCGCTCGGCGTCACGAGGCTGCGAAAGGGAAGGATCGTGGTATTCCCAGCGCTGCTCGACTTAATGTGACCGCTACGAGAGAGGCGTTAACACTCTGCAGACTGTTTTGGAAATGTAGCCCGTAGGTGCGTCACCTGTGGAGGACTGCCACAGTCCCCGGGACTCTTACCCGCGTGAACGACCGGGGCTGGGCACATCGCCCCGTCTCCATTGTTATGGGACAACAATGAGCTCATCATCGCACTGCACCGAACCGAGGCGGCGTTCCTGAAGCGGGCCCTCGATTGCGGAATTCATCGTAACCGCAGCGGTGCGTGCCACACGGCATGGCACAAACACTACACGTGGCACGCTGCGCGTCTCGCGACGGCTGTGAGGACGAGGCGAGTCTGAATGCACGCAGCTCCACGTGGGTTCAGCGCGGTTTGGTGTGAAGGACCTGGGAATACCGCACCTCCGACTGGCACGCTTGGCTAAATACGGTGCCAAAAGAAGTTCAACGCACACACGTACCAGAGAGGAATTAAGCATCCCCACAATTGCACCGTCTAGACTCGAGCTGTTAGGCCGTCATATCCCATTCCGCCTATCGAAATCGCCGATACATTTTGCAACACGGTGGTCGCTTCTACGCGACGCAGAGGCGGCGTTGCTACCACGGAGCCGCGCTGCACAGCGCGCTATTTAATCCGCGCCGCAAATTGAACCCTTTGCACGCTCCATGATGTAATTTTCTAAAATTGGCCTATTTTCAAATTAGCAACAAATGTCATTAACCGCCCCCATGCGACAAACAGCGCTTTCTCACGTCTCCAAGGAAAAGACGTGAAGTTTCTCAACCGGCTCTTGCCGGGTCAAGCTGCTCACGCATTACTCTCCGGGCTGGGTACTCTGAAGCCGAGCAAAGCCTTTCCAAACAACAAAAAAACGTTCAACAAACCTTACAAACAAGTCCTTATAAGGTCTGCGCGCACGTAAAGTCGACAGATAAGCGCACGGCAAGGCGGTGTGTCTTTGAAGTTCTGCCATGAACGTTACTTGAACAGCGTCTCACACACACAAACACTCCACGAGTTCAAATTCGAAGTTGGGTCACGCGACCTCAACGTGATTACTGTACTTTGAAAAAGACGGTGGACTTCTCCGTGCCGGCGTGGCCAGAGGAGGGCGGGTGGTTAGGCCTTGACACGCGCCCGCACGGAGCGTCCGTGCCGCTGAGGCTCTGCCGACAACTCGGCAAGCGGGCGGCACCGGGTGCATCGCACTCTCCGTGCGGCCAATTGGAGTGGGCAGCCAGCCAGCCTGCCTGCCTCCTGCCTGCATGCTTGCACGCGTGTTCTCAATTGCGCGCGTCCCAAAATAGATCCCTCATCGCACGTCCTCCGTCAAGGGGGCGGCATGCTTGGCATGATCGAACGGGCCAGTGTCCGAAACGCTCAACTGCGCGGAAAGTGCCTCTCTCGGTGAAATGTGGCAGCAAGTTGTGGCCTCTGTCTCTCGTCAGTTTGCTATGCAAGGAGGAACTGCTTAAACGTTGTGGGCGGACAGGGCTGGGAGTGCGGTCGTAACACTTACCCCGCGGCAAATAGCACCTGGGTTCGATTCCCGAAAAGGGCACCATTTATGCATGCAGTCTGTCTGTTCTCCCCTCCGCTACAGATTCTCCGGTTTCCTCCCACCGATTAAAACGTATATATGTAATGTAACTGGTACTGACCAAAGGTCACAATGCTGAAAATGCACCTGCAAATTACTCAATTGAGATTACACACAGCAGAAACATTTCTCAGCTACTGCAAAACAAAAAAAAAACTTGCCAGGTCCCTCCTGAAAAAGAGTTTTGAGACTCACAGTATACTTTTTATTTTCGTAAAGCTATGAGAGGCTTTCCTGGATAAATGAGCGTATGCAAAAAACACAAGTAGGCTTACTCAGCTGACAGGGAACGAGCTAGTCTTTCACTTGACGCCACCGTGACGCAAGTGTTCGGTACAAGTTTAAGCGGTGATGCCTTTTTTAATGCCTCTCGTTACAGCCTGCAAACACGCGCACCTCGCAGATGGGAACCCTCGCCAGGAGCTGAGTCTTCAGAACATCTGAGATAAGTATATAGAATAAAAATGTTACATTAAACTAAGCTACTTTTTTATTTTACCAGGTAAGGCCCACTGAGCTATACAGCTCTTTTTCAGGAGCGACCTGGTCACAAAAGATAGCTCAACAAAGTGGCTTATCACGTGGAAATTTATTGCAGCCGAATACTCTAAACGCACGTTGTTTCTAAACGTGCAGCGAAAAATCGGAGGACCCAGAGAAAAATCCACACGACCACGGGGAGAACAATACAAACTCCAAATATTACAGGCTGTCATGGTCGGGATCAAACCCTCGACCTCCTGTATACCAGGCGAGGTAGTTAACATCTGTCTGCCGGAGGTGGGGGGAGGGTTTCCAACAACTTCAAAACAGAACTGGTACACTTTCTTACAAAAGTGCTTAAGTCAGCGGCCATGCCATGATGATGTGGTATGGTCAACCGTTTCTGCCCGATAACAACACCCGAGCTGCTTTCCTTAATCATTACATTCAATTTAGCCACAGTATATGAAGACCGAACACGTTTGTATATATTTTGACTCTGAAACGTGTAAACAAGCTTTACTTACGGACAACAAGCTATATATGGCCTCTGTGAATGCATTCCTCTGGGCTTTGGTTTCGCTATTTGTCAAGGCAAAGCAGACGTGGTGAGACAGCTCTTAGCTGCTATGAATAAGCACAGCAGCCTGATTTTAGCCAACAGCCTTAAATAAGAGAGTGTGCAGTTGTCTTTGTTGTTTGTAAGCAGTGCACGGACTGTGTACGAGCCTCTCCCCTTTAAGGGCTCATGAAAACAGCATGAGGTGTATGCATAATTTAGTTGACTTTGCCTAACTAGGTTGAGAACTCTGCAGAGACCAGGAGAGAGAGAGCCTCGTTTGCAAGAGTGAGTGACTGATTCCGATTCCGAGCAAGTGACCCGTGTCACTGAAAAGATGGAAACAAAAACGTAAAAAAACAAGCAAGACAAGGAAGCAAATAGAAATCGGGAGGGAAAAAACCAACCGAGCAGGAATTACAACACAAGACAACTGCTGGACAGAAATACATTGAAAACAGTTCACAAGCTTGATCAATATTCCAATTGAATAAATGACCGACCACATAATGCGCCGCACACGGTGCCCAGAGCTGTTGCGAGCGCCGTGGCAATTCAACACGTTTAGAAACAGAAGAAGAATAAGAACAAAAAACCATCTTCACCAATACAACTGCAGGCACGCACTCTAAGCTTGGGCCTTCACTCGATGCACCCAAGGATGATGCTTCGGCACACCTCCAGCTGATGGCCAACAATCCTTGCTGCACAGTCTGCGGTCTCGTAAAACAACATTTATAATAATGGCTTCCCCCCCCACCCATCACACCGTGTCACCATGCAGCCTGAATATTTCATCTGATTATATATTGTATATTATTTAACATTGTGTCTCAGTCTGCACACATTTCCAGTCGATCGGAATTTTCGTAGGAGAGAATGTTAGCTTTGCACTGTATGTAGCCAACCGTGCTCATCGGAGGTGCGAATACATCTATGTGAATATATCTGTGTGTCTATGGGTCTCTGTTGTGAGTCTATGAGTCTATGGGAGTTTGCAGGTTTTTGTGCGAGTCTGTAGGTCTCTGTGCGTGTCTGTGTTGTTCTGTGTGATTACGTGTCTCTGTGCGAGTGTGAGTCTCGATGCGGAGTCTATGGGTCTCTGCGAGTCTTTGTCTCTGTGAGAGTCTGCGAGTCTCTGTGTGAGTCTATGGGTCTCTGTGTACACTCGTGTCCATTGAAAGCATTCTCCGAGTGCAGGAGAGGGGTTCACGCTGTCAGTAGCTGGCTTCACAACTGGGACATGGATCCATACTAGATTTAAAGCTTTCATGACTGCTAGGATCCATACTCTTTGGTTCTATTGGGTAAAGTCACGTAGGTACGTGACTTTACCCAATAGAACCAAAGAGTATAGAACATGGATCCATAGTTGTGATTCAACTCATATCCAGCCCCTGCACGCGTGCTATCATCGCCCCACACAGCCACACGGCCGGCTCACATTGGCTGCCTTTCACAGCACCCTGCACAGCGGGACAGCTGCTCACGCGCGAGCGAGAACGGGTGACAGTTACTTTTTATTTTATTTTACCAGGTAAGGCCCACTGAGAGATATAGCTCTTTTTCAGAAGTGGCTTATCATGTGGGCATTTAAAGCAGCCAAATACACTAAACACGGAAAAAAATCCACGCTACTTCGGGGAGAACATGCAAACTTCAAATAACAGCAGGTGTCAGGGTCGGGATGGAACGCACGACCTCCTGTACACCAGGCAAGGAAGTTAACATCTCGCCACCGTGGCACTTTAAAATTAAGTGGCGTTAATGCCAACGAGGTGGCCGGGAGGCTCAGAGGTCAGGGTGCTGAGCTGGCGCCTCTGAGATTCTGGGTTCTAATCCAGGCAGCCAAATACAGGCAAATTTAAAAGAAGACCAATTGTATTTTCGCACCAAAAAACAATGTCCGGTTTGTGAATCTGGCTGTGCGTATGAAGCAAACTAAGGGGCAAAGTGTGGCAAAGCAACAATGACTGATAACCGAGTGAAAGAGGGAGCCAGCAGCTCAGCTGAGAAGTTAATCCGACAGTTCGAACGATCTTCGATAAAATGTACTCTTTGGGATCTTTCAGTCACGAAAGCTTGAAGTCAAGCTTCGATAAGATGCTTTAGTTATGCTGTTGGAACCTCCGCCATTTACACTAAATCAAGAGAATCCTAAACACGGTCTTGCGTTGCTGGAGGAATCTGCAGTGACGTACAGACGTTACATACTCTGGTTTTAAAGGTATTTACTTTCTGAAACTACTTGTTTGTGGTATGAAAACAAGTGAAGACACCATGATAACGTGTAGTTCTGGGCAATCATGGTAACTGCAGAGGTTGTGCAGGTCGAATCCGCCAGGTGTATGAGCCGTACATACGCGCAGTGTACTCCACAATGGACGTTAAAGATCCCATGACATCGAACGAGTAAGCAATTGTGTGCAAATAACTCAATTGGGATCACGCCTACAAATAATGAGTCACCCCCTACTGGCGGACTAATGCCGACGGTGCAGGCCAGCCACTGAGTCACCTTGTGGACACAGGGATTGCTGCCTCTGGGGGTGCCCTTCGGACGTTTGAAATGTGAGATGTAACGTAAGTCATCGATTGCGTGTGAAATTGGTTTTCCTGATATGGCGTCTACTTCTGGGAAATCAGGTAGGCCGTGGGCAGAATGTGACAATGTGAATTTGTATTCTTGGTTCCTTCGGAAAAGTCACGTAGAAGGGAAACAATAAAATAATAAAATATAAAACAATAAATTCTCACGACATTCAACTGCAACAGAAGCAATCATCAGGTGTGAAAACCACAGCAAGAAATTTTGAAAAAAGTGGCGCCACTTTTTCAAATTTATTGTTTTATATTTTTATTATTTTATTGTTTCCCTTCTACGTGACTTTATCGAAAGAACCAAGAATATGAATCCCTGCAGTCACGAAAGCTTTAAATCAAAATGTAAATTTGGTTCACGATGGCGGCTAATGAATCTTGAAGACCGCCCTGAAAGCCTACGGTCATGGAGACGCTTTGGACCAGATTCACAAATTGGCAAGGTTGTCCGCAGTATGGATATTTTCTATCTTGGTAACAGAGACAGATATGCGGCTTTGCCAGAGCTTGCAGGACCACAAGATGTTCCCCCCAGCTTGAGTAACGAGCCCTGTGACTCGGGTAAACATGGCCATCCAGCTCGGGTTTATTGTCTCGCCAATTGATAGACCTCAGGTGATATCTTAGAGGCAATTAAAATTCAAGGTTTGTTTTTTTAAAGTAATTTTTACGCACAAGGTGTGGCAGAGTTTGTTTTTACAGGAATTACGAGTGTTATATTGGCTAAACTCATGAGACATTAGTTGCCTCCCTTTAGTTTGCCGTTCTGTGTGTGCTCTGTGTGTGATGTCCCTCTGTGTGTCCCCTCGCTGTGTGGTTCACGCCATTTTCACCTGAGGACGAGTGCTTGTGTTGCGTTCGAAACGTCGTGATTTATATTTATTTTATTTCTACATACGTGACTTTACCGAAAGAACCAATGAGAATAGTAATTCCTGCAGTCACGAAAGCTTCAATCCTAGATTATTATTCTGCTTGTTAACCCTGGAAAGCCTCCCGGAGTCTCAAGACTCTTTTGTCAGGATACTGCCAAGTTTTCACTTTGAATCGTATGATATTTTATTTGCCTTGTACGTAAAGGGATCAAGTGATAGTTCATAGTTCATTTATTTGGTATAGCCCTGTGAGCCATTCGGCTCTTGAATCGGGTGCAACCGCAACAAACAAAAACATGAACAAGAAAACATCGAGGCGACTACGTTCACAAAAATGTCAAAGACAAAAAAACACTGCAAATGGTTCCTGAACTGAATCACAGCCGCCCTAAGTTGTGGAAATTCAAGTACTCGGGGGTGGCATTACACCCAAAATGATGACCCCCTCTTCATTCCCAACACAGACAACATTCTAATGATAACTGTAGCGAAGGCCTACCCATCGGTGGTTGGGCCACAATTACCACAAGAGGATTCCAGCAATTCTTAAGCGGTGCTGAACGTGCACGCTGATCCGAATAGGGCGATGGGCAAGTTTCTTAAATCACCCTTCCCCCCACCCAGTAATATCAACGGTTTCACCACAGCGAGACCGTCGGCAGGTCGTGTGTGTGCGGAGGGATAGAGTGGGGACACTTTCAACCTTTATCCAAGATACCCAGACAGTGTGGAATAGTAAACCAAATACCCGCTGGGGTGGAGCGTCTCTCTAGAGCTCTAGCTAGTGGAGGCCCCTTCTTCTGGCATGGGCATGAGGCAAGAAATTGCTGCGCTGTACCTTAATCTTTTACCGAAGATTTACAGAGCAAACGTCTGTGACTACGTGTGCATATCACAATAGGCACACAAGGTACAGCTGATGTATTCCCATTAGATTGGACAAATCAGATACATAGGTAATGGATCAA